AAACCTTAGGGTTGGAGGCAGAGGTACGGAGGCCTAGGAGCCTATATACCCCGTGCCAATCCTAGGGTACTGAGGGGTTGGATAGCTGTAACATAACTGTGTATACAAACTTCCCAAAAGGGTAATACAATCCGTACTACGTACCGTACCTAGGGCATCATTAAACGTACGGTACGGCTCACGAACTCGGTACGTTCGTACTGAACACGTGACCGTTACGGTTCACTTTGTACGGACCGTAGTACGGCCCGTTGGAAGCCCTGGGCTTAGTGAATGCCGGATTACCATCCCCAATGCGTGTATCTCATCCAGATCCCTTTTCTTTGGCTTGGCGAAAGGTCTTGGCTGGGCTCTTCGTTCTTGCCATTCTCCAAGACTCAAAGAGCAAGTAGGAAAAATAAGAGTGCGACTGCACTACATTCGTGGGTGGTCCGGTTTGGGGACCACGAAACCTAATACCGGGTCCTGTAAGACTGTCGCGTAGAGTTGGCAAGATTCATGAGGGATAGCAGAAATAGACAGGGCATGGGTAGCCAATAATAGCGAGGACCCAAAAATGGGACTGAGCATGGGTGAGGAAAGATTGAGGAGCCTGAGCAGCACTGGGGTGGAGATTGAGCAGAAGGTGAGCAGAGGACGACTCCTCCTAGCTGCGGCTTTGCAGCCTGAGTAACAAGTCGTTTAGTAAAGCGGTGAGAATGACTAACCAAAGAGGGCGCCAAGGCTCGGTCAAGGTTGGTGTGTGAATACCACATGGTATATTAAGAAATAAAATACAGTGCCAAAGAATAGTAGGTAATTTTACTTTTAGGACTGAAACGACCCCTCCTTACAGATGCCCCATTTGTTCTGTTTTTAATATATGAGAAACGGAGCCTATCTTTTGGACACTATTAAACCTAGGATATCCTGGAAGGTGGCTCAGCTCGGCATGGTAGGGATCAGTGGTGTTCACGCTTCCTATCTCCGCCGTTCCTCTCTCCACTCCGCAACACATAAGTGAATATGAAACAGCTCAATGATGAAAATTACAATTGAAAACGTGTAAATTTAGGCTCAAGCCAAGGCTACAATGACCTCTAACAACCCAGAGCGGGTAGACTGGTGTCGTAAGGATAGAGGTTACCTAGGAACAGTGGTCCCAAATCATCAACCTAACCGTCAACTAGTAGATATGGAAACACCCTAGGACTTACCCGAAGGCTGCTGAGGCGGCGGCTTCGTTTACGGGTGAATTCTAGTTTAGAGCATAGAGTTTGGATGGAGAGACTAATGTTAGTAAGTGCGATTGGATAGGAGAGTTGAGTACAGGTCATTCTAATCCAAGATATTTAGACAAGCCCATGCCCTAAGTAATATCATTAGTACAACCATGTCGCTGAAATGTTGCGAAGATGTGACATGAGCCCAAAATAACAAAAGGCTTCCAAGTTGACCGCTGTAAAAAGATAAATAACGTCCCTCACTGCGTAGCAAGACGCACTGTGTGGCGAGACAAATGAGGGGTACTTTGACTTTCAGCAACCGGAAAGCTCATGCGCACGACAAATATTGCTATAATTCTACAAAAATAATCTGCTGCAGCTAATTCTAAATATCTATGTTCCACTTTGCCTAAAAATTACGCTTGCATTGTCGCTTCCGCGCCTGATTTGTACAGCGCCTTGTGTTGTGGCATAACATGCTTCCCTACCCACAGCGCTAACCTTAAGCCTTTTTCGCTCTAAATTTTTGTAGAATAGCCTTATCTTACCCTCACAACCTCCCTCCGATACCATGAAGTCATCATCAGCCCTATGCGCGCTGCGGCGCGCAGTTTCATGTAGTGCCGCCCTGTCGATTGGTACTTCCAGCGGAAGCGAACCACTGATCCGGGCTAACGTATTGGCCACCCGGTCGGGCCAGCCTCCCAGTCGGGCCACACTCCAAAACTTTAAACTTGTGCATCTCCACCACAACGTTATAATAAATTATAAAACATTACATACCGGCTTTATGTAGGGTATAGAATAGACACAGATTCTTTTTTTTTTTTAAAAAAAAATACCTTTGCATTTAAAGAAATTAAAGGCATGTTCCTCGTGTTCAAAGTTAGGGTTTTAAAAAAGATAAATAAAGTTATAAAAAATTCTAGTAGATTTATTCTTTAGTTTATAAATAGCTAGTATATAAAAATTTATAGCTTATTATAACGTTGTTGTGGAGATATTACCATGCAAACTTGGTAATTTTTGGTGTTCTTCAAGGTGGCCCGACTGGGTGGCTGGCCCGACCGGGTGGCCAATACGTTAATGCGAGATGACCCTGCATGGCTTACCTCATGAACCGGTAGGGTATTTTATTGTAAGATATGTGGCTGTGCGAGTTGCACAAGCGTTTGGATTATCTTCAAATCCAACTTGGGATTGGGAGCAGTGATAAGACATGGCCTGGTGCTTGTTTAGTCAGCCAACACGCTTCCAGCGTCGAAACTAGCTTCGACACAGCGATCCTACATAATTTGAGATGCAGTCCAACGCACAGCGATACCCATTTTGTAACGTAGAGACATGCCATTACGACGCCCTTGAGCTCCAACGCCTGCTGTTGTTCTCTCTGCTGACCGATCACTCGCACGCCCAGCCCTTCGGCTTGGTCCTAATTTTTGGCCTTGATTGCTGTACGTCGACGCCAGGATGTCTAGTTAAGCGTGTCGAGATGCTCCGCGCCAAGCACCCTCATGCTCACCTCCATCACTCGCACGCCTAGCCCTTCGGCCTGGTCCTATTGGCCTTGATTGCTGTACGTCGACGCCAGAATGGCCTTGAAGGCATGGCGAGGTCTTCACCTGAGCCTAATTACTTTCCACCAGTTTGCTTTCAGCTGGCCATCTTCAGCTAACTAGTCGGCGGTTAAAGCTGACTATCTGCGGACAACCCTCTCTTTGCACTGGGCATTCTCTGAAAACTCTAGCAAGCAAAGAGCCTAAATGCTAACTAAACTATAGAGCAAGCAGCCTTGACTAAACACGGCGGAGATCTCTAAAGTCGCAGGTACACTCATTCATTACCTAGCCTATTCTCTTCACCCTAAGGATGAATTAACTGCTGCAAACACTAAGAATTAGGTAATTTTAGCTTGTTAGTAAAGTAACAGCTATTACTGCCCGTCTGCGCACTTATTATGAAGCAAAGTCGCTGCTAAAAAAGCCACCGCTTGCCACTTAAGCCAAACCTGGTTAGTCTGAGGAGCTGCAGCTAAGTTAAAGCCATCGTCTCAAACGCATTGCAAAACAGAGAAGCTGAATATGTGTATGCCACAGGATTGAACTCGACTGCGTTGTCTAAATGTGTTTTCCACGCAGGCATAAGGCCCCGAATGCCTTAGAACAACATGTCATGATTGTTGCTGGATTTGTGCGTGGCCAAATATAAAATCTTGGATCACAAGAGTAAGAGAAACAAGATGTTTCATTTCAAGTAGTGCCAATTTGTCTCCTGACGCCAACCCGCCGGTTATCATCCATTAGGTGCCTGCGTACCACCGGACCACTACGCTCTCGGCTCAGAGATCCTTCACACAAGTGACACAGAAATATGGCGCGGCTCCCTGCTTCCATCATTGTCCGCCATTGGCCTGCATTCCTGGACTACGGTGACAGATAACGTATACCCGATCGTCCTTGTCCTCACCCTAGTAAATTTGTCCTGCTTTGCATGGTCGTAATGGACAATAATGTTGAACTTTTAATCCTTGAAAAAGATTGCCCACTGATTGCCAGTCCCGTTTCCAGTGATGGTACTATACTGGGCAGACCCAACGCCTGGGTCAAGTAGGGCTGTGTTGACACAAGCTTGTCGGAAGGTTGCAAGCCTCCCATCGGCGTGTTCTTGAGGGCTTACGTTCACACCTGGCCAAAGACGGGTGTCAGTACGAGATTATTGTCTTAGCCTTGGAGTGTAGACACGTACCCTTGTGGTGGAACACTTGCGAGTATGTGTTCGTGAAAGTTCTAACAGACATGGTTGTTTGTGAGTTGATTAAAGCAAATAAGAATTGCTTGATGTTATAGAGACGCAGGATTGAATATAGGGTAAAAGTAAAGTGCTGAGTGGCCTTCCCTGATGATTGAAAGATAAAGGGAGGACTGATAAGTCTTTATATACCCGATATTTGCTCAGCTGTGGACTTTTGTTCCGTCCAGTCAAGAAGTGACGTGACTAATTGAAAGGCAATGTGACCGGTCGAGTTCAATCCTGTGGCATACACATATTCAGCTTCTCTGTTTTGCAATGTGTTTGAGACGATGGCTTTAACTTAGCTGCAGCTCCTCAGACTAACCAGGTTTAGTTTAAGTGGCAAGCGGTGGCTTTTTTAGCAGCGACTTTGCTTCATAATAAGTGCGCAGACGGGCAGTAATAGCTGTTACTTTACTAAAAAGCTAAAATCACCTAATTCTTAGTGTTTGCAGCAGTTAATTCATCCTTAGGGTGAAGAGAATAGGCTAGGTAATGAATAAGTGTACCTGCGACTTTAGAGATCTCTGCTGTGTTTAGTTAAGGCTGCTTGCTCTATAGTTTAGTTAGCATTTAGGCTCTTTGCTTGCTAGAGTTTTCAGAGAATGCCCAGTGCAAAGAGAGGGTTGTCCGCAGACAGTCAGCTTTAACCGCCGACTAGTTAGCTGAAGATGGCCAGCTGAAAGCAACTGGTGGAAAGTAATTAGGCTCAGGTGAAGACCTCGCCATGCCTTCAAGGCCATTCTGGCGTCGACGTACAGCAATCAAGGCCAATAGGACCAGGCCGAAGGGCTGGGCGTGCGAGTGATGGAGGTGAGCATGGGGGTGCTTGGCGCGGAGCATCTCGACACGCTTAACTAGACATCCTGGCGTCGACGTACAGCAATCAAGGCCAATAGGACCAGGCCGAAGGGCTGGGCGTGCGAGTGATGGAGGTGAGCATGGGGGTGCTTGGCGCGGAGCATCTCGACACGCTTAACTAGACATCCTGGCGTCGACGTACAGCAATCAAGGCCAATAGGACCAGGCCGAAGGGCTAGGCGTGCGAGTGATCGGTCAGCAGAGAGAACAACAGCAGGCGTTGGAGCTCAAGGGCGTCGTAATGGCATGTCTCTACGTTACAAAATAGGTATCGCTGTGCGTTGGACTGCATCTTAAAGTATGTAGGATCGCTGTGTTGAAGCTAGTTTCGACGCTGGAAGCGCGTTGGCTGACTAAACAAGCACCAGGCCATGTCTTATCACTGCTCCCAATCCCAAGTTGGATTTAAAGATAATCTAAACGCTTGTGCAACTCGCACAGCCACATATCTTACAATAAAATACCCTACCGGTTCATGAGGTAAGCCGTGCGGGGTCATCTCGCATTAGCCTGGATCGGTGGTTTGCTTCTGCTGGAAGTACCAATCGACAGGGCGGCACTACATGAAACTGCGCGCCGCAGTGCGCATAGGGCTGATGATGACTTCCTGGTATTGGAGGGAGGTTGTGAGGGTAGGATAAGGCTATTCTACAAAAATTCGGAGCGAAAAAGGCTTGAGGTTGGCGCTGTGGGTAGGGAAGCATGTTATGCCACGACATAAGGCGCTGTACAAATCAGGCGCGGAAGCAACGATGCGAGTGTAATTTTTGGGCAAAGTGGAACATAGATATTTAGAACTAGCTGTAGCAGATTATTTTTGTAGCAATATTCGTCGTGCGCATGAGCTTTCTGGTTGCTGAAAGTCAAAGTACTCCTCATTTGTCTCGCCATACAGTGTGTCTCACTACGCAGTGAGGGACGTTAACACATACAATTCCGAGCGCAAAGGTATCATGCTTTCATTCAGTCCACCCACGAACTGCCACTTACGATCACGCAATGCGCACTTTACGCACTTAAATAAGATAGATATTAGGCAGGGCATTTTTTACTGGCCAGGACTATTTGCCTGAACTTTTCTTAGAATAAACTGGTGGCTTGCGAATCTGTTGAATCATCATTCTACCTCAAATACATTTCTCGCTTATTCATGCTATTAAGCCTGTCTGTACTCTTCAGGTATATTTCGATCCACGCTAGAATGAAAATTGGATAGTTATCCCGGATATTTCCTTGCTATCTACCACTTCGAAACCCTCCCTTTCACTAAATAAGCTGGACTTTTGACGGCTAGCTCCACGAGACATCAACGCGACGGCGTTCTGCTGTTAGAACACAGGGATGAAACTGAGAAGGAAGAAAGAGAGCCGAAGACGTAGAGCAAAAGCTGATTAGCTTTCAGATATATATCCATTCGTTCGAAACCCAATCATAATGCTAAAGATGCTGTTCGTAAAAGCAGAGACTTCCCCAAGGATACAAAGCCCTGCACAACTACAAGAAAACAAATTCTCCCAAGGTTGTCACAACAACACAATGCCATCTCAAGACTGAATCCAAATTAGCACCAATCATCCCCAACTTATCCCACCCAGTTCATTTACATCGTAAAAGCTCTCCTCTACAGCAAACCCCCAGTACTCCAGCCGCCTGTCTATTGCCATAAAATCCAGACACCTTCGTTATATATCATATCCTGACTTGGTTCCCCTCACAAGTCAGCCCAAAAGATCATTCGTGCCAAGAACAATGCTGATTCGACTTCCCACACTCTCTCCTTCCATTCCCCTTTTTTGCTTGCTGTTACTCTTAGAGCCCGATGAACTCACTGCGTCTTCCTCCCCGTCCCTTTCCTCGGCCTCGACTTATACATACCCACACCAGGGCTTAACCCTCCATCATCAGCACCGACACCACCATCAAACGACTCCTTGCCTAACGTAATAATCTTGACTGTATTGCCGAACCCAACCGCCACGCTCCTCTTCCCTAGTCTCGTAATCGGGCCTGCCGACGCAACAAACAGTCGATCATCCAAGCCGGCATGTTCAACTTCAGGTGTTAACTCATCCCCGTCGAGTAGAGGCCGAGACATGAAATCGCCTGATGTTGAAAGCATCCAGATTTCCCAATCATATGAGTCTGCAGACGGGCGCTCTGACTTGTTGGGTCGTGCGAACGATGTTTTATTAAAGGAGGAGAATATCCTGCCGTGTTTGTCTTCCTTAGCGCGCAGCTTGAGTGCGGTTCCCGTCGTACCCGGGGATGTCGTGAAGTACCCGGTATCGACGCCTGAAGCGGATGACGAAGGTGTAGGCGTTGACGGACATTTTCTGATCCCTAAAACGCTTTGCATGGTTGTAGACTCCCAGACCCCAGCCGGTTCTATGCAGAATACAGCCTCGACTGCCCGGTCGAGACTTTGGCACTTGGAGGTCGAATTATCAGAAGGTTTGCTTAGGCACATTTGGGAACTGGGAGTCTCGTTGAGAGTAAACGTCTGCATGATGGTATGGTCTTGGTCCTGCTCCGAGTACGCGACTGAGAGGGAATGCACGGCTGGACCTCCGCAAGGACAGAGGCGGCGGGCAGAATGTAGGATCCGGAATGAGTGCGGCTTTACTAGGCCGATCGCAAGTGTATGGATTAACGCTCGGCTTTGGAAGTCAATTATTTCCGCTTCGCCAGCCCGAAGCGCGAATATTAAACCGAGGCTTGAGCATGAGTAAACCCATTTGATCTTTGCCGCCTTAGTGCCTGGAGGCGGGCCGGGATCTAGGCCGGCGACTATTTCGGAAGTCCGTCGATTATGATTTGTGAGGGGTAGTATGTGAACTTTGCCTGCTTTGTTCACATACACCAAGCTTGTATCGTTCTTTGCGCAGGTAAACAAGGTCGCTGACAGAATGGGTGAGGGGCAAATGAGTTTGGTGTGGTGACCCCCAGTCTGTGTTTCAATCTCAGTTAGATAGCCGTCCGAAGTGACAACGATAAGGAAAAGCTTATCCTGGTTCGTAGTATGGATGGTCACGAACGCGAAGAGTATTGGGACATGGCCTCGCAGTTCAATTGTCGAGGAAAAGAGAAAACCACCTCTAGCAAGACTCCAAACTCCGACCTGTCCGCTGTCAGAACAGAGGCCAAGAACGGAACCGTTATCGTTAAATGTGGATGCGACAATAGGCCATAGGGATGGAGCCATTCCTGCTGTTTGAAGGGTGGTGCCAGAATACTTCCCAGGTTCATGGATCCAAATGGATGCCGATCTATCCAAGCTGAGACTCAAGAGATGGCCTTTCGGACAAGCAGTCAGACGCACGATATCTAGAGTCTGTGAAGATGGCAAAGTTTTGACAGAGAAAAGGGTGTCTTTGTCGTTCTCCTCATCGGTGGTCTTAGGAAGTCCGCTCCATAAGAGGTAATTCATCAGCAAGGTGACACCAGCAACCAAAAACACCATAATCAGAGCTGCTGGAAAAGCGTTTTCATGGGCGAGACGTCGTAATCCCCCCAAAAGGTGTGCTGGATTCTCAGAAGCGTCTCTACCTCTCGCTCCTCTCAGAACGACCAAAAGTGGATCGTAGACGCGGGCTGTGAAAGAATAGGCATCCGGCTTGATAAAGCTGACAAGTTCTTTTGCTGTGTTGCAGTCTTGTATCCTCAGCCATTCGGCAGGTGTTCTAGCTTGATTGATTGGCGAGAGAGCCCATGGTAAGATCGCAGGAGTGGCCCGTGGCTGCCTTCCGAATAGCTTATTGAAAGTCCCACGGAGGCTTATTGGTCGACTTCCACTGTCGAAGAAATGCCAGTTGAGAGCTAGGATCAAAGAGACGATAGCAACAGAGCCTGCAAATCGCGTACTGAATGGTAAGGCCCCCTCTCGAAAGGCGCCGAGCCAGGTCTGACGTTCTTGTTTTCCATTCTTTGATGCTTGGATCAGGTCTGCTCGCTCAAGGGAATCTTGAAGCTCTAACCGCTGTACTTCTACGCTAAGAACGGCCAGGAAAAAGGTAAAGTGGTATACCAAATCTAGGACTAGCGTTACGGCGCCAAATATACAAAAATCAACCACCACTGGTGTTACTGCTAGCGATAGCCCATAGATGAAGAGGAGGTTCTGTGCTGCGACTAACAGGGACAAATGCCCCACTGCCCCAACTGCATTTCCAATGCGTTGGACCGGAGGCATTTCTGGGGGAGTCTTAAGAACTTCGTCGATCAGGCGGCCGCTAATGAAGGTTAAGCTAGAATTTTTATTGCTCAGAGAAACGGGGCTTACATGTTTCCTAGCCCAAACAATAGGACAACACAAGGAAAGAGTTCCTTGGGTACACGTGCCAAGTTAAGACCAAGATAGGTGCAGAGGGTAAAACTTGCAATGACACAAACTGCCATCTGGAAAGCTAGTTAGCGTAGAACACGACTGAAATGTAGAAGAGCTGACTTTGGCGCCAATTGTGGTGAGGAGGCCCACCCAGCTCTTCAGAGCATGAAGCTTCCTTATCTCAAGGATCAGGTATATTACAATGCCGGAGTAAGAGAGTGCTAGACCTAAGTCCCAGAACCAGCTCATCTGCTCGAAGCGAAACTCATAGAGCCTGCTTCTGACAACTTTGCCGTCCTGCGGAAATATGGCCCATTCAGACGAGAGATCATTGGCTAATGACATTGATCGCACATCCCACGTAGCACCGAGACTGGAATTGGTTTGGTCGAACAGACTAATCACAAGCGCATCGGCAGCTTGCAGCTTCTTGTTAACAAATGCTTTACCTGCGAAGACCGTACTTGGGCGAAGAGTGAGATTGAGAGTCGATTGATCTGTGGTCCTCGAGTTGATGGTTGCTAAAAGGTCCGAGTCTTGTTCGAGAGCATCTGATGAACAGTTCCAATACATCAAAGGCGTGTGGAAGCCCCAAGTAAACCTAGGGGCAGAGTCCATAGCACATCCATTGCGGCCGGAGGCATGCGAATTGAAGCTTGCGATAGCGGTCCCTGCCTCCACGCCAAAACCATCGCGGATGAGGGAATTTTGAACATAGAGGGCTTGACGCAGTACCTGCACGTCTATGGCATTCATGTAATGGCCATGTACCCAAACTTGCCGGACCTCTACATCAGCAATCCTATCCCCTTGCACCTCTGCTGTTGAAGTCCACACATGTTTGGGAAGACTACGAAGTCCGGCCGCTGCGGGGCTATCGGTTTGAAAGAGGGCCGGATAGCACAGTAGGACGGATATCGCTATGGTTAGGAGGATGGATAGGAGCCAGTGGCGCGCAGTCGCAGTGCCATGTGCCCGGAAAGCGCGTCGAATTGGGTGGGTAGGAGATAATTTGGGTGGTTCAGTCGTACTATTATACACGTGCTTAGTGTCTCTATTGAAGTTTTAGACATGTGTGGAGCACACTCACCCACGTAACGGATAAAGAAGGTAAAAGATCATTCGTCAACAAGGCGAAAGGGCATCGACTGCCCACGTTCTTGATAGGGAACCCCTCAGCACTCAAGCTGAAGATTATGACGTGGAAGTGGAGTAGGTTTCGGCTGTCTCTTCATGAGCCGAGGGAGGAGAGTGAGGGAGCGCGGGAGGAGCGTGGGAGGAACACATAGGAAGGAGCGCGCAAGAGAACGAAGGCGCCGGCTCGGGCGGTCGTGGTCGTGGAAATGGCGGGACAGAACTCTCTTTGGTGGCGGCTTTCGAGGCGCATAACCTGGGCGGAGAAGTTCGCCGAGACTCGATGCGGCTTATCACGGGCCTTGTGTTTCGTTTCAAAGGCGGAATTAGCTTCTAGGCTATTATATAATCCCAAAATGAATTACCTAAGCGTGCATTATTGGGAGGCATGGTTACTGAAATGTTTGCGATTGCGTGAGCTAAATAGATGGGGCGAGAATTGGGACAACACCGAGGGTAAGGGTCACGAAGGTGAGAGGTGAGAATGCGCCTTACCCAGGAGGATGGTACAATGCGTTGGTGGCGGAGGTGTCCTGCAACATTTCTTTGACAGTTACGTACACCGTAGGCTGTGCTCCACTAGACAGCGAGTCCATTGAGATGGCGATCATTACTTTCCACCCTACTCAAGGCGCTGAACGCACTAGAGAATGCCGCTGATCCTGCTCTCCAGTCTCCTTCGGCACTCTCACCTGCGCTACCACACTTTGGTGCCACGGCGCTGCTTCGAAGTGCACCAGCTTCTTCAGAATCTCTGTACCGTAACTTTCCTTGTGTGCAAGTCTTGGGGGCCGATTCAATCCTCACGTACCTTCCATTTCTTCATCACCATCATCATCTGCATCTTCCCATTCCTCTTCCTCTTCCTCTTCACCATTTGACGGTCCCAAACTGTCATTTAGTCCCTTGAGAAGCTCACTCGCGTGGTCCTTTAATCGTTCATCTTCATATTCAAGCATTGAGTAGAGCTTCAGGCAATTCTCCAGCCAGTCAAGGCTGGCGCGCATGAGGGAAGTGACCGTGTCCGACGTCTCCCCCGCCTTCTGCTTCTCGGCGAGGAGATGCAGACACCACCCTCCTAGATACCAAGCCTCCACACTGCTGTCGTTTTCTCCAATTAATCTCTCTAGCACCTCGATTGCGTCTTCCTCCATTTCAGCTTCCATTAAAAGCCTTGACAAGCTTATCCTGGTGGAGAAATCTGGCACTTGAGGGTCATCGGGATCCAGTTCTTTCCACAGCTCCATACTTCTTGTGAGAGCCGCCTTCGCATCATCTATCCTCAGTTGTGAAATCCGTATCGATGCCAACGTCTGCAGGGGTTCTGGACTACTCGGCGCAACGAGTAGAGCCTCCGTGACGGCGGCTTCACATCGAGCTTCGGCATCCTCTTCCCACGAAAGATCTGTCATGTAGACCTCCGCAATTCCGCACAGCGCATTCGCCACCTTTATTTTCTTCTCCTCTAGCACCTCGATGACTTCGGCTTTCTGGAGCTTGCCTTCTAGCTCCCCAACCTCCCTCTTCAGCACCTCTACGCCCTTCTCAAACCATTTCACACTCTCTACCCCACCTTCTTCACAGAGTTGTGCCAACCATAGGAACTTCTCTGCGCCATCTTCCATGCCCTCCTCATCTAGATTTACTGCTGCCAGGAATGCCTCCCTTGCATTGTCGGGTTCGCCCAACTCGACATTTATTTCCCCCAGCAGGTTCAATGCAGGTAACGCAGCTAATGTTGGCTTGGAAGTAGGCTGAAGGAGACCGAGGGCGCGTTTCACATGCACGAGCGCTTCGTCAGGTTGTGAAGTCTGGAGGAAGGCAGCGGCTTGGACGAGAAGTGTTTCAGGCGAGGCCTTAGGTTTCTTAGGGGTGCCATTGGAGGCGCCATTCTTTCCGTGCTTCTTGGACTTCCGTGAGCGGTCTTGCGGCTTCGTTTTCGCCATGATTGTGGGCGGTAATTTTGGCGTTTAGGTCGGGAGATTTAGGGCGATGCTCGTTGAAGTGGTGATGTGCTGGTGGAGGAGGCTCCAAAAATTTCCAGGCCGGAAAATCTCCCTGGCCCGAGCTTGGAGGGGACTTAGCTTAGAACCCCTCCAAGCAGTGGACCTCGAATAAACTACATTCTGCACCGGAAATCTTGTATCATGGGTATTGAAGAGCAGAAAGAGGAGCGAGAGGTGCTCGAATCCATCTTCCCAGACGAAATCACAGGTTCGTAAACTGTGCGATTATAGGGTTTTCCTATTGCTTGCCCGACATTCACCTCCCCAGATGTCTCAGAGACGGAATATCGAGTTTCTATCATCCTTGACGCTGGCGGCGACGAAGAAGAGCCCGAAGCTCGTAAGTCTATGGTCCCTTAACTACCTATAAATGATGCTAATATTCAGCAGCAACAATAATCCTCAATGTCCAGTACCCCGAAGCCTACCCCGACGAAGCTCCCCGACTTGACGTTAGCGCCCCGCCCAATGCCCCAAAATACCCCTTCCTCGACATTCAAGAAGACAAGGCACAGCTGCTTTCCTCCCTACATGACACAATTGAAGAAAACATCGGCATGGCCATGGTCTTCACGTTAGTCAGCACCCTCAAAGACCTAGTCGAGCTCCTAATCCAAGACCGCAAGACCGCACAACAAGCTCTCAAAGAAATCGAGGCACAAAAGATCGAAGAGGAAGAGAACAAGAAATTCCATGGCACGGCTGTGACAAGGGAAAGCTTTTTGGCTTGGAGGGAGAGGTTTCGGATGGAGTTGCAGGAGGAGGAGCAGCGAAGGATAGAAGAGAAAGAGGCTGAGGATAAGAAGAAAAAATTTAAGGAGGAGAAGAGGTTGACAGGGAAGGAGTTGTGGCAACAGGGCTTGGCGGGCAAAGGTGAAGAGGATGAGGGAAAGGATGGTTTGGAGGGGATGGAGAAGTTGAAGATTGAGGCTGTCTCATGACACATATAGTGGATCTACTGGTTCATTAATATTCTCATGGCTACCAAGATGCCACGCTTCACAGGAATTCAGAATGATGATTATGGGAGCAGAGCTCATTAAGATTTCTCCTTTCTCCCCCGACGGCCTCTAACGATCTTCTCGCCTTCCTCAAGCGCTAATGCAGTCTCCTTGTCCACAATTCGCTGCATCTTCCATGCAATAGCCTTATCTCTATTCAAATCCCGCTCATGCGCGCTTGCATTTTCCCTCATAGCCTGCTCTACCTCATATGCCCAAGTGACCTCCCCTTCTTCGCGTCTCCTGTTGCCCTCCCCCTGTAGGACCCCAAAGTGCGTCGAAATGATATCATCCCACCGATCTTCATATTCAGCGATCGGTCGCCAGTAATTCATTAATATCATCTTCTTATCAAATCGCTCGATCTTCTTGTCCAATTTCTGCCTCAAAATCCTGCTTAAACTCAACGGCTGAGGCTTTCCTAGACGTAAGAACGGTATGCCGTTTGCAGAGGCTAATATTGGGACTTTTCGCGGGCCCGGAACATGTGCATATGGACGAACATGGAGGACAGCTCTCTCGGGTGCAAGGCACGCGAGCAGATTCTTGGACGGATGTGGTGGAGGCTGTGGGCGACGTGGAGGGGGAGGGCGTGTCATACCGGGGGGCAAAGTAGATATGAAAGATGTGATGAATGCTATGCTCCCTTCATCGCCGGTTCTGGCGCCATCGAGATGGTCGAGAGTCTGCGTATCCCATTGAGGTTAGCAAAAGAGCAACCGGAGCGCCTGTATTCGCAGAACTAACTTCATAGCCCGCCCTAAAAGCGAGACCTAGCTGATACGGACTCTGTATCTTTCTATTTCTTCGGAATTTGTTGCGAAGGGCATTCTGCAAGGCGTTTCGACACTCATCTGGAAGTGGTGTGCACGAACATCGGGATAGCAGCGCTCGGTACAGGGCAATTGCTTTCGCAGGATGTTAGAAAGGATAGCAGTACGAAGAGTGGTGACTAACCTGCTACCCGGTGCGGAGTTGAGCTTTTAGGATGAAGAAATCGGGGCATGCATGAGGAGTGGGAGAGGTTGGGGGCTCTACTGCAACCCGATTTCTGGAGGATTTTCGCCACAGCCGCTCACGTGACGGACTTTTTTACCGACGCCTTAGGTTTTAAGGCCGTCCTGCAAAGGACCTTGAATATTGCAATGATGGTAACGAAAGAAGTCAATTTCTGAATGTTGGTACTGAGTCAAAGCATCTTCTCTCTAGCTCCTAAAACCTAGACACACCCAAACTCCATACCTATGCACGACATAATGATCAAGAAGGCCAATCGCTGCATACACTCTTCTTCCCCAACACTCCGACCCTTATAGCACCTAGTAACGATAGACATATGGCAATCGTCAATCCGCCTAATATGACGAGCCTTCCGGGGGTTGCGGAAGCTTCTTGTGCTGAGGAAGTGCCATATATCTATAATTCGCATTAGATAAAAACAAAGCGACGCCCCGAGGCGACTTACCGGCGCAACTCAATCAATATCGTTTCCATAGTGAACTCTCGCTTCCATTGAACAAGACATGGCAATTTGCTGGGATCAACCTTCTGTGCGATTAGCCTGGTCTAACGTTGAGCTTATGGATTCTCCCCACCTTTCCGTTCCTCTGATCAACACACGGTAGGTTGATCTTCGATACAAACGATATCTCTGGGGGTACGTCGGGGTAGCTCGGGCCACAGTGGATCTTCAGGCTGTAGATGCGGTTCTCATGGACACTCTGAGCATTGGGTCAGATCGTGTTGCAGGACAGAGGATGAAGGATGCTTACATGTGGTGGGCCAAGAATTGTACCATTCCAATCCGACATCAGGAGGTCGTCTCCATTATCAAGACCATACGAACACGCCTCTGGAAGTGAGTTAGGTCAAACAGAACTCTAATGTTTGAGAAAGGGTCGTCCTACCAGCCCCCAGCCCCTTCTCACCCTTCTCGAGCTCTTCTAGTAAGCGGAAGTTACGCGGAACCTTTGCACCCATTGTGGTGGCTGCTAGGTAAGAGATGAAAGAAGTGAGTTAGGGATATGGGCTGAGCCCCGCTATGTAAAGTTATGGTGGGATTTTTCTTCAGTGGTGCGTGGATGCGGTATTATTTTGGAGTTTTTGTAAACTCCTAGGCTTGGGATGGGGTGTTTAGGAAGAATGAGGGCGTGTGATTGCACAGCACTGGTGAAGGGCGAGGATCGCGGGGGAACTGGCAGGCTGTCACAAAGCCTTGGCAGGCCAGAACAGCAGGCACATCGAGGGGTTAGCTCATCGTCCGGAAAAGGGTTTTACCGACCCGAGTTGTCTAAGCCAGGTTGCCTTCTGACATTGACCTTGACTACAACAACAATTCGAAACTTTCTTGCACCCTCTGTTGTGTGCTACCGCAAAACTGTGCACAGATGCACCCGCCGTTACCTGGGGATAATGACAGCACAGATTCTGGCATCTGAGCTCGGAAATCTTATTCAAGATTCAAAACGCAAGAATACGGAATTAAGAAACGCTGCAGAGAAGTCTCTGCAGGACCTAAAGGCTCTTCCAGTAACTTCCGAAACCCAGTTAACCGGAGGTAAGACGTTCGTTGACCTCCTAGATTGTTGTCGTGCTAACAGTGGGGGAGACCTTTCTCGGCGTCCGCACTTTATTTCACCGTTTCTCATAGCCTGTAGCACTCATAATGCCAAATTTGGTTCTACAGGAGTCTCTTGTCTCCAGAGGCTCACTGTGGCTCGAGCGTTGCCGAGGGAAAGGCTGACAGAAGTGCTCGAAGCATTTAAGGATTCAGTCTCATTGAGTACGTCTACAAGCATCTCTTAGGATTCAGGACTAAACAACATATTAGGTCACGATGTACAGCTCAAAATACTGCAAGCGCTTCCCTCGCTTCTCCAAAATTATTCCTTCGAAATACGCGGCGAGCTTCTCTCAATCACTTTACAGATATGCTCAGCCCTTCAGAATGCAAAGAACTTTGCCGTAAGCAACACAGCTGCAGCTACTCTACAACAGCTCGTTATAGCTGTTTTCGACAGAGTGGTGGCCGAAGATGGTATACAAATCTGCTCTAACTTACTTCACGTTTCATACTAACTGCCATGACAAGAAAAGGCCTTAGAAATCCCAACAATCACGGAAGTTACTGGAGATGCAGGGCCTGTTCCAGTTAGACCCGCTGCTTACGATGCTTATAAGGTCAGAATTATTAACTAGAAACTTACCTTCCTGCTAAGTCCACGTAGGTCTTCAACGATCTCAATCTGATTGTGACCGGGGAAAGGCCATCGTTCATACGGTTCTCCTCCATTCCTGCTACGTCTACCCTCGAGCTTATAGAAGCCATCTTGTCCAATCACGGCAGCATCATCTCTACCCATACCGAGCTGGCTCAGGTTCTTCGAACTTTACTCATGCCTATGATCATCAGGTCTCTCTCCGATAGGCACTCCTTCCCAATCACTCTTCGTACATTCCGTATTCTTTTCCTACTCATCCGCAACCATTCGGCAATTATGCCTTCGGAATGTGAAATCGCCTTGGGCCTGCTCAATCACATGCTAGACCCCGAGGCATCCCCACTTTGGAAGAGAGCACTATGTCTTGAGATTTTCCGTGGATTGTATTCAGAGCCACGCCTCGTACTTCAGATATATGGTCAGTTTGACGAACAGGAAGGAAAAAAATGCATCTTCGGGGACAACCTAGCAGCTTTCGTACGTCTTGCAACTGAGAAGCCGGCCATTATTGGTATCGGCCAGCATTCTACTGTCCCAGCGGCCCGCACCGATGGCAAAGACACGGCTTCTGAGCAAGCAGTCGCGGAAGCTGGAGCAATTGCGGGTGTTATAGGTACGCCGGTATCCGACTCATCTCCCGGTCATCATACAGGAATCAGTACACAATGGAGTACACTAAAAACACCCTGCATGGATCATCTCGATAAAGCGGACCCGCCAACCTTACCGGAGACATATGTCTACAGTCTAGTCCTCACTTGCATAACAAATCTTTCTGAAAGCCTTGCTAAGTTTGTCCTACCCCTGACGGTACACCACGAAAGCAAGAGTAAGAAAAGGAGCAAAACCGAGGATCTACCGAAGGAGGACCTAGAGGCAGTTTCTCCAGGGCCAAGCAATCGACGGCTTTCGAGGACCCAGTCCTATCGAAAAAAAACTGTTCCTGTTAACCCGCTCACTTTAACGGATCATTCTGCACATTTTCTGATTCGCACTACGTCAGCACTTGTTAATGAATGTTGGCCCGCTGTTCTTGCGACTTGCTCAACTTTCCTCAATGCTGCCCTTGACGCAGATTTCTATCGAGCTCTAGTCCGAGCAGTCCAAAAATTTACACAGGTGGCGGGGCTCCTGCGACTATCAACCCCCCGGGATGCTTTTCTCACAACCCTTGGCAAAGCAGCGGTCCCATCGAATCTCGTCCTTGCAAACATGGCATCACCCAAAACACCAACTCCCGAGAATGCCGGAGTATTCACTAACGCAAAGGGCTTACTAAGTGTTGATAGCCTCGTGAGCCAGGCGTCTTCGATGTCCCTCGACAAGAATCGACGACCTTCCCATGAAGCTAGCCTACCAATGCTGGGCCCTCGTAACCTTTTATGTCTTCGAGCATTACTGAACCTTGCAATCGCTTTGGGACCGACTCTCCAATCCGCCTGGTCGATCATTTTTGAGACTTTGCAGATCGCGGACCTAGTCATGGCAATGTCAAACTACCAGAGTGGCGTTCGTACACCAATTGCATCTGGAAACCGTGTCGATACAGAGTCATCGTTTGAGAAGGTCGAAGCGGAAACATCCGCGGTTCAAGCAGCTGCACGAAGGCTATTCGAAAGCACAGTGGACTTTCCAAACGACTCTTTCGTTGAGCTACTGAAAGCCCTGTGCATGCTTCTCCACTCAGAGAGTGACAGTGGTTCACGCACGCCAACTAATCTGGTTCGCCCACCGGCCCTACACCAGCGTCGCATGGGTAGTGTATCTGGTATTTCTCTAAATACTGAGAATAATGCTCGAGATTCAGTCTTCGCGTTGAACAAGATTGGGGAACTCGCAACCCTGAATGAGTCAAGGCTAGCTCAATATGATCCTCCTGAGAGTGGTTGGAATGTCTTCGTTGCTGAGCTCGTCCGGTTTTCTGCAGACGAAAGTAAACCGGCATCAGCAAGATTGCTCGCAGCAGATATATTGTCCCGAACAGTCAGGGAGATAGCGGAATTGTCCATGGTCGACGAACAACGCAATGACATCCAGATCAGAATCCTTTCCGCTCTTCAGACCCAGATATCTGCTATGCACAGCAACGACGACGAAGACGAGACCTACAATGATACTGATATTAGGATTCACCAGATTGCTCTCGAGGCATTGAAAAATGTCTTGGAGCAATGTGGAGAGTCTCTCGTCGCTGGTTGGGACTCGGTCTTCGCTAGCCTTCTAAGTGTATTTATTTCCCAATCCTCCGACATAGTAGAAGACGAATCAGAAGATAATGCTCGGAATGGACACGCTATTCGCTCTGGTCAGATCGAAGTTATTTCACGACAGCTCGCTCGATCAGCATTTGGAACCGTCCAACTCGTCTGCTCGGATTTCCTCGCTGCGGTTCCTGATACCTCACTATCAACTCTTCTTGAGTTGTTACTCAGATTCTCCTCCGCACAGGAAGATCTAAATATGTCACTTACAGTAGGTTTTGGTTATTGCATGACACCGGGTTTCATACTAATTTGTGCAGACGATCACGTTCTTTTGGAACGTTTCTGACTTTCTACATTCACGGGGTAACCTCTCTGCACTACCAATATTGCTCGACAGCGTCGAGAAACAATGCGAAGTGCAAAAAATGGTTCAACGGCATTCTCAGCAAGGGTCAATACCCACACTGTGGCTTCAGGTACTGCTGAACTTGTCAGTGATCACCATAGACAGACGAGCTGAACTTCGTAATTCCGCTGTACAGACCATTCAGAGAATATTCGAAAACTACGCCGACCAGCTATCGTCGCAAGCCTGGATGCTGTGCCTCCGCACCGTCCTTTTCGACATGGTCGATTCTAACCTTTCCGTCCAGACGTCAATCCATAGCGAGCACCGAACGACTGCAGACGAGATGGCTGCCTGGAATGACACTACCAAAACCGTTCTAACTTCCGTCAGCAAGTTGATGTCAACATATATGGACCAGGTTGATCAATCTACAAACCTTGGTGACGCATGGTCAGCTTTGCTAGACTACCTTGAGCGTTTCTTTGACTGTAATTCCCATGCTCTTGGGTCATCAGTATTCTCCACGATTACTACCATATTATCCCGAATTGAAGATTCACAGGCACTGGGAAACGAACCGCTCCTAAAGACAGCAAGCGTTTGGAAAAGCTATTTCCAGCATCGTGAAGCATGGCCCCAGCATCTAGAAGGGAGCCAGGAAGCTTTTGTAGCGTATGCCGAAGCTTTCAAGTCCATCTACCGCCTCGCTCATGGTTCCTTGGATGCCGACATTCCCGAAATGCTGGCTAACCTCGAAACCTGCATCATTGACTCAGACGAAGTGGCATATTCGTCAGACCTCGACCACATGACTCCTTTGCAGACGCAAGTCATGGAGTGCTTGGCTATGGTTCGCTCGGAAACACCAAAGCTGCCTCCGCTCTTGATTGAGTTGCTGAGCCGGCTCGCTACGCTGCCATATAACTCCGTCGCAACTAATCCGGAAAAGCGTAGTCCAACTTTCGTTGCGCTCTCAAAAGCATCAATGAGTCTACTGCAAAGTATTACGATAAAACACATAAACGAAGACCAACTGTATATCACTGGGGCTTTTAGCGTCGCATTGGCTAGTCTCTTGAAGCCAATCCAAGAGAAGTATGTCTGGCAGCGCGAAGGAAAGAGTCCAACACTCTGGCAAAAGTCCACTACCACGGCGCTCGCTATTCTCGAGCCTGGGTTGCCTCAGATTATCAGATTGTCTGATCTGAAAAGTGAGCAGGCTAAAGCAATATGGACTCAGATTATAGGTCTAGCAGGAGCTATCACACGCGCTCAACTAGACTCAAGTAATCCCTCAGCATCCATTGAAAAGGATGAAGCCTTTGATATATCCGCGTTTGCCAAATTGCGCAGGCTGATCACTCTCCCCCTCGGCTCCACAGCTCTATCGGACACCCTCAGACGAACATACACCCGCGACCTATTCACAACCTCCATCATCCACTCTCCCTCCCCAGGTGAGATCACTGACCTTACCAACGCACCTCTAGAACACCTCTACAAAATTCGGTTTGGCCAAACCAAAGACCCAGAACCATCCCTTCGCCCAGAAATGGGATACGAATGCCTCTCAGAACTCATTTCTCTAGTCTTTGTCCACGACAGCTCTCCCAAACGCATTAAACTCGCCCAAGCAGCAGCACCCTACTTCATCCTCCGTGCTGCCCTGCCTCTGCGAATGTATATCGCTGATCAGCCCCTTCGAGGCCGAGGGCCTATGCCTGAGAGCCAGAGACGTGAGCTACTCTTTGTGTTAAGAGAGCTTAGGGACTTGAAGAGTGAACCAGCTGCTATTCCGGATGCTCTGGGCGTGAAGTCAAAGCATAAGAAGCATTTGCATAGGCTGTACCCGTTGCTGGTCAGGGTTGGGATGGTCGCGAGGGCAGACAAGGAGATTTTTGAAGCAGTGGGAGCATTGGTGGAAAGTGTGGGAAAGGAGTTCGGCGTGCTAGATGATTGATTTGTACGGTCATTGGCTTCTGTAGTGGCATGATCGGATGGGGAGTTTGTGGTTTTGTTAGTCCCCTGCGAATTTGCAATGAGCTTGGAATGAAACGAGAGTGCTTGATTCTACATTCGCCTACACGCGTCTGCACGACGCAAGCGTTTTTTAACAGTGGCAAAAATGTGGTCGAAATAAACATGACTCGTTCTGACCGAAAACCGCCGATATCTGTCTCCCTCGGCGATACACAGAATCTTGTATCTCTTAGTTGGTGTAGCTCGGTGGAGAAAGCAGATGTGAGAAGTTTTAACTTTATCTAAGCCTTTGGTCCTTGCCTAAGAACGCTTGTAAACCACACGCAAGCCACAAGGTGCCTAAAGTCCGTTTGCCCTAGCACTCTTTGTTGGAAGCTCCACTAAATGAGCCTGGCAAACGGATGACGGACGGATGGCTTGACTGACTCAGTATCCTTGTCCCACCGCTTTGGCCAGATGGTTTGTTGATGAGATAAGGCTGGCGTCAGATGGGAATTGCATCTGACACTGTTATAAGCTAGGAGGTTTGCCTAATACATTGACGGTATGAGATCGTCAGGGGCTAGGCGTTATGAGTCGTAAATTTCCCAGACGTTTCCACGACGCATTGTTAGGGGGGCGTGCAAGGCGGCGGAGCTAAGGAGATTTTTGATTTTTGGGAGAAGTGTGGTGGGTTAGACGGAGCAAGGAATATCTCGTGCGGGGGCTGGATTGAAGAGCGATTGATGGCACGGATTCAACGAGGCGGCTGTAATTGGGCAACGATAAGTTTAAACCGCAATGGGAATCACCTCAGGGGAGAGAAGGGATATCTCGGAAGGATTTGAAAGAAGATCGCCGATAAAAAATAAAAACATGGCAAGAATCTGATTTAAGACAGGAATCAGTGTCTTCATAATACTCTCCAAAATTTCAGCAAGATGCCTTACGAGACAAAGCATCTATATTATTGTTCTGAAAGATGTGCAAACAAGCTGTAAGGATAGAAACTTGAGAAGAAATTGTTCAATTCTTCTATCTAGAAAGATTTCGCACCAATGTCATTCCAGTGACAGGGTACCCCAAGTTTCGCCAGAAATGCTCTTTGCTGATGTAGTCTATACGAAAGAAATGATGCACAGAGAAGGTCTCTAAGCACCATAGACCCTAAGCGCCTTCTCCAAGTGAGTCTTAGGCTTAGGATCACCAGCAGGGGCGGTGGGCTTCCCGAACACCATCTGACACTTGAGGGCCCACGATGCGGGGACGTCATAGGTCTTGTTGACGTATGGGGTAATTGATGGCTGGTAGTGCTGAGCGTTGCAGCCCAAGCCCTCAGCCTCCAGGGCAGTCCAGACGATGAATTGGTGCATGCCGGAAGAGTGCTCCTCCCACTCAGGATAGGTCTTTGAGAGAGCGGCAAAGCGGGGAGTCAGGTCGTTGTAGGCCTCGGAGTCGTCAAAAAACATACACTATGATAATGTTAGAAAATCTTAAACAGTATAAGACTTGGTGGGGTATGAAATGGGAAAGGAGCCTAGATCCTGCCGCTAATTTTATTTAGTCTAGAAACAATAAAATTATTCAATTTTCTTTATTTGTATTCTGTAACAGGTGCTGATATACCATGATATGGCTCAACAAAAAAACTTGGGGGACCTACAGTGCCGTATGCGCCTTCAAAGCCCTTGACTAAAGTGGGGTATAATTAGTGGATGTTCATAGAGGGGGGACTTGGAGACAAACTTTTTGGGCCAAGAATGCCAATCGCTTGCGGAGTAGCAGCCTCGGTCACCTTGTACGCATTCTCCCAGAGCTTGCTGTGTTCCTCGCCGAAGAGAACAATGCAGCGAGTGCTCCGGACATTGAAGGGTGAAGGGGCGTGTTTCAAAGCATGGTTAACGATCTCGAGGATACGGTCGTTGGAGATAGGCGACTCCTTGGAGAGAGCGTACATAGATCGACGCCCAGCCACGGCAGTGAGAAAGGGAGTTGTAGAAGCCATGTTTGTGTGTTAAGAAACTAGGAAGGTGGCTGGGAAGGTGCGGGGTGGTAAGAGCGTGAGGCAAAGGCTAGTATCTCAGGACTATATCTAAACCAAGATGTGCCACAGGCTAAGAGGTAGGTACGGGAGAGGAGAGACGGTGATTGATAGAGGTAGAAGAGAGTAAACGAAGAGGTACTTGGCTTCTTCTTGTACTTGAGCCGTGCCGCTCAGCCACCCTGCCTGAAAGCTTACCGCCTGAGAGAGAGGAATGTAGTTCCTGGAAGATCGGTTAGCGAAACCCCCGACCATGAATCTCCGGGGCCGAAAAAAGCTTGATAGCCCAGCCAGCAGGAACAACGCGATCTAACGGTGCAACCAGATGCCGGATATGGCTCCTGAAAGGTCGGTGAAGCGGCGAATGCGGTGCCTAATTGATGCCGATAGCTACCTCGCAAGAGTGTCGGGAGCAATTCCTGTGCCGAGGGAGAACAGGGCTGCAGATGCCTTGGTGTGGGAGTTGGACGGTGCCGCCTCGGCGCCAAGCAAGCTTGAAAGGAAGCAAAGCCTTGTTTGAACTTGGCTTTGGCCGAGCTAACATTCATCAGGCATGCGGAGCGAGTCGCCCTCCGAAGCCGCCGTTTCTTCGCGCACCGTTACAACTGTGAAGCCTTGCACACGATAGAGCATTGGCGGAGGGCTTTTGCGCCCATCGAATCCACCGTTTCAGGCCAAGGCACAATTCAGACTGTGCAACGTACCAGTGGCAGATCCGGACTGCACTGTGCTCTCTGACGACGCCGCTCCCATGACGGCAAGGTGCTTACTGGCTTCCTTCTGCCAGTTGCCGTTTCATCGTGCTATCTTTGGAGGGCTGAGGAGGGAAAAGACATCTTGGTCGTTGATTCACAAACAGGATTCGACTCAGGCTTCCCAACACAACATACAAGCTACCGTCAGCGAATCAGAGCTACGGAGACGCTCGGATCACGTGTAAGGCGGTTCAGCTCGGGAAGACTATTATCCGTGGGGCGGTTATTCTTAGGATTAGCCTGGCTAAGACGCTACGCTCCCTTTGGGTCATGATCGACGCGACCCCAGATGCCCTGTACTTTCTGGCTTCCACCCCTCATCCTCGCCACTCGAGAGCTCCAACCGCAGATACGGACTTGGCCTTCAACCGTATGACCCGTACTCGTCTCATTTCGTCTATCATTGCCCTTTCCATCGCCAGTTTAGCCAGCTGAGTATCTGTCTCAATACACCAATGGCTCGTGTTTTCGTGGTTACCAAAGAAACGCATCCCAACGCCCGAGGTGCAATGAATCTGAGGGGTAGTCCCCAGGAACGGTGGCTCTGGAAATACAGTGAGCATATCTGCTGCCAATGGAATCTACTAGCGTCCTCAGTGTTATCAGCACACACCGCCTGCCCAGTGTCACGACTTTTTAGCTTTAGAGATGAACTGTGCCGACCGAGTGATGAGGCACATATGCAGACACAACGGGATATGCTTGCTGCTGCACGCCAGCAGACCGGATTGCCCGCATTCACGATCTATCTTCCCTGTCTTGCTCTGGTACTTGCTGCAGCTGCAGATTTTACCGCGCCGGCTATGTCATCTGTACGATCCTGGTTCGTCGTTTCAGTGCTTCAATGTCCGCCGGTTGGACTTGTTGTTAGCATAAAAATGAGTTTCGGTTGACGAGACGAAAATCGCGATTTTACCTCAGCCCCCTGATATCTCTAGCTAGATAACGTGCTGAGACATTGTCCCTGTCTATGGTTGGACCTATGAGGTAAGCCAGCCTGGGACCGCACATGTGCTTGCGTGCTGTTACAGCCACCCGCAGATTGAAGATGCTCTCTACGTCTTGCAAACTTCCCGAGGACTGGTACGAGCTTGAAGCTGCGGACGCGAGACACGCGACGGCCCTTCTCTGTTGTGGACCGTTGGCATCGGCCATTGGTCCCTGTAAGCTGAGCTTATTTTCATTGCTGTGCAGTAGGAGCGGCATCTGCAGCTCTCCATCAACGTGATGGAGACATGCTTCCTGGATCCCGGAAGCTCCCAGGTTCCAAATAAAACTCTCCAAGCTATATATTCATATCATGCTTCTCCCCCTATGAATATCTACCACATCCTGAGCCACTAATCTTCTCGAAACTTCCATTCGTCCCAACCTAGTACCCATTCAGCCCTACCAACAGCGGTTCAGTAAGACAATCTATTCCCTTCTTAGGCAGTCACATTTTGTCAACCCGCACCGAGACCTTCAACGAACCTCGATCCTTCTACCTCCACACCACGCTACCTTTACCACACGATGGACTCGTACAACCCAGATATGGAGATCGACTCTGTGGAGACCCAGCTTCCAGTAACCCGGCCAGCACCATCACGAAGGAACACCGACAAGCCTCCGAAGCTTCGGTCCTCTTGCGATATCTGTGCTAATGCCAAAGTCAAATGCGATAGAGAACGTCCGGTCTGCCAGCGCTGCATAAATTCTGGCATGAGATGCAACTATAGTGTGTCTCGACGCATGGGAAAGCCACCACGAAAGGACGCCAATGGGAACCCAATGCCTAAGAAGTCGGACGCTAAGAACGCTGAGCGAAGGTCAAGCACTCTATCCACCCCAGAGCGTGATTCGAAACAATCTCTTCTCGACGAGCAGCAACTAGGCGAAATTCCAGATCCTCTTCAGGACACGGCTTTCGAAAATTCCTTACTTAATTTCGACCACACACCCGCTTTGCCTTGGCATGATCTTAATTTCATGTCTGATCCTAATAACTTTGGCTCCAATGACAGTTTTCTGTCCTCGTCTGCCCTTCTGGCCCTGGAAAGTTCCATGAACTTTATGGATAGTTGGGGCTCTGTCGACCAAGGCAATGACCTTACTCGCGTCTCCAGTTCCTCCGAGACGTTTTCCGATGCCGAACTTAAAGGTTTTACCTACCCGGCCGAACCCTCGCCATCACCATCTCCATCAACGACCCGAGGCCTAGGCCAAGCTCGATATCCACATCATCCACAACATCCTGTTCACGGAAGGAAAGAATCTTGTAGTAACCTGGCTAGCACCACGCTTCAGAGTCTACATCTCCCGCAAAACTTCTGTCAATCCAACCCAACTAGTGCGCCAAGTGGGCCAACTCCAGCGTCAATTGACCAGGTCCTTGCAACCAACAGAAAAGCTATTCAAGTATTCAACCAATTGCTCCAATGTCCTTGCTCCAGCAACTCAGGACTCGTTCTAGCCCTTTCCCTTATCATTCTGAAGATACTCTCTTGCTACAGCGCCATTGGTCGAAGCACAACCTCCCGTACTACATCGACGGGATCTGTAATGTCGGACCCCACGTCCGGCACGAGCACGCCATGGGAAGATCGGGAAATGGTTATGGATATACCCATTTCGATGGGGGCCTATCAAATCGACGCAGAGGATGAGCAGCACTTGAAGCTGCAACTTGTTATCAATGAGCTTCGGAAAGTGTCAAAGTTGATTGATGCGTTTGCGGGCCGATATTGCAGGGGAGCGCCCGGTGGCGACGGCATCTATGGCGCACTAGAAAAATTCCTGAAAGCGGAGCTCAAGACAGCATCCAAAGAACTCAACACTGCATTACGGAACAGTGAGGACATGTGAATACTTGCAAATGGGGAAGGAATTTGGGTATGTCGGGTTAGATTTCATTCGTTATCTTGCAAGGCGTTTATTGGTTTCGTTGGGGCTTTAGACTGTACATATACGATTCTTACGATCTTTTTCACACCCTTTTTAATTTGGTGGCTGTCTGCATAGTGTCTCTAGATTTGATTCGCACCTTTTAGACAGATATCCTTAGTTTCTAGTCACAACTTAAAAGTACATTGCAGCGCCGAAGTTTTACTCCCGTGCCTATCTAAAGTGTATTGGCTCTTGTTGCTACAACTGGGGAGTCTGTCCAGTAGTTGCAGGTTTCCTCCATAAATCGGACCGTGATGATGCATTATTTTCTCCCTTGGCTGCCGTAAGACGCAGCTCGACGTTTTGATCTGCAATCCAAAAAGTTGCAATGACATCACACTAGTCCGTTGCTATGATTAGTTTACTGATCCCGACGGAACATGAAGAGAACATGTTGAGATGCCAAATCTAGCGATTACCCTACACTTTCGGTTGGTACAGATTCATGAAATTCCTCAATCTAGAATTTTCCCTCGTCCTTCAAGGCGGTCGCGTCAAGCTTTACCTAAGGCGTTCCAAGTCTAACGGAGGTCTTGGATGTAGGGCTTATGTTGGCATGATGTTGCGTCCGGAGGATGAATGTAACCGCAGATCTTCATTTAAGCACCCCAAATCCCTCTTACGTTCTCAGGTACCGTTTGTGGGAAGCCTTAGCTGATGAATTGACTTCTCACGTGTGATGACAGCGCCTGGGTGTTTACGGTGCTTTTGGATGCTCATGCCCATACTCATCCCTCCGTTTTATCAGGAGTCCGTGGTTTGTTTTCGGATGGCGCTATCTCGGAATCTGATCCGCCAGAGGTGGCGCAGAATGCAGAATGTAGCTTTCGCTAAGTGGGTTGAGGCTAACTTAAAACGGGTACTCTCGTGCTCATGGACGTCCTTCGATGCTCTAAATTTCATCTCTGTAGACGACTTTCTATCTTAATGCCAAGGTGTTATCATACGCCTTCAGTTATTCAAGCTTGGGTGCACGTTCTTACTTACTACCCCCAAGATTCGGCCCGCTGACGTTTCCGCGTCTGCGGACGACCGACCGTTTGCGTCGGTCGGTCACCGAGAATCGACCGCTTACCATTGGTGTTTCCTCAAACTTCCGTATCTGCGTGCATCCGTACGCAAGCTCAAGTGGTCTTTGCTATCTTCAGCCTCCCATGGGCCCCTCGTCCTTGCTTTCTACACTGCTCTAGCCAGGACAAGAAGGCGAAAAGGCAACTCTTATTCCTAAAGCTTGGTTCAAAGTAAGCATCTGAGGCAGATCTACCAAGCTTCGGATCCCAGCGCCTGGAGAACCTACAACTTGGATGATGTGTAGGGATCTGCTGACGATATCGTTTCTTAGATGTTCTTGCGTCCAGAGACGCATGTTTGACCCTCCAAGTGTTGTGTTATGGCCAACGATGCCCGCCCGTCCTGTCCTAGCAATTGACATGCATGACTGTCCATCCCATCTCATGCATCCCAATCTGATGGATCAAGTGTGTCTTCCCACGGTTGCCGAGTTTGTCAAGAATGTCAAGCTGTCAACCCAGAAGCTTCGTGTCTTCGAGAAGCGACCAAGCTTACGGCCAGTGCGTGAGACAGGGTCAGGTACCAGGTAAGACAAGACCCCACAAACCCACGTATGCTCCAGACGATGCAGACCTGGCTACGCCATCCTCGAGCATTGTTTGCAAATTAAAAAACAAAAAAAAGTGGCCATCCCTGCAGATTTTGAAAGTTTCCAGAATTCCACCGTGTTCGGTATCGTACCCCATCATCGTAGTTCCTTGAAAAAGTCCGTTCTTTTGCACCTCTGAGAACTCCCACAGTACGTTTCGTAAAACGCTTATCTATTTTCTCGTATCCTCTTCGCTTTCCTGCAAGATTGATTCTAGTCCGTTCCGTATCAGATGCAATCCAACAAGCCCTCGGTCCACCGTGCGGCCTCGATCGGCAGGACGAGCAGGGCTTTGCCACGCGACAGACGAGAAGACGGCCCGTTCTCCAAGCCATCGTCAATCTCAGCAGCTTTGCTCTTTATTGGAAGTCAATTCGCATCCCGAACATCTTCTCGAGCCTCAATATTGAGGTCGGCCCGGCATTGCGGTCCTTTTACCTGACGCCCGTCGGGACAGGCTTCACGCAGCTTCAGAAGCACATGAGAGGCGGCTTGAGTGCAGACAAATCTGTGTCACTGTGTCGCGTATTGTAGCCGCCTGAAGTGGAGGCGCGGCACTTTCCAAATTGCCTGCATGATAGGTTCCGATGTTAATTAAATGCACCCTTTCGAAAGAGGTATCGGCTGCGATTCACATGGAAGTCTACCTGGAGAACTTCGCCGAGGTGCATGCATGGATTCCAGCAATTTTCAAGAACCGGGTATCGCAGAACTCCCCCCCCGAAGTTATCAAGCGTTCTCAGTTCTCCGAGCCCTTCAGCCACGTGCACATATCGCCTATACATCTTGGCTACTTAGACATCTTGGCAACTAGTCCTGGACCTAAAAGATGGAAGCGGTCTTTGATCACGTGTTAACAATCCCCTCACCTTGATGTCTTTCCTGGAGTATCTCAGAGGATTTTGAAGCCGCTGGAACACTAACACGTCGGGCCCTCTAGATAAGCAGTATTTCAATCTTTTCAACTAATTCTGACTGTCTACTCGTTATTCACATGTACTTGGAGAATGAGAACGAGGCAAGATATGATTAAAACAGTGGCACACGCGGAGTCTTCTAGAGACAGTACATGCAGTACTTGGCCTGTAGTTGGCTTAAAACACAAAGAAGTGGAGGCTGGCCCAAATGTACGAAACGGAAAGGAGAAGTTACCATCCTCAAAATTCGCTCAGCAACTCTCGACATCATTCGTTCATGCAAGTTTATTTCACTACATTTCTTGGAATGAGTTGGGTACTCACAATTCTCTTCTTTAATATATACAAGAAGTCTTGGATCATCGAAAACTTTCTTCCTAAGTATCTAAAACAGCACCAAAACTCAAGTTTCGTCCGAAATTCCCCCTCTACGCCTAGTCATCAACGCTCGGCCCCGAGCCAACCCAAACCCCTTCAAAGGACAAAGAATTGCCGAATACGCCGTCTATCCCATAACACATCATTACAAGCATGAATCTAGGAGCGTAAATACACGTCCGCTAAAGAACCTACCGGACAATTTCCCTTTCTACACCTTATATCCTATCTAACGGCCCTGTAGGAGCAATCGGTTTACTGATACTGTATCCTTGGACTCCAGTGACCTGTGGCATGTGCATTTGCACCTGCATCTGCGGTTGTGGCAGCGGGTAAGGCGGCCGTGGTGGCGGGGGAGGGTTGGATGGAAACTTTGTTAGTCTGTTGGTCGAGCCGCCACTGCTCGAAACGGCTCCTCCATCTCCACGTGGAGCTGCAGCTAGGCTCTGGGTATCTCCACCTCTACCCGGTACGCCTGGTCCTCCGGGACCCCCGAGCTTCTTGACCGGTGGTATCTTCCACTCTACACCCAGCGCGCCAAGCACAGCAAGGCAACTGAGCACCACGGAGATGTGGAACGTCGTCGTCAGTGCCTTGCTGTACGCATCTTTGACCGCTCCAAGTTGAGCGGGGTCATGTAATGCGCCAGTAAGCCCACTAGCGCCCGCTTGGAGCACAGTATGTGGATTTAGGTTCGGGATCTGCGCTAAGTAGGCTTTAAGCTTGTTGTTGAAGACAGCAGACCCCACTGAGATGAAAGTAGCACCGCCAAACAACTTGATGCCGCTCATAAGCGCCGTGCCGATAGGTATATCCTTTGTCTCCATCCAAGCTTGTGCAATGAGCAAAGGCTGTTGCCAGCCAAAACCTTGCCCGATGCCAAACAAGGCTTGGTAACCAATCCACCTGGGTGAATTCGTCTCAGGATTCCACATACTAATAAGCCCGCAGCCTATTGTCGCTAGAATAGCAGAACCAATCATATACGCCGAATGATACTTGACGAACTTATGCGTATGTCCCGCGATCGTCATGCCAATCGTCAAGCCCAGCAACGTCGGTAGCGTTTGAATTCCGCTCTTGAGGGGACTTGAGTCTTTGATGGCTTGAAAGTAGATACTGGTGAAGTAAAGCAGGATGAAAAAACTGCCGCCCATGCAGTAGCAGCTGAATGCTGCCGTCCAGATATTCCGCTGCTTGATGATTCGCGCGGGAATGGTGCCGGACTCGCCTTTCCAGTATTGGATCCCGACCCAGACTATGATGCCGATGGCGAAGAAGAAGAGAAGGACGACAATGCGTTGGTCAGTCCAAGGATATTTTTCACCTCCCCACTCGAGGGCAATGAACAAGGAGGTTAACGTCCCGATGAAGACTAGCGTGCCATGCCAGTCAAGGCGCTTGATTTTCTCTTTACGCGGCAAATTGCGGAGTTGGGCATTTTGAGCGGGTTGGCGTAGGAAGAAAAGTATGCCAACTAAAGCGACCGCACCGAGTGGAAGATTGATGAAGAAACACCATCTCCAACTAACTCTATCGCTAAACGCGCCGCCAACTAGTGGTCCTACGACGCTAGATATGCCGTACATGCTTCCTAGCAGCGCACTGTATTTCGGCCGGCTCGCTGGTGGTGTCGTGAAGGCAATTATGATAAAACTTCCTGCGTAGATACCTGCAGAGCCTAGACCAGCAACTGCGCGGCCTACTATGAGAACGATGGACGAGGTCGCGACACCGCAAATCAGAGATCCGATCTCGAAGATGGTGATGGCTATCAAGTATCCGTATTTGAGATTGTAGAAAGTGTAGATACGGCCCCAAATTAGTTGACAGGCGCAGGTTGTGAGGAAGTAGCCGGAGCCGTACCAGCCGACGTCGGGAAGGGAGTGGAATTGACGGACAATCTTGGGGATAGCAGTGGAGATGATGGTTGTGTCCTATCAAACAGAGCATTAGAACATCATCATGGAAACTTCGAAGGGGAGAACTTACCAAGGCCTGTAGGAACACAGCCGTACAAATACACACAACTAGAATCACCAAACGTGGCCCTGTTGGGAGATTTTGGGCCGCTGGAGGTACAGGAGGCTTTTGTTCTTCTACCTGCCGCCCTGTTTTGCGCTCTTCTCCCATGTTCATCAGCTCGAGGGTCGATTGACTGCTTCGTCCCATGGTAGTTAGATCATCTGGATCCTTCCATGACTCGGCAATCAGCTTCTCGAGATTGTCTCTTTCCTGCTGGATGATAGCATCATCGGCGACAGTGAATAAGCCATCGACAGGAGGGAGAGCAATTGATTTGCGGAGTGACTCGCGGAAAGACGAGCGTGTCCTTGTTCGTCGAGTAGGAGAGCGGAATGAGAGACTTTGCGGCCGAACAATGCTTAGACGCCTAGAAATCGAGCGTGGCCGCCTAGATGAAGTTTGTGTCAAAGGCGGAAAGTCCTTGACCTCATCTTCATCCTCAGAGCCCGGGAGGATGGGCTCGGCGTCCTCATACCCCTCTTTCAGGGCCTTCGGGGGTGTGACAGAGCGGTCTCGCCGACGAGCTGCAGCGCTGGCATGACTGCCGAAGTATGCAGGTTCAAACACTGCCGGTAGTACAGCGCTTGGCGATTCTGGTTCTTCTTGGATTCGTGGAGGAGTTGAAGGCTGGGCAGAGTATGACTGCGAGTTCTCAATTCGCCGCCGGATGCGCTCCCGTTGCTGCTCGCGGGCGAGTTTGCGAGCGCTTTCTTGCTCTTCTTGTTGCCGTATGCGGAGCGCCATTTCCTCGCGTAGCTCCTGTTCTCTTCTGCTGACTGCTGTTCCTGTGGCCTGAGCCACAAGGGCATTGATGTGATTCCATTGCCGCAACGTAAAACCTCCCTCTAGAAATGGTTCTGGAGGAATAGTGTCAGGCATTGGGGGAGACGGAAGCTGGCGTTCTTGAACTAGAGACGGCTCTTGAACTGGGGAGGGAGGAGAATGGTCCCGGTAAGGATTTCTAGAGCTGAATGTGCTTCTCCGAGAAATTGGCGGCGAGATTGAATCGAAGCGTTCCCCTCTGCCAGGGGAAGAGCTAGGAGAATGGTGCTCCTCGCTTCTTAGTGGTGGTGTTACCGGGGAATCGCGATTTGGATTCCGCGGTGGGACTGCAGAAGGAAGAAACAGCTCGGACGGTTGTCTTCCACTGAACGTGCGGCCTCGACGACGAGTTGGAGGTCCGTGACCGCATTGGGCTGGAGAATCTGAATTGGAGCGTTGGTGATGTCCAAATGCCCCTCGAAGATTGGGAGGACTTGATGGTCCTCCTTGTGACATCTTGTCACTTTGGAGAGCTCACCAACGAGACAATGAGGTCTGGGGTAGTAATATTAGATTTGTAAATGAGGATGCCAAGAAGGGTATATATTGGTTTAGTTTAGGAGACCGAAAGTTTACGAAGGAGACAATCGATAAGGCATCAATACGTCTAGACAAGATAACTACGCAAGCAAGAGAAAGATCTATAGAGGACTGCGAGGCTCAACAGGCCCGAAGCATACCATGTTTGCCACGTGTGTGGCCCTAGCTTCCAGCCACTTAATTCAGTAAGGCTACTTCCAGTTCCTAGTCAAGACATATTGCACAAAACCCGAACAACGGGAACTTCGATGAATGCACCTTTGGATCCAGGGAACTTCTGCCTAAGTTTCAGATACGAATGTAAAAGAAACGCTGTCATTGGGGAGCTGAGGTCGGTAGTAGCACCGCCACTAACGTTAGTGATGGTAGAAGAGTCGGTTTCCGAATCGTCTTCGACAAAGATTTGGATGTGGCTTGCGAAATCGGACCTCGAATACATCCAGTAAAAATACGACAGTTCTGCCAGGAACGTGCACTAGCACTAAGACTCGTATTGAGTTGGATACTGCGCGTGTATGACGCTATGCAGATGGTAGATGCAGGAAGCAGGAAGTAGGAAGCAGGAAGAAGGGAGATCCGCAAAGAATACGAGCGCAAGAATATTTCATTCCCCGTGCCGTCGTTGCTTCTCCTGATCAACGAGATGCATTAAGCAACCAGAATGGAGGGAGTACAGGGAGGTTGTGTTACTAGGTAAGGGTATGCAGATATGAAAAATGCATCAGGTTCCTGTCAGACGTGCAGATTGATCAACAAGGGACAATGAATCGGGGAGACGTGGAAGGAGATCGGGGTTCGAGAGCAGCCGCACCACGTGGGATCTTTTCTCAGCTCAACACTAACCGGTTTGGGAATTCGGTTACTAGCCAATGAGGCGAGAGTACAGTGGTGAATGCTCTTCTCTTAGGGGCTCCCGGTGACGGTCACTCCGTCTCCCAAACTTGAGCAAACTGATTTGAGGCCGCCTGAATAGTGTAACGTATCGCACGGCAACGAGAGCCAACTAAAATAGTTACGGTGGATTCTCACTGACGCCGAGTTCAGTTATTCGTTTTCGCGGGCATAGTTATGTTCCAAACAGCTTGACCGACCATTTCGAGTTCCACAAAAAAGTTTGGTAGTACCTGCAAGGCATTCTCACAGTGTTACGTGATGATATGACAATTTTCGTGAGTTGAAGTGCCAATGGTACTCTGACGATGCTGTGCGAGACATACTTTGAAAATACGAAGGTCCGTAGGGATCCATGGCAATACTTAATGATACATACTGTATTGAGGGGTATATTTATGAAGAATTTGCTTGCTTGTTGAGCGTCCGGCTGCTGACCAACTCAAGAAGCCAGTTTAGTGTTGAGCCGAATCAGATATACTTACGGTGAGAGCATTCATCCGAGGCAGTCACTTAAAAAGACATTTTGCGGCCCAAGCAGCTTCTAGGATGTTCCGTTAAAGGTACCAACATGTAAGAGCTTTAAGCATGCCGGGAATCTCAGTTTTATTGTCGTTAACTTAAGATATTGGTGCATTATGACGACTCTTGATGCACAAACAGAAATAGAATGCCTGAGGAATATATCCATATTCAATCAAATATATACATAGAACCAATATTACCATGAAATGCAACTCCGTTTAGACATCTATGTAGGTGAAATAATTCCAGAACTATGAACAACACTTTTCTCACCTGAGAAACAAACTATACACTTATTTACACACCACTGTCGATCTGCTCCACAGTATGGTCAGCTGTGTAAGCATTCCAGGGATCACACGTCTGCTTCAAAATGCCCGGGATTTGACTTTGGTTTATTTTCTCGGGGTGCTCCATGAAGTTGACATACATGCCCATGCTCAAGTGCCAGGCTATGTGGCAGTGAAATGGCTAAATGAAGTATTAGCGAGGTTCACATTCGACAGGGCGAAGAATTAGCTTACCCAAACTCCCGGGTTATCAGCATTATATTGCATCACCATCCAACCATGAGGTCGAAGGTTATGGGTGTCACGGCGTTGAGGGTTTGATGGATTAACAATCGTCGTGCCATCCCACTTGTCATTGCCGTCATAGAGAACATACATGTCGTGACCGTGGATGTGCATCGGATGAGGTCCGGAGCTGTTGTTCCAGATTACCACTCGAATGCTCGAGTTCGAACCAAAGTTGAAAACGTTCCACTCGGGATGGCTCGGATAGCTATAATTCTGCTGATAAGCTAACCCAATGAGTGGGTTATTATAGTTCGCCATAAAGGGAGAGTCGTTCATTGTGTACAGCTGATGGCCGGTGCTGTTTACAATGGTATTGACCGTGATCTGCACAGTGACACTAGGATCAGGGACCTTTTCAGCGTAGTATGGTATGGATGACTCGAGCGGATCGTTCTTGCAGGTGCCGTCATCGACTGGAGCAGGATAGGCCGTCGTCGCGGGAATCACGTTGGTCGGCGCACCGTCTAGTAATACGATAGCGCGAGCCGTAGGGTTGGTTGCGCGTTGACAGAACTTCCCGGATTGCAGTGTCCGCATCCATATCGCTTTGGTACCATTTACTGCCTTTGGGGTAAAGAGAACGTCGCTCCTTTGACCGACGCCTAGAGTGACAATTGTAGTATTATAAGGAACAATATCAGTCAAGTCGACTGAGACAACCTGTAGGGTTTGGCCGTCGATACTGAAGTACTCCATACCAGCAGCCCCGGCGTTGATGAGGCGCAGCTTGTAGGTTTTACCGGTCTTGAACTGGAACTTTGCGTAGGAAGCGTTACTGCAGGGTGTGTTATCCTTCACCTGGCTGCAGTTGAACGGCATACGAGCGTTAATCAGAGTATTGTCTGATGGGTTTGCCCACAGCGTTGAGTTGTTACTCATGACATTCTTAACGATCTCGTAGTAGTCCTTGTGGAACCAATCTGTTAGCATAACCGGGCCGACGTCCTCGTCATAGTCAACGTGAGATGGGCCGTAGACTATCAACGGGCCGAAGAGACCGCCTGCAGCTTGCGCCGAGTAATGTGAGTGGTACCAGGACGTTCCGAAGACGCCAGCTTGAAACTTGTAGGTGAAGCTACTGCCAGGTGCGATAGGGCACTGAGAGACACTAGGAACTCCGTCGTAGAACGCACTTCCGTTCTGGAAGAGGCCATGCCAATGGAGAGCCGTGCCTTCGAATGGACCAGTGATGTTGTTGGTAACACGAACTTGGATATTATCACCCCTTTCAAATCGTTATATATATAGCTTCTTCGAACGTCTGGAAGAATACACACCAGTTTGCCTCAATCGTTGGACCTGGGAATTGGCCGTTGATAAGAATGCCAGAAGTCTTCAAATAGCCATCAGGGGCAAGTTCACCACGGCTAATCGTAAAGTCGTAGTATCTTGTCACACCAGTTGTAGGAGGTATTCTCGGATCGACTTTCTTGGGATCAATATTGCCCCAGGGTGTGCCACCAGGAAGTGGCTGAGTACTGTCAGTACTAGAGTATTGGATCTCCTCCAGCGGGAGACTTACATTGTTAGTAAGGAATTTGGGGAGCTTCGTGGCCTTGAGAGTACCCCAATGGAATGTTCTATATTGCGTTAGCCATTTTACTCATTTGTAGGTAGCATGACACTCATACCGGTCGTATGCTTCCTTAACTCTATGTGCATCCACACAGGTAGTGGCTAGGGCCCCTGCTACAAGGGTCACGAGTCCCTTCATAATGAACATAGAAAAGATGAGATAATGAATTGGTTATCTGCTCAATGGAGAGGAAATCTGCTCGAACCTGCTCTTATGCTCTCAGTTTCCTCGAACCATTTCCAATATATACCTACCTCTGTCGCACAGCGACTTGGAGCCTAATCACTTCATCACCGAGAACCCATGGCGAAGCCTTCAGTATCGCTTTCCGGGTGCAAATCTTGAATCACAATTGAATGAGATGGGTTTCCTAATTGGTAATGGTTCAATGGTTCAGGGTTTCGACCTGGGTGTTCGGAAAGCGAGTTCCCGGATTTCGGGATTAGTTACTCAGGAACATCACACCAAACCACTTTTTGACAGCCGCATCAATTGAATACAAGCCTTTTAGTCAGGGCAGCCTCGTGGCAACCCGGGAACTATAGGACTGGGAGCCTATGGATCCGATTTTTCGTGGTACTGCGTGGAAAGCTTGAGAAGTGGAGTCGGAGGTGAGAATAGGCATACATCGATAATTAAACAATGCGTGAGAGCTGCCGCATTGGGTTCCAGATGCAACCCTCATGAAAACTCTTACAACGGGTGTGAGTAATGAGGTTGAAGAGGTCGGATTTCGCGACCCAAAATTGCGAATATCTACTCTAACCTAATTTGGCTAGAGCGCAACTGAACCACTACTCCATGTTGGCACATAATGACGGAACATAGTAGCGTGTGAAGTGGTAAGATATGGGACTGTATCCTACTGCTGCTCTTCGTTGGTCCAGAATTTCCGCGTCAAGCGCATTGTTTCAAAGCAATTAGGAGAGTTGACTAACTGTGTGATAGATGCTGCAATCACTCCATCCTCTTGCTGCTATCTCCTGCTGACAATTTCCTCTTTGTCACACCTCTTAGTCTCTTCGAACCAAAAGGAATATCTATGGATGTTTACACTCTTAGTCCTACCGCATCCCTTGCGCACTATAGATATCGCAATCATGCTGCCCTCCCTCTTATTACCTAACGTGGGAACTTGGTAGAGGTAATTTAGGACATGTATCTGCATCCTATGGACGTCCTATTTGATCATAGCGAGAGATTTCATTGATTAGCCTCTCCCTATTGATGTTTCACGGCAGATGCGGATGAGCTGTAAAAACCAGCCTTTGATATACGCCAGAGGAATCCGCAGTAGTCCCCTATATTCCGTAGCCACTAAGTCCTACCTTATGTCCATTATAGCCACCTTGAGCTGTTAAATACCCCACTTCAAGGCCGACGCGATATTCAAGAATGCTAGGGGAATATATGATGAGAAATGAATCAATTCACTACCCGAATTAACATTAGTGCAACTTGAACATCAACCATCTAGACAACCTTTGGTTCAGCCTCAACATCGCAAAATTCCCCTATTGGGGCCAGATGCCGTTCGGCCTTTCCAAAACTTTTCAAATACGTTAATTTCATCATCTTCTACTAGCTCTCCCGATTGGTGGAAACCTTGAAGTACCGCCGGGAGAATGACCTTGCGAGATCACCAGTCCCGTCCAGTCCTCCACCATCATTTACTCCGCGATGCTCTCTGCATATGCGGAAGATTTACGCCTTCGGGAGGCGTATTCTTGGAAAATCTTGTCCCTCATCCTGACCAGTCAGTCACGAGCAATGATGATCTGATCTTCACACGGACATAGGTGAGGAATAGTAGCGTGCGCCGCACCCGGATCCGCGACGCCACGAGAAAACACTCACAGTGCTAACTCTTTTCCCAGTATCAATAATTTAACTATACCTGCACTCCTCTTTTGAAGGCTGAGCCGGTGGTATGCTTGTCCGTCGGGAGATGCATTTCCCTCGGTGTCATGTCGGGTGAAAGAGAGCGAAAGTTTGTCGAGCACAGGGACGTTGCGGTATGGGGAGCTACAGTTCCATATAAAACTGACTACTAAGCTCCGGTGGTGAATCTTGCGATTTCCTTAATTGAAGGTTGTAATTGATATTCAACTCTCAAGATGCTCCTACTTGTCGTGGGCTTGTCTGCTCTAGCAGCTGTGTCTGCTTTGGATGTCAAGGTTGCAAACACTGGAGGGAATGAAACTTCTGGGCTTCAATATGGAATCATGTTCGAAGTGAGTTGTTTCGTATGTTAATTGAATCCAGAAAACTGATTTGTGCTTGGGATATTAACCATTCGGGCGATGGAGGGATCTACGCAGAACTAATTCGCAATCAGTGTGTCCAACCGTTAGTACACCTAATAGTACAGTACTGCAGTACACTGATTTTGGTCACGTACGTACGTACAGGGCATCTACTCAGTATACTGTACTATACATGAGGCTGCTGTACTAACCGTTTACGGTAGTTATATAGGATTTTTGGTGGTTTTGGGCGGTTGAAGGCAGGTTGCTGAGGGCCAGGGGGCTCGTGTTCGGAGATTAATGCGGAGAATGCCGTTATTGCCTGTTTTGTTAGCAATCTTCTAACAAATTTAGCAACTATGCCATCTACGTTATTCTTTTGCCCATTATGATGTCCCAATTCCTATCCCAATCAACGACGCGGTCGACAATAGAGGCTCTTTAACTGCAGAAGAATTAGTTACGTAACAACGCTGTTACTAGTGAGCTGACTGAGCTTACAGAGTACATTAAAACAGTGAGATTAACAACAGTAGATCTCACAAGGGGTATCACAACTTCCTAATTGGGTATAGTCTTTAGCTTCAGCGCAATTACTTCATAATACTTCAATATACTTCAGTTACTGTATCCTAACCGTACACTGACGTCATCTCCTCCGTACAGTTAGTTAGTAACAGCCTCCTCTTCCGTAACTGTACTATACAGCCTCCAAAAGGCTCCGTAACTAACGGTTGGACACACTGTTCGCAATCGTGCATTCCAAGGCAGCACTGTGCACCCGTCGGTCATTGAGCCTTGGAAAGCAGTCGGTAGTGCTCAACTAAGCCTGCAATCCCTCTCTCAGCCACTCTCTTCAGCGCTTCCCACCTCTTTAAACGTTGCTGCCTCTAGCGGTCAGGTGGGAATATCGAACACCGGTTATTGGGGAATCGAAGTCAAGGCCCAGAAATACACTGGATCGTTCTGGGTCAAGGGAACCTATGGGGGACCTTTCACAGCCTCATTGTCGAACTACCTTTCGAACGAGACGCTAGGAAGTGTAGCCGTTACTTCCAATGTAACAGCCAATGATTGGACAGAATATACTTTTACTCTAACCCCGGAGAAGACGGCCGAGAATGTGAACAATACATTTTCAATCACATATGACGCATCAGCAACTAATGGCTCTCTCAACTTCAATCTCATTAGTCTCTTTCCGCCAACGTACAATAACCGTCTAAATGGAATGAGACCAGATCTCATGGAAGCTCTTGCAGGACTTCATCCCTCTTTCCTCCGGTTTCCGGGAGGCAACAATCTCGAAGGTGAAGATCCACCATACTACCTCAAGTGGAACGAGACCATTGGTCCTCTTAAAGACCGTCCTGGATACCCAGGAACATGGGGCTACGAAAACACAAATGGCCTTGGGTACGGACTCCACCCATCCTCCATACCAGTCTGTGGATAGGGCTGACAGGTGGGAAGACTTATTGAATATTTACACTGGTGCGAGGATTTGAATATGGAGCCAGGTAAGATTAAATTAGTGATCACACAAAAGTCTTGAAATGCTAAAGCCTTGACTTAGTGCTCGCTGTGTGGGCTGGCTTCTATCTTAACGGACCAGTTATTCCAGAGTCTGAGCTGCAACCATATATCGACGACGTTCTAAACGAACTTGAATTCCTCATGGGCTCAACTGATACCACCTACGGTACTCTTCGAGCCTCGCTAGGTTACCCCGACCCATGGATAATCAAATACGTTGAGGTTGGCAATGAAGATAACCTCGGTGGTGGGGGAAGTTCTTACGAATCGTATCGCTTCCAAGCTTTCAAGGATGCTATCAATGCTAAATACCCCGACATTTTCGTGCTGGCAAGTACTGCGGATTACCAGTTTGCCGAGACGGAAAATGCGGGCGAGGATTACCACCAATATACTCGGCCAGATTACTTTGTTGGCCAATTTTGCTTCTTCGATAATTTTCCCATGGGGTTTAAGACAATGATAGGTACCTTACTAGGATCCGTTCTTTCGACATGACCTCGATTGCTGACAGTCCACAAGGAGAATATGCGGCCGTTCAACCCAACATACCTGGAGGCGGCGGTGTGAACTGGAATGCTCCACGCTGGCCCTTCCCCATGTGGATCGGCACTGTCAGCGAAGCCGTCTTCTTAATCGGAGCCGAAAGAAATGCAGACAAGATTTTCGGCGCTGCATACGCGCCGCTTTTCCAGAACGTGAATTCTTATGAGTGGACTCCCGACCTTATCTCCTATTCCGCTGATCCGTCCGCCGACGTTATGTCAACGAGTTATCATATGATCCAGCTCCTCTCCTCCCACCGCATCTCTCAAATACTGCCAGTATCCACCCCGGACTTTGGCCCTGTGTATTATGTCGCTGGCTATTCGAATTCATCGAATTCGTATATTTTAAAGGCGGCGGTTTATAACGCAACGGAAACAGTTCCAATGTCTGTAACGTTCGACGGTGTAAGTGAAGGAGCAGAGGGGACTCTGACAGTGTTGACTGCGCCAAATGGACTTACTTATAATGGGGTGGGAGATAGCGTTGTGACAACGAGTAGTACAAGCTTGACAGCAGGAAGTCAAGGAGAGTTTGAGTTTGAGTTGCCGAATTTGAGTATCTCTGTGCTGGAGGTTAAAGGACGGGTGGAGGATTGAATTAATATTTGCGGAATAAAAACAGACCGAACCGAGAAATAACCTGATAGCCCATGATATAGAGTTTCCCTTACATGCGGTTGCGATCTTTGCGTAAAATGACGGCAGGCGAGGGGATCCGTGAAACTTTAACAGTGGCACAAAGATTCTTTTCACTTCTTCCAGATTGAAAGAGATGATTAAAAATGTGTCTTTGTACCTTGCGCTCTGGAGGCACTTCATTTCCACTGTATATATACACTACTTTCATATAGTAAGGTGAAGGAGGAATTCTGACCAATCACACCCCGCTACACTAAAGCCCACAAAAATCCATTAGGCTTGCACACAACCGTGACTCTTTCACCTCCTGGGCAACCACCAGACAGTTCTTTACGAACCGCATTTCTTCAAGAAACGAGCGAAACTACATGATGCCGATCCCGGACTGAAAATTGCTACGTGGTCCTCTCAACACGCACTTTTCGCTTTCGAATTACCTTTAATTCGACCCACAATAACGCGGTAGCAGTGACGCCATAATGCCAGAATACCTCGTTAGGCTCGTGCAAATGCACGAGAGTTTCCGGAAAGCGGAATTACAGGCTTTAGCTGAGTTAGCGGGGGTGGAGATGGATATTGTTAAGTATGAAGAAGATGTAAGGCTGGAAATTTCTCTTAGCCCAAACATTCTTCATGTATTTAATACTATTTCTATCCTTATTATCTGTATTCATATCTCCTGTATTTTTTAACCTCTCTCTTGCTTTTGATGCTATACGATTTCGCTCATTAATTTCTTCTGCTTTCACTCCCCTAACACCCACAGTCCCCTTTCTGCATCCTAACCCTCCCCTCCCCCGCCGCCGCCAAAGCCCTAATATCCCGCTCGATCCTCTCCCTCGGAATCTACTCGCTCTGGGGCCACGGTACGTCCTATGACCTCCTGCATGCCTCTACCTCGCAACTCTCCTCGCATCAATGGCCCGCATTTCAGTCAACACCGTTCCGATTCACCGTGGACAGTTTCCGTGGCACCAAGACTGCGATGCAACAACGAGAAATCATCGAATCCTTTTCGTACATGAATTTCCGCGGGCCAATCAAAATGAGAGATGCAGCTGCTGAGGTGTTTACTGTTTTTGAAGACTACAAGGAACATGCGGCTGAGCTTAGGTATCTTTACTTTGGCCGCTTGGTTGGGTCATCATCGAGGCATTTGAAGACGACCTATGATCTTAAGAAAAGGCACTATATATCGACCACAAGTATGGACGCTGAACTCGCGCTTCTGACCGCCAATATGGCGCTCGCGGCCCCAGGGAAACTCTTCTACGATCCGTTTATGGGGACTGGTGGCTTCCCGATTGCAAGTGCGGAATTTGGGGCGTATGCCTGGGGTAGCGATATCGATGGACGAAGTATCCGAGGCACGGGGGGTAGTGCGAGAAAGGGTCAGATAGGGAAAAGGGACGTTCAGGGCAATTTCAAGCAATATGGTCTCGAAGGTAGATATCTTGGCGGCTTTGTATCGGACCTAACGAACACACCTTTGCGTATTCAGAGTCTGCAAGAAGACGGCTCAGCAGTGCAGGGAAGGAGTATCGGACGAGGCTGGCTCGACGGAATCATCTGCGACCCGCCTTACGGTGTCCGCGAAGGTCTTAAAGTCCTGGGATCTCGCGCCGAACTCTCTGATCTTGAGCGCTCCACGCATCGTGATCGGTATATGGAGTCGGGATATATTCCCCCGAAACGACCGTATAGCTTTACGGCCCTGCTGGATGATATCCTGGCGTTTGCAGCTGAGACGCTGGTTGAGGGTGGGCGGTTGAGTATGTGGGTGCCGACGGCGAATGATGAGGACGTTGAGTTGGTTATCCCTGTAAATCCAAGGTTGAGGATTATGAGTGTTTGTGTGCAGAGGTTTAATAAGTGGAGTCGAAGATTATTGACGTATCGAAGGTTGGCGGAGGAGGAGGTGCTAGAGGAGCAGGGAGCAAGGGATGAGGGTGTCATGGACGAAAAGGGGAGGGAGAATGAAGTTGGGAGGGGGGCTGGTGCAAATGAGTTGAACGATTTCCGGAGGAAGTATTTTGAAGGATTCAAAGAGTTTGAGAGATTGAGGCGAGATGGAAGTAGCCCTAGACCTGACGGAGCACTTGTGGCAGATCAAAAGGGGGGGTGGGACAGTGCACTGAGAGACGTTTTCGGGAAAGGGTCAAGTACATGACAAGAGGGAGCTGGGAACCTTAGGCCTGATGTCTTTAGTCTCTAATGTAGTGCTATTGTTGGGGGTTCTAATGCCTCCTTGACCTAATGCTTTGGCTCTCATGCTCTCATAGCTCATATCTCGTGACCCACATTCCTGTGACATAAGTCTCTCACTTTGGCACATCCTTTCCATTCACCTCCTCCATGCCATATATATGGTACGGGAAGCCCTCCAATGTCTGCAACAACTTCGCCCACCCATCATCAATTACCCCTGGCTGTCCCACCCTCCTCTTCCCCGGCAGAACCTCCACTTCGGATTTACCTAACTCCTCTTCCTCTTCCTCCTTATGCGCACCCGTCAGCCCTGCTAGCACCTCCTTCTCCCTGCCCTTATACTCTTCCAGTAACTCCGGGTGAGGACACCACACAACCTGCATACCCGCCCTCCTCCCCGACTCCACACCAGGCACACTGTCCTCAAACACCAAACACTCTTCTGGTTTGATCTCCTCTTCCCCGCTCGCGCTCAATGCCTCATTTATCGTCCTCAACGCCAACAAATAAATATCCGGTGCCGGCTTCCCTCTGCCAGTAGGAATCCTCTCATCATCTCCCAAAACCGTATGATCCTCCTCAAAATGCTCAAACAAATACGGCAAATGCGTAGTCTTGAGCTCGAAATTCCGCCTATGACTACTCGTCGCCAACGCCGTCCTAACCCGCCGCTCCCTTAACCCTTTCAGCAACTCTAACACCCCCGGTAGCGGCTGCGTCTTTGGGAAATGCTCTTTTTGGAGTTGTGCAAGGCGGGCGTAGAATTCGTCCGGGGTGATAGGGAGTTGTGCCCATGCGTAGAAGATTTCGGAGGCTTGCGGTCCTGGGCGGCCTTGGAGTTGCGCTTTTATAGACCAGGGTAGGGAGGGGCGGTTGTTTTCGTGGAGTACGATGTTGGTGCATGTGGTGTAGAGGTCTTCCGAGTCGATTAGGAGGCCGTCCATGTCGAATAGACAGGCGCGTACGCGTGGGGGACTGTCAATTGGAGGGATGAGTCAGTGGAAGTTCTACGGGAAAGCGGGGGTGGCTGAAAATGTACGTTTGTACGGCCATGGCTATAGAGAGGCGAGGATGGTAGACAAAGGCTTAGAGGTTTACTGGATATTTTCAAACAATTGAAGTTTGAAAGCAAATCAAGCTTTGAATGAATGAAGTCCTTAGAACCCCACGTGCCAAGGCTACTGACTTACCGCCTACCTAGTTTAGACTAGTTCTATAGAGAAAGTAGACGTCACATTGCAAGCCAGCGGTACCAGGTACACACTGGAAATCCAGCGTCACGAAAATAAATCAACAAGTCTCCCTTCCTCCACAACCCATCCTCAAGCCCCTGAAACCTCCCCAAACTATGCCCTCCCCGTCCTCAGAACCCGACTCTAACTCCCCAATCTTTTCCCCCACCGAAGAATCTGCCCTTCTCACTCAATCCCACTCCGAAAAGGCCTCCGCAAACAAAACCTTCACCTCCGGGGACTACTCGTCCGCAATCCAAGGCTACGAAAAGGCCCTTAGTCTGTGTCCCGCCTATCTCGAATACGACATTGCAGTCCTCCAGTCTAACATCTCTGCCTGCCACCTAAAACTCCAAGAATGGAAATCCGCGGTAGAAGCCGCGACGCTAGCGTTGGAGGCACTAGAGCGCGTTGAGCCACCTTCTGCATCTGCGACCAATACTCAAACTCCAGGGAAAGATGGTGATGATAGTGGTAGTGGGCGGAGGAAGGAACACAGACGACTAGGACAGCAAGGAGAGGCAGTAGAGAAAGAGGCAGCGGTAGAGGTGGACGACGCAACCGAAGCCCGAATATTGGCACTAACCCGTACCGGTCATACTCTGCACACCGTCCACAAGCTGCGCACCAAAGCCCTTCTCCGACGCGCAAAAGCCCGGCGCGAAGTCGGGGGCTGGTCTTCCTTGCAAGGCTCGCTAGAAGACTACCAAATACTCTATACCCCGCCCTTACTATCTCTCTTATCAAGCCTTGATTTGAAGATCGTGCAGGCGGCGCTAAGAGAACTACCACCTAGGTTGGAGGATGCGAAGGGGAAGGAAATGGCAGAAATGATAGGGAAACTGAAGGAGTTGGGGAATGGGATTTTGAAGCCTTTTGGATTAAGTACGGAGAATTTCCAGTTTACGAAAGATGAGAAGAGTGGGGGGTATAGTATGGGGTTTAACCAGAATGGTGGTTGTTGAAGTTGGAGGCTGGATAGTGGAGAATGGTCAATGAGACCCCGAAGCGTAAGGCTACAACTTAAAGCTACAAGCTTAATGCAAGAGGACAGTTTCTTCCAACAGCGCCGCCCATGAGAGGGGTATCATGCTCACATCGGCTGTCAAGATACCCTAATCGAGCCATTATGATTTCGCCTGGCTGGGTATATATGGAGAGTAAGATGTCTTCACAAGATCAAAGATCAGAAGAAGGCGGTGGTCGGCCATGGAAGTATGCAAAGGCGCAAAAACCCTTGAGATGCATTCATGTGGCTTGTTTCGAACAATAGAGAGATGTGGAGCATATTCTCGCATGGCAGGGACATAACCGGGATAGATTTGATCTATCGACCCTTGTACTAGAATTCAAGTGGACATTAAGCCGATGCTAGTGTCTGCTCGAAATCCGGGCCATGTTATGTTCCGTAGCATTAGCGTTGTAAGTGACAGAATACAGTAGAAAAGACACTAGAATAGAGCAACGGCACTCTCTAGAATAAACAATACCCAACTGACTAGAGCTTGAAGCAAGTCTTCACATCAAAGACAAAGAGTGTAGTCATATGAGATTTATTCTTTTGTCATATACCATGGCCATCACCTGCCTGCAATTGCACGCAGTACCCGTTGTCCACTGAGCCAGGTCCAAGAAACCCTGAGAGAGATACACAGATGCAGTAACCCCAGAAAATGTGCAGTGCACTCTGCCATCCAACCAATTCGCCTCAAGGAAGCACATGTCTAGGTAAAGTCGCGTACCCTGGGATATTCGATCCACGTTGGCATGGCGGGCGTCTACGCAACCTCCTCGATCTTGGGCTTATCAGTGCTGGCCTCAGCGGCAGGGGCAGCAGCAGTAGCAGCAGCAGCAGGTGCGGGTTTACCATCGTCATTCTCCAGCTCAGGCATGTCGTCGTCTTCATCCTCACTGCTCTCCTCGCCGTGGTCTGCCATGTCGCCGAGATCGGGGAGACCGCCGGCACCCTGTGCTGCGCCCAGTTTGCTGAAGTCGATGCCGCCGAAGCCGCCGTCGCCGCCACCACCCATGGGGTTCATCTTGGACATATAGTCTTCATCGTCGGGTTGGGCGTCTTGCTCGTCCTCGTCAACCCACTGTTCACAATTAGCGCCATCTATATTAGAATCTTTCCTTTGCCACGGAAGGTTGTCGGCTGAATGGATTTGGTGCTTGGGGTAGATGGACAACATACCTTATCAAAATCCGTCTTCAAGAAATGCATCTTCTTGCTGTCCTTAAGCAGCCTCGGCCAGTACTCCTCCTTCAGGTCTTTCTTCCTCAGCACCATCTCGATGTCACGGCCGGTGTGATGGATTTTGCTCTCCTTGGGGTCGATCTCGGCGAAGAACTCGAGCTCGACGGCATACGTGACTTTCTTTGACGTTGAGGTGCCCTTGAACGACAGCTTTGTGGGCTGCAGATCGAGCTTCATGCCCTCAGCCGGGACGTCCGACACCATGAGCGTCAGAAACACGTGATTTTTGGCTGCATCGCTGCTAGAGGAGCGTTGCGCCCACAGGACTGGAGAGGGTTAGTCGGATGGGGGTTGGAGAGAGGGGGGAGGGGGGGGGGGGGGGGGGCAGGCTGAAGCTTATACCTTCAGGCGTGACGCTGGCCATTATTTGGGGACGGAGAGGGGAGGGAGATTTAGGGTAGAGTGGCCAATGGGAAGAAGTCTAGTCAACGGAGGGACAAATAGAGCTTCAAGTTGAGGGAGGTGAAAGAAGCGCCGTGGTGTTGAAGATGATCGAGCGCAACAGAGGAAGAAATGTCGAAACGTGCAGAGCACACAGTCTCTCGGGGGACTAGCGTGGCGAGGCTGGTGGAAAGCAATGGAAACTGCACAGAAGAATCAGGCCCAGGTGCCCCGCTTGCTCGATCTGATTCCAGCAAACCTTGCGATAGTGATCAAGGCAGACTCTCAGTCGGCTCGGGCAAACTAATCTGCGCTTTAGCCTAGAACTGAGGACGGTAAATGTGGATGGGATTTTGTTGCGGTGAAGCTGGTGGTGAGGGTGGCTGGTGGGCTGCTGCTGCCCCGCCGAAACGTCACTGGGGGCAAGTGGTCCGGGCACGACCTGGCTGTCCCTCGTTGAAGCGCCGGCAGCTTCCAAGGCACCCTCGCTGACGGCGCGAATTCATCCCGTGCATTCGAGTTCGAGAGAGCCTCTGTGCCTTTTAATGTTGCTCCCAAAATATTGCATGGTATACTCACACACACCACACGCGACGCACCACGACGCCCCGCCTCCACCACCCCCCCACGGCGCACCACCCCGCCTGCCACATCCCCCATGGAGACCATTCGCGGTCTCCTCTGGAAGCCTACACCTGAAGAGCAAGTCCGTCTCCCCCTCCCCTCCCCCCTTCTCTCCCACACCTCCTCCCCCTCTAACAAATCCCCAGAAGCGAAAATGCAATGCCCTAGTACGGCAAAACGTGCGCAAACTCGACCGCGACATCGCCTCCCTCAAATCCGCCGAAGTCAAGGCCAAGAACTACATCCTCGAAGCCTCGAAGCGCGCAAAACGTAACCCGGCTATGGCCAAGCAAGCCGCCCAAGACACCCGCGTCTATGCCCGCGAACTCATCCGCGTCCGTAGGCAGAATGCCCGCCTCAACACGTCCAAGGCGCAGCTTCAGTCGGTCCAGATGCAGGTCAATGAGGCGTTTTCCGTGCGCAGGATCGAGGGCAGTATAAGAGCGAGTACGGGTATAATGAAGGATGTGAATAGTCTCGTGCGCCTGCCAGAGCTGACGGGCACAATGAGGGAGTTGAGCGCTGAATTGGTGAAGGCGGGGATCATTGAGGAGATGGTGGGGGATACCTTGGACAACGATGCGCTGTTAGAGGGTGAAGATGATGAGGCCGAAGCCGAAGTTGATAAGGTCTTGGGTGAGATACTGAAGGATAAGCTCCCAGCAGCAAAAGAGGACGAGCTACCGAGCCAGCCTGTCGAGGAAGAGGAGGAGGAAGAGGACCAGCAGGAGATGCTAGCACAGATGAGGGGTCGTCTGGAGGCGCTGAAGAGTTGAATGCAAGCTTGGAGAGGGCGCTTTTTTTCGACCCATGTTCATCTAGACTACGTGCTGCTCGAGTGTAGCATATTGGTGTCGGGCCTGCTCTGGTCCTGGTGTTCATCCTAATCTAGTTCATCCTGGGCCACATCTTGATTAAGTTTTGGAATTTATTTCAAAGCTTATCGATCAGAAATTCGAGGTTCATAAGCCTTTACATGCCCAGCCCCCAAGCTCGATATCTTTTGGTATTGTTTGTTCATAGCAATAGTCATGAAATCATGAATTGGCACCCAATTTTGCAACAACAACAACAACAACAACAACAGGATCAATCCTGCTTCCATATCACCTCTATTCCCATGCAATCGTGAAAACAAATTGCCTTGTTGTCAGAACCAAAAACCTCCGGTCACTTGAATCCCACTCATCCTCCTATTATCTTCCCCGCCCACTTTAACTCCCACTCCCGGGGATCATTCCCCTCAAACCTTGCGCTCGCCCTCGTAGCCAGTAAATCCTGGCTGACCTTGATCCCTTCATACCATTCTCTGACCTTCTCATCCGTATCCTCGCCCCAAACGACTAACATGCCGTCCTCGCTCCTGGGGACTGGTTTAGGAGGCACACCCCGCATTTTGAGGAGCATGTATAAGATATCAGAGAAGCGTTCGCCTTGTTGTGAGTAATACGCAGGCGGTTTGTCGAATGGCCACTTCGGATGTCGTAGATGTTGGGATTGGGGGACGGAATCCAGTGGCGGCTGTAGCGCTGATGCGAGGTCTACGTCTGCTTGATGCTGAGGCACGACCGAAATACTGTGGAGCTGATTCTGATTCTGATTCTGACTCTGGTTCTGAGTTTCCTCCCAAGTCCGGAAGAGCCAGCACATTCGCTCGACGCAAGCGAGTAAGATTACAGCAACCAGGAACGTTTCGAAAGGATTAGCTTGCTGTCTTTGTAATAGTCGTCGCTCGAGATCGTTCATAACGACTCGACTCAGACTCGCTGCTCGCTTTTCAATAGCGCCCATAAGTTGCATTTTGATGAGGTCGTATGACGAGGAGTTGTTGGTGGGGGTTATCGGGTTGCGGTGACCATTTTCGAGATCCGATGGTGACATCATTGCCGGGGCCATGGCAGGCGCGAGGGAGGGATTGGAGAAAAGGTGGCATTCGAGGTTGCGGGATGTGAGAATACGGGTAGATATCCAGAGCTCTAATGCTCGGCTGAGGAGATCGTCTTGGTTGGGGGAGATGATGCTAAAGGCTACTCCTAGTGTTGTTTTCATGAATGCCGAGTCTTCGGATTCGTAGAATGCGGGTGTTAGTTTTTTGATGTAAAGGTCTAGCTTTCCACCGATGTCGTCGCTATCAGAGTCGATGATTTCGAGAGTTGTAGGAGAAAGAGTGGCAAGGATGGCAGGATCAATATCAGCAGCGCGGGCCACTTGGGTTTGGCACTTTAAGGGCGTAAAGGTCGCAAATGTCCCAGATTGAAGGTGGTGGGTCGCCTCTATCCGTCCTGGGATTTGATCGAGATGGACTTGCCCTCTTGCCTGGCTTACAGCATGGAACGCCAGAACTCCGTGCAAGCCCGCAGAGTAGAGATTAAATTCCTCGGCTATTCGAGTCCGTATACAGGGCTGTTTCCACAAGCGGGCACTCTCGACATTAACGCAAGTACTGCATGGACTCTCTCCTGAACATGGTTTCTTCAACATGCGACACCGAATGCATGCGCCTCTTTTCCGCACCTCCTGTACCTCTTTTCGCCTGGAATCAGAGAAGCGTCCCCGCACCTTCGGCTTCGCTGGCTTCTGGTTCATGCTGAAGTCTGTCGTAAAGTGTGTTTGGGTGCCGTTAGGATTCATTGCAATTGGTCGTGGATGAGATACTGGCTTGTTCATGCCGTCATCCTTGGGTAGTGTCTGCTCCCTCATGTGGTCGTGTAGCATTGGGTCAATTGGATTGGTGGACATGTTTGGCCATTGCTGGCGTCCGTGGTTATGGAAGAACTTGTCCGATATGCCTGTATTTGACAGGTTCAATTCTGGCTCCATCAAATTGTTGGTCAATGGCATCATATTTTGGAGCTCATTCGCAGCAGAGGCTGCCATTACGAGGTTTGAGGGGACCATCTGTGGCATTGAGCCCGAGTTGGACAGAGGGAGACTACCAAGGTGGGGAGAGCCAGTAGGGGAGTGCTGAAGAGGCCCGTTGAATTGGTAAATTGAGGGAAGCGCGGGGGTATTTCCTGAATCAAAACTCTGAGACCCAGCGCCGCCCGATTCGAGCGTATCTGGCCTGTCGTCGTGTATTATAAACTCATCCAATGAGCCAAAGTTTGGTCCATTGTTTGACGGTGGTGGTGTCTTCCGTCTCTGCTTCCCAGCTATGCGCTTCCCCGACAGATCCAGATGCTGGCGCGAGACCTCGGCGAGCGTCTCCAGGGCCGACATTTGCGGCTTCGGTGCAAAGGGGAGATTCATTGTGTTTTGCGACTGTCCCGAGGTGGTGGCCATTTGTGGGACGCCGTCAGGGAGATCGGGAAGCTCATGGAACTGCAGAATCGCCCGCTGGCGGTCTCGGACTGGGAGCGCAGGGCATTTCTTGACGAGGTGGTTTGTCAAGCTATCTATACGACCCTTAGGGAACTGCGCCGCCGTCAGTCAACAGGAAACAGATGCAGCAAACTGGTCATGTGGGGCAGTAGAAACCTTTTCACCGCAAGACTTGCACGTGTGCTGGTAGCGATTGCTGGCGTCTTCGAGCTTGGGGCCGCGTTCAAAGAACTCGAGGATCAATTGATTGGGTTTGCGGCCCATAGTTCCAACATTCCAAGCAATGAGGGGTGGTAGCCGTGAATTGCGATACTGCCGGTTGGGGTCGAGGCGGTTTCGGTAGCGGTGAAGATGTCCCGATGTCTTGTGCACGTGCAGGCTTTTTGTTTTGTGTGCAGGCGGTGAGTACGCGCCTCACCACCCCCAGCTTCCTGACGAACCTGGAGAAAGCTTCGAGATCTTACTTATTTCACCGGATTGGTCACAGCCTCCGGAGAGCATGTCGCAATTCATGGATGCTTTGTTGTCAAGCCATTCGACCTTCCATTGGCGCTAGTCCAAATGCAGAAAGGTTCCACTCCCACCCCATTGTCTGAATTCAGATGGAAAGCATCCTCGCTATTCTTACATCAGCATTCCACACGGTTCCAATAAATCCCCATAAGTTGAGTCTAATCTTTTGTCTTCTGCTCGAACCAACCTCAGTCAGAGTCCATGAGGACTATATAAGGATTCGAGCGACACCTAAGCAATATTGTCCCTCTGTTATCCACCTCGGAAGCAAGGAGTCGAGTCTCTTTGCATGCGCTTATGTCGTCGAATGGGTACTGATTGGGAAGTGGCCGGAAACAAACTTCCTGTGGCGTGAGGGGCACGACGAACGGCCCAGTCAACCTGCGTCTTGGGCTAAGGGACGACGTCGCATTGTTTTGTTCTTGTCCTAAACACCTTCCAAGTCTTCCATTCATCGTAGTTCCATCAACACTTATCTTTGCAAGATATCACTACATATCGCTATGGCTCTAAGCTTCTGGCCTACGGCAGGCCTCGTTTCATTCGCAAGCTACCTCCTCTTCTGTCGAAGCCTTCGCTATCTTCGACGAGACAAGAGACATCGAGATTATCCCTACAAGACAAGAGAGGATTTCTCTAGGATGACGACTCAGCATGCCTTTGAGATCTGCAAATACTGCATTTCGCTTGAATTCCCCTTCACTATTGAGAAAGCTCTGCAATTCGCGCTGTTCAGGTACGCAGTCTTTGTTTAGTCTTATGTGTTTTCCTGGAATATCACTTTACGTTTCTTGACATTCTTCTTTAAAAAGCAAGCTAATGGCCTTCTATCTCTTACGTCATTTCTTACGCTTGTCTCTAGATTTGTCCAGCCTGGGGCGAGAGCGAATTCACACTTGGCATCCCTTCGCTCTACTATAGTGCCTCCATCTTAGAACATTTTAGAAATCTGACCTTAACACCACAGAACATACGGCATTCCCACCATAAGCAAGCTCCTCTGTGAAACGCGCCAGCTGTCCGAGGTTCAATATGCGCCAAGAGTATTTCCTCCCCACCGCGTCCTACATCTTTGAGTGGGCACTGACTTTACCCCAGCGCTATGCCGATACATCAATCCTCATCACAGAGTTCCTGTCACATGCACCGGAATCCGACCGAGCCAACTCCGCCATAGCTCGAATGAACTTCTTGCATGGTATGTATCAGAAGTCCGGCAAGATCAGCAACGACGACTTGTTGTACACACTATCTCTCTTTATACTAGAAGTGGAACGTTGGGTAAGAATGTATGAGTGGCGAGCGTTTACTCCAATGGAGTTGTGTGCTTTGTTAGTCCTCCATGTCTCCTCTGTTTAGATTAAGCTTACCACGTTTCAGCGGGACTCTTTGGAAATCGATCGGCGATGCAATGGGAATAACTTGGGAAGCCCTTGCTAACGGACAATCTGGTTTCAAGGACGGTCTCCAGTTTGTCGAGGACCTGCGCTTGTGGTCAGATGCCTACGAGAAGCGGAATATGGTACCAAACAAGTGGAATCATCAGCTCGCAGAAGAGACAATCGCCATCTTACTCTGCAACGCCCCGCGATCCATGAAGCCAGCCGGTAAACAAGCCGTTGTCACGCTTATGGATGAGAGATTGAGGAGGGCTATGATGTGTGCCACGACCCTCCCCGATGAGCATATCTTTGCTAATTTAAATTTAAGCTACGACGATCCACCAAGTTTCTACCCATCTCTCGTATCCCTCACTTTAACAACCCGCAAGCTCTTCATCCACTACCTCCTCCCTCCACGACCATATTCCATGCGCTTTAAGACAATTACGGACGACCCTGATCCAAATACCGGTCGTTACCATCAAATAATTTACGAAGCCGAGCCTTGGTAAGAATTCTGAATTGTTCTCACGTCTAACTGACCTTTTTTACTAACATGACCAGGTATGTCCCCGCAACATTATCCTATCGCTTCAACCTTGCAGCGTGGACTCGCTGGGCCCTTGGACGCCCATTTCCGGACGGGAAGAACTTCAAACCGCAAGGTTATCACATTTTTGAGCTTGGACCTGAGAAGCTAGAGAGTAAGGGGCAGGATGAGTGTAAGGCAACGAGGGAAAGACTCATGGCTAGCGGGCGGGGTGGATGTCCCTTCAGTTTTCGCAAAGCATGAATATCGGTCAGTAGGAAGCAACTGCGCTGTGAGCTGGTGGATACGAAAGGAGGCAGACAGAAATACCACGAAGTCTAAATAACCGAACACAAGTACTTCAACATAACAGCCGATAAAATTCTCACCATTCAAATCAACTTCACTCCACCCTCCTTTTCCTCTTCAACAGACTACTCTTCAACCCCACGAATATCTGCCAATTCCTCATATCATTCGTAGGAATCGGGCGGACCCGGGCGACTATGGTGTCTACACCAGATGAACCCGAATTTTGATCCAGAGTAGTGAGAGAAAGTCTCTTACCCAGGTTTCATGATGCACTTGTTAGCTGCGTTAAATCTGAGGTTTCGAAAGTCTGGACTAGAAGAAAAGTGTAGTTTGTAGCCGTCAGGGGACCGAGGAGCAATATGTCCGTTTGAAAGTTCGTAAAGCAGCTAACAAGCAAACCTATGTCGCAGAAAGACTCTCTGGAACACACACAATCCTTACGTGAACCTCAAGGCCCGCCCATAGCCGCTTCATCTCGGCATCCAGCTCTGTCGCCTGGGGGTATTTGGGAAGACTCTTGAGCTTTGATCGTTTCCTATTCATGAAGAGTGTGTCGAATCTTGAGAAATAGGCATTTGCATTTTAAGCGGCGAGTCTAACCGTACAAATTTCCACCGGCGTTGCGCAATCCGCTAGCCCTGGGTTTCCCTCTGCGTTTGGTAGGAGATCAAGATCAACCCGTTCTAGAAGGCCTCGAGATGTTCTTCTAGTTGCTAGGTTGTCTTATGAGAAGTATAGAGAGCTTAAAGGTGGTTGAGTAGGAAACGGCGGGAAGTGCAGAGATTTTTCACTCAAGGCCTGAATCTGATTCGGAGGTCAATAGTGTGCTGCGGGTCAATCATTGCTAGAAGAAAGGATGTATATGTGAGTCGGAAATTGACGAACCAAAGATATTACTTGCCAATTCTACGATCAAGAAGTACTCACTGCTCACCTGGTAGTCTTCGAAGCCAACATATGCCTTGCATCCCGAAAGATGCTGTAACACTATGCATGAATTTCTTATAGTGACAATGAGGAGCCAAAAACAATGGGTATTCAATGAGAATTAGAAGAGACCACAAAGGTATGCAACCAAATTTGTTGGAAAGTCTTTTGGCAGACGATCAATCTGCACTAGTGAACTGTGTAACCTCTTGCATTTATAGCATTAAGGTAGAGCTTCCTAATAGGCGCTCCCAAATCGAGCCTTAGAATGTTCCTCCATTTGAGCAACTGCAACTTGAACGCCAATGCAATCGCCCAAAAGTCGACCATGCAGTAGGGAATGGCTCAGATCTTCTCTTCAGCCACCATGTTGGCCGCTTAGCCACATTACCAGTGGAAAACATACCGAATAAAGAATACTACATTCTCATTTCTTCGCTAATCTGGGCGAAGCGATCCCTGAAGCTCAAGTTACACAAAAATAATCATCCCATGCTTTCAGGTCGCATTCCTCTCTTCCCTTGGCATGTGCGTTAGAGCTCTAGGCCTCTTACAAGCTGGGAATAGGATGAGTATAGCATGTTGTCGCCTACGGACATTGGCTAGATAGTGACCTTTGGAGCGTTTAGCTAGAGCTCGGGGGAAGGGCTAAGTGGATACAGGTTCCAGGACTTAACCAAACCCTATCATGCTCCATCGTGTGTGCCATCATACAATACATGAGCAACCCCAGTTAGCTAAAATTTTCAGATCTCTTCCAGGGCCGACGGCGGTTGAGTTCAGGTGCCAGCTGACTCGAACACCCGAGTCGAGATATTTTGTAAAGCCGTGGAAAGGCAGATTCGATCCGACAAAACATCTGGGCTCAAATATAAAAGTTAAAAAAAAGGCTTCGTTATTCCACTGGTGATCTTAGAGTTTATATTTGCTATTGTTGATGCGTAGGACGATCATGATATAAGTAGAGCGACGATTGAGAGGCCTGGCCATGAAGGGTCCTTCACAATAGACCTGGACATTCGCGGGCATAGCGCCTAGTGACAAGACACCGTCAAGGACTTGCCCCATTTATCCGAAACTTGAATTCTTTATTGAGGTTTACGTGTTTAACAAACGTTGTTAAGTGAGATCAGCAGAGTTGTGGCATCTTCGGTGGACCTCGGCTCTTGTGGCACCCCGGCCCAGATCCTCCAACTGCAACAACAAACTGCGGCGTTGCTTATATGCTCGGGTGCAGCGTCATGGAAACATGTCGAAGGACGGACCTTTTGCTCTTGATATTTATCTCGTCTTAATACTCCGCTGTTGACATCGTTCCACCCTGACCATGTCGTCTACCCCCATTGTACCCTTCTCAGAGCCTCCCTATCTCGCTGGCCTCCCATCTCCATATTACAAGCCAACGCATTTGAAATGGCAAAAAGCCTGTCGAAAGTTCATACAAAATAATCTGCTGGAGAATGCTTTGGAATGGGATACCGCCGAAACGTTGCCTGAACATGTCTTCGACACCTTTGCGAAAGCGGGGATGCTGATTCCATCCCTACCCGCTCCATTGCCTGTAGAATGGCTCAAGAGACTGGGGATCCATGAGATATTGGGAGTGTTGAAGGTCGAAGACTTTGACTACATCCATACCATGATCTACTGCGATGAGGTAGGTTGCTGAAATACCTGTGCTTCCGGAAAGCTGACAGTGGTGCATGTAGATGGCGCGCTCCGGACTGGCAGGTCCCTCGGGCTCTCTCACAACCGGGATCTCGTTTGGTGTACCTCCAATCCTCAAATACGGCAATAAGCAGCTACAAGAGCGCCTTCTGCCCGAGCTTTTGACGGGCAAGAAGCGGACATGTATCGCCATTACCGAGCCCAGTGCTGGTTCTGACGTGGCAAATATTTCCACTACCGCAACGAAGACACCAGACGGGAAACACTACATAATCAATGGCACGAAAAAGTGGATTACCAACGGTATCTGGGCTGAGTACTCCTCTATGGCAGTACGAACTGGGGGGCCAGGGCCTTCTGGCCTCTCCATGGTTGTTGTGCCATTGAAGGGATATCCGGGCGTCACCATGCGAAGATTGAAAGTCGGTGGTCAAGTCTCAGCTGGCACTACCTTCATTGAACTTGACGATGTCAAGGTGCCAGTGGAGAATCTAATCGGTCAGGAGGGCATGGGCATGAAGTACATCATGACCAACTTCAACCACGAGCGCCTCACTATCGCTATTGGTGCAACACGATCAGCTCGCGTCGCACTGGCAGCTGCCATGGAGTATGTTCTCAAGCGTGAGGCGTTCGGAAAGACTCTTGTCGAGCAGCCTGTTGTGAGACACCGCCTGGCCAAATGTGGCGCTTTGCTGGAGAGCCAATGGGCTTGGGTCGAGCAATTCGTGTACCAGATGACCCAATTACCCAAGGAGACCGCTGACATCGAGCTTGGTGGTCTCACTGCGATGGTCAAAGCCCAATCAGGCATTGTTCTGAATGAGTGCGCACAATGCGCAGTACTACTGTTTGGTGGAAACGGTTACACGAGATCAGGGCAGGGTGAATTGGTCGAGCGTAAGTTTCTCCGCAAGCCACTCCTCTCTCTACAGCAGCCCTTTTCGTTTTCGTATTCTCATCCGGCCAAATAGCGCTCCGTCCGATGTATGTCTGACTGACGTTCGTTTTCAGGAATATACCGAGAGGCGCCCGGCGTGCGCATTCCGGGAGGGTCAGAGGATGTTTTGCTGGATCTTGGCGTCCGTCAGCTCGTCAAGAACTTCAAGAACAAAACAAAAGCCATGGAGCGTCCAAAAGGTTCTTCAAAACTGTAAATCCTCCTATCAAAAAGCGAATCGGATTTTTTCCTGTACTATACGGAAAATCACATCGGCCACCGCGTGAAATTTTGAGAGTTTCTGGCATATTTTGTAGTGCCAAGAGGCTTAAATTCATTTACCCTTTTCTCTGTGGAACTTTAACGCTCGTATGTGCATAAATTGCAGGCCCAGCGCGATGGTTTCGTTCTTTTATACTAAGAATAGGTTCGTAATTGGTCGTTTTAAGCCGATCTGCCACTCATATGTAATGTTTTCGGTTAGTTCGTATTTCGTAAAGTACTGGGTCAAGTATAAATGAATCTGCATTTCCTAGCAGAAACGTCTATACTGCGTATCAGATATTCTTGTCTCTATTTTCTGCATAGTTTCAGCCTGTTTATCATGAAGTCCTTCGTTGTCATCGCTGCTGCGCTTGTCTCTTTGGCAGTCGCCAATCCAGTGGCAAACCCGGTTGGTGAAGTCGTTGGAAATTGCTTCTGCAAACCACCAATATGTCCGATGAGCTTGATCGCTGTAAGCTATTGCTAAAAGTATGCAGATATATTCTTCAGCTGACGTTCATCCAGGAGTGCGAATGCAAGAACTCTGCCGCGGAGGCATGCTATCAATCCTACCTTGCGAAGGGGATCAAGTGCCCCAAGCCAACTCCTCAGGTCCGCTGATGTCTGAATTTACTCACGCCCACATGTTCATACTCCCCAACATTTCCCTCTTGAAAATATGAGTCATATGAGCTCCTTTGCCACAGACCAAATCATTCATACAATCCCACCTTTCAAGTCCTCTTTGTTCAAGGTTTAGTCAAATCCATACTAATTGAAATTAGGTTTGCGGAATCATTGCCCGAGACCCCATTGCCAAACCCACAACCACCGCTACCCCAGTCCCCACCGTCTTGCCAATTGGACCCCGTTGCGGTGGCTTCGCCGGCTTGCCCTGTCCCGATGGCTTGAAATGCGTAGATGACCCGCGCGACGACTGCGATCCCAAGCACGGCGGCGCTGACTGTATTGGCGTCTGTGTTGGACCCAGGATTGCGTGTGGAGGCTTAAAAGGATTGAGTTGTCCCACGAATTATACCTGTATTGATGATCCTACGGATGGATGTGATCCGGCCAAGGGCGGAGCGGATTGTGGCGGAATTTGTATTTGGAGTGGGGGGATTTTGGAGGCTTGAGAGTTAGATATGCTAGAAGGGAGAGGAAGAGGAATGATGTGTGGGTGCAGTGTAAGGTCTATAAAAAGTCAACATTTTTGCAATACGCTTTCAACGTTTTATCTTCGCAAGGGTGAATTTATCCTCCGTTTTGCTAAAGACAGCCATGCTAATAGTTGTATAAACTGCATTCAAAGCTCTATGCGAACCCGCAATCGAAATTCGTCAAGCTCTGTCCAATCAATTATTTTTATGCAATAGGGATCTTTATTAAGGTATAAAATAATCTTCTAGAAGACCCGAGCCTTGCGCGATCAACCATGCATGCATATGCAATCTGAAATTAAGATAACTCTAGCAGATAGTCGAGAGCGACAGCCCTTCTTTCAACTTGCTTCCTTCCCCGACTACTCCAGTACTGCTATTTGGGAGAATGGGCAACTCATCCACCCCCATTCTCCGTATCTAAACTCCATTCAAAAGACAGGCAAACTTCACCGCAAACCCTACTCTACCTTTCAACCCATGCTTCGATCCGCATGTGCAACCCATAACCCGTCTTTGCCTAAACGGCCCAACGGCCCTCACCCTCCGTTCCCAAACTAGCAACACTTACTCTAAACTCACGAGACAAGCTTTCCGCTTATATATTTCCCGCGCCCGAACCTGGAGACCTTAACAAACCATCATGATTCCGGTAAGGTGATCGAACGTTTTCTAGAAACGTTGGATAAATCGTCCGAGGCTATGGCAAATCGTGGTAAATCATTGCATGGAGTTATTGCCTAGGTGGAGGGAATTGTAGAGTTTAATGAATATTTGTTTGTGTCATTCGACGGGATAGGATGGGGGAGAGTGGGCGGAATGTCGTTTTGATGATGGTGCTCCGTTGCGGTTTGGGTGTTGGTGCTTGTGGGCTGGATGGGCGGTAGGTTTGATGATATAAAGGTGGGTGTGAAGACATTATTCTTCAGACGCTTGTTGGCTCGACGGGTTCTACTATACTGAAGATCACCCACTTTACAAATGCTGTCCATACTAACCCTCCTCTTCCTCCCCTCCGCTCTAGCATACAACAATCACCCCTCCCATTCTCTAGCTGACCTCCCTATAACCCGCCGGGGCTCGACTCTCTACCTCGATCAAAAAAAATGGACCGCCTCCGGCGCAAATGTATACTGGCTCGGCCTGGATGAAAACGTGATCCCTCCTTCCGGCGAACCCTTCTACGCACCTTACAACGCGTCATATCCAACGAAAGGCCGCATCACCGAAGTGATGACTACGGTTAATGTAATGGGTGCAAGGACGATCAGGAGTCAGACGATGGGAGTGAGTGTGGGGAATCCTTTGAGTGTGATGCCGAAGCTGGGAGAGGTCAATGAGAGAGCGTTTGAAAGTATGGATTGGGCAGTTTTTCAAGCTAGGAAGTATGATTTAAGGATTTTTGCACCTCTCGTAAGTTTGGCTTGGAGGTAGAGGAGAATAGACAGACCTGAAGAGAAGAAAGTCGCTGATTAGCGGTAGACTGACAACTATGATTATTACCATGGTGGAAAGTTTGTGTTTCTAAGGTGGAGGGGGATTGACATTGGCAGCAGTGGAAATATGTGAGTATCTACTTTCGTTCAATCGATATCCTATACTTGGGCAAGAGTTGAGAGATGTTGGGTATTGGGACACACGACGGGACATAGCCAGGATATGGATAGAAACAAGTATCCTCCTACCGATCTCTAAAATCCCAGCAAGGAGTTTAGCTCCATCTGGCCATTCCTCATGGGCCACGATAAAATGCTGCATGTCTCGTAGATCATCATAGAAGAATACCTGAGTAAATCTGGAAAGGGGGATTTGTCAAAAGGCTTTGTACTGACTTGACGCAGAGATCCAAAAGTGCAAGCGTTCTACACCAACAGAACAATTATCGATGACTTCAAAAACTACATCAAGGTCATCTTGACACATAGAAACCAGTACACAAACGTACGAATGACACCCAATAATTGACAATGCTGACACATTCAGTTGACTTATGCTGAAGACCCCACGATATTTGCATATGAGACTGGAAATGAACTCGGCGGTCCGACATTCGGAGACAAAAATGTCCCAGTGGAATGGACGAAAGAGATTACACAATACGTCAAAGAACTTGCACCTACGAAGCTAGCCGTAGACGGAACGTACGGGATTAACTCGGCCCATTTGAGCATATCCAGCGTCGACATCTTCTCCGACCATTTCTATCCGATGGACGTTAGTAAGCTCTCGAAAGGAGTAGAAGCTGTCGGAACCGTAGACAAAGTTTACTTCGCGGCCGAGTATGGATGGACCCCTCAATCTCAGAAGATCTCATCTATGGACGATTTCTTTACATGGATCGAGAACCAGCAGAACAAGAGCAGGCCGATCATCGCAGGAGGTGAGTTGTTTGTTCGCGGAGATTGTGAAGAATGCATGGAAGATTTTCTTCGTCTCACCGTATTCCGAACACTCCGAGCGCTCGTATTCCGCACACCAAAACTAAGTGGCTAATATCACGTAGACCACTTCTGGAGTCTTTTCATGCATAACGTTCCAGACTGCTCAGCCTTTGTCGAACACAATGTAAGTGTCTCAAGCCACACCTGGTCAGGCCAACTTCCGGGTACCGGTAGCTAATATCGGCTTCGAAACTAACAGGATGGGTTCACGTTGCAATATGGCAACCCGAAAAATCCAGCCAATTACACAGAACAAATTTCTAAGATTCGACAGCATCTGTTCCAAATGCAGGGCCAGGTCGTCGGTGCGGCATTACCTCCAGCGCCATGTCCGGGGAAGCAATGAAATCAGGTACCCGGATTGGAGCTGGAGTGCAGGATCCGGGGTAGACGTGAGGTGGTGTGAGAGGTCGCGCTCGTCTAAAAAGTACTTTTCTTTTGTCCAATGAAACCTCCAAGGTAGGGAGATGAAACGAAGAATCCTCCCTGGATAGACTTACCTCAAGGAGAGGGCCTCACATACGCCACCCGCAAGCCCGATTATGCCCCTTGAGGACATCAAGGTGTTGGAGTTGAAGATTAAGGATGAGGACATGACAACAAAGCCGCGTTTTCCCGACCACATCCTTGTCTGAAATGTTTCCTCCTCCGACTATTCCCCACGATGCATCAAAATAGCACCCTACCCCAAATGAGACTAGCTACCCTCCTTCACAAGGATGCTGCTTCAGAAGGAAAAGAATTACTTCAGGTTTTGTCGATTAATAAAATGCGACTAGAGGTTGGAAAGAAAGTCCGCTAATGAGTCATCAAACTCTATCGCAGTCTGGATTCATGATTTGCTACATCGCCAATCCATTCAATTTGATCCTGTAACCTTTCAAAGAAATTGCACTCTAAGATACTTGTAGGTTCGGAGTCTGGACGCGAGGTCCTATTTTGTTAAGGTGGGTCGGTGAAACACCTAACCACGTAAGACGCAATTCGACTTGATGCGCATCGGCGATAGCTTGACTCGACTTGCGCTGCACACATACGAAGAAACGTGGCAGGATGTGATTTTGAACAGAGCCTCGAATTGGCTTCACAGTCTCTTTTAATCCAGCTACAAGCTTCAGAGATGAAACTTCATTGCAAGTGTTCCATGGTAAGCCCGAATTTGTTGTTGATATGATACTGTCGGAAATAGTGAGATGCTGGACCTCACCTCCGTGATCGGAACCCCGATGTGTCAGGATGGATGTAGTCTCGTGCCCCCTGTAAGACTCTGTGCATGTTATCTCAAATCTGCAGGCTGAGATGAGTCTCGACAATCGACTCCACAATGCAGCAGGCAGTTCGGCCGCGGATCGTTGTCGATGCAGCCATTTGCAGGGAATAATTAAGGCCCTCTCCTCCACGGCGATGCAGAACGCCGATTTAATAGAGCGTCTGAAGCGTTACACGGGAGAAGGCTGAAGCTAAAGTCCGAGTCTTCACCGTGAGAACGTCAACGCCCCTCCCCGCAAAATCTCAACACCAGGGTGTTCTGGAGATCGGCGTGGTCAGCCCCACACGTTCCCGCTCGCTTGCTTCGAAATTGTTGGTGTTTTTGAATCGACGCCGTACTTCTCTCCGTACCTGGCATGCCCAATGCCCGGTATGAATGCCGAGAGATAAGGGTTCAACAGTTTTTTTACGGTCAGCGCATGTCATTTCAGCGTTCTTTGAGGCATTGGATGGAGAAGCTTGCGGAGTGGTCAGCTCTTATTGTCAGGTGCCGTTTGAAGAGGGAGGAAGAGGATAGCAGCGGAATTTACTGCGCCCCGCTAGAGCTGAGTACGTAGTCCTATTGGACCCGGGGCGTCCACCGCTCTTGGAAGCTTGGAGGGAAAAGGCCGCAATTCTGTCGACGCGTTGACTGTCTGCCGGCTAGCATCTCGGCTGTGGGCCATTGGTGCTGGCGTCGTTGTTGTCAAAGTACACGATTCGAGACCAATCGTGTTGCAGATGGGATATCCATATCCGGCAGAAGTTTTAAGAGCAGGTCGCCGCTGCCGCTAGACTACTGGCGGAGCGTGTGCAGCGTCTGGCAGGCAAAAAATGGTTGACTGTCTACGGAGGATTATGAAAGGGTAGTCCCAGCAGTGAACAGCCCTTGGCTCGCAACCACCCATTCAGGACTGTTTGACGTAGAAAGCTGTCCTGCATAATCAGTAGGCAACGCCCTTCTACCGCGGCACAGCGTTGGGTGCAGCTGAGATGAGCGCGCTGAATTCCGCACGGGCGAGCTGCTGACGTCGGGCAACGCGGTGTACTGCACTCTTCCGGTAGCTTAGTCCCGAGCACATCCGAGAATGACCGTCGCCTCCAACGCCAAGAGGCGAAAGCGCCGATGATCCGAATCTGGGGCCTGGGGAACGCACTAGTCATCCCCACTGGAGACGAGGCCTGTCATGAGGGATAATCGTAGTCGAGTGCATCGCGAGCCGCGTGAATGGCCCAAGCCTCGATTAGGCCTCACCTGAATTCTACCATGGCGAAATTGGGACCCGTACATAATCTTCCCCTTGCCCCCCTGTGCCCCTCGCGTGCCCGGTCTTGATACCTCTCAACTCCACTCCTCCCCATTAATAGGATCCCGCCCAAAGAACCCTTCCCCACAAGACGACAGCAGTGTGTAACTATGTCCGAATGCTCAGCATCGCTCTCTGACCAGCAAGAGACTCAACCACCGAAGCGCAAGGCCGCACAAGCAGGACTCGATGGAAACACCACCGGACGTTCAGTAAAGAGAAGGGCTTCAAAGGCATGTCAATGCTGTCGAGCACGCAAAGTCAGATGCAACGTCACCGAACATGGAGCGCCGTGCACGAATTGCAGACTGGACGAGGTGGAATGCATTGTGTCAGAAAGCAGGAGAAAAAAGTCAGTATCCGACGGGCCCTTTACCGAAGCTCCATCTTTCCGCCGAATGCTCGCATCGAGAGAGAAAAACATGTCGTCATGCGAGTGTCGGCCCTTTCCCACCAGCCAGCCACTTACAGTGCGTTGGTCCTGTCACGGCGGTCTGGATTATTTCCTTGGCCGTGAAATTGCCGGCTATATTATCATCACACTTTTTGGGCACCATTTTACAGATGACTGACGTTATGGCAGGAAATGGACCAAGGACGACGACAACCACGCAGGCGAAAATACTTCGTCGGTCTCGAGTGTGAATCGCAAGCTCGCTTCGCGCGAGGCCCTTGACAGCATCCAGAACCTCACCTCAGCCTCATCGCGAAGGTCACATGAGGCAGAACCGCGGCTTGACGAACATGTGCCACATTCCATCTGTGCGTCCGACCACCCGGCAACAGAACACGGACTGCGTTTCGTCTTCTTGAATCACATGCGCTGACAATCTGACCAGATCAAACCCATGGCTCTCGCTTGAACTCCATCAACAGCTTCTCAGAGCTGCACCGGCGTCTTTCCGTCAATTCACAAGCAACTACCAATGGATTGCCAATCATGCCATTTGCGTCCTTTACCGGCGATGCCCGGACGCCATTTTATGGCAATGTTGGTCCCAAGACTTCCACTGTAGCTGACTTGCCGCTCTACATCAAACCCCTGCCAGCGCGCATTGGCCCCGATGAAGTTGCCTATTTGGAAAAGAAGGGCGCATTGACAGTGCCCAAGTCCACCCTCCGCAATGAGATGCTACGGGCGTACGTTGAGTTCGTGCATCCGTACATGCCACTTTTGGACCTGCATGACTTCCTACCAATCGTTGATCGGCCGGACGGGAGCCTCGGTAAAGCCAGCTTGATTTTGTTCCAAGCCGTCATGTTCGCCGGCTCGGCCTTTGTCGATATGCGGCATTTGCGGAATGCAGGCTATGCCACACGCAAGGAAGCTCGCAAAGACTTTTTTCAGAAGACAAGGGTGAGTTCAATTTTATCTTTGTGCTTGGCACTTCTTGGCCGAACTCGGTACAAACCACCTCGTACGCAGCTTGGCAAGATCACACCCAGATTGTCTGTGGTTTGAAATCCACCTTGAGATTGCATGTGAATTTGCGGGAAATATCTGGCTGCCCATAACAGCCCAAGTAACCCTGCTAACCATTTCTATCTAGCTTCTGTACGACTTCGACTATGAGTCCGATCGTGTCTCTCTAGTCCAATCCCTGCTTCTCCTGACGTACTACTACGAGACTCCAGATGACCAGAAAGACACATGGCATTGGATGGGCGTGGCGACATCCGTCGCACACACCATTGGGCTCCATCGTAATCCAGACAAGACGAATATGGACACGAAGCGCACCCGTCTCTGGAAACGCATCTGGTGGTCAACTTACATGCGAGATCGTCTCATTGCTCTAGGAATGCGTCGACCGACCAGGATCAAGACTGAAGACTTCGATGTCCCCATGTTGACTTTGGATGATTTCGAGCTTGCTCCAATCCCGGATACAGTGACTTGTCTCCCGCCAGATTGCCGCGTAGCATTCAACGTCAAGATGCAGCGTGAGCTCGCTATAATGTGCATTGAGAAAGCCAAATTATGTCTTTGCATCTCCCACGTGCTCTCTAAACAATACTGCGTGTTGAATAACAACCAAGGCCTGATGAACGACCGCACAACGATGATGCTACTCCCTAAGAAATTGGACCCGGAGACGGGAGAGGTCAAGGCCTGTGACGAGGAGTTGCAGAAATGGGTCAATGAACTACCGGAGGAAGCCAAATACACGGACAAGTTGACGGGTGAGAATGCGCTAGATTTGCACAGAGCATTGCTTCATATGGTTTTCTTCACGACGCTCTCCGCGCTCCACCGGCCGCAAGTCCTTCCGTCATCCCACACCGCACCAACTCCTACCGACGCGAAACAAGGCCTTGGCCACGACTTTCTCGACGTCTCTCGCCGGAACGTACGTCGGGCTGCGTCTGCCATTACCTCAATAGCTCAGCGTTTAGATTCGGCTAACCTTGTCAAATTCCTGCCCACAACCGGTGTCACGGTGCTACTTCCAGCCATCATCATCCACTTGCTGGACATCAAGGCTCCCGAGGAAGAAACCCGACGCTCTAGTCTCCGCGGCTTCTGCCAGTGCATGGCTGTGATGGGCAAACTCCGCGACTTGTACGCCGCCGCCGACTACAGCACCGCATTCCTCGAAGCCGCAATCCGGAAAGCCGGGATCCACATCGCCCCTATGCAGCAACAACCGCTGGCCAAACCATCGCCAGTAACTACGGTCGAAGATCTCGTCGACGCGGGCAGGCGACTCGATTTGGCTCACGATACCCCTACTTCTCAGCATCTTGCAGATGCAACTCGGACGACATTAACACCACCCCCGGACAACGGAACAACGAACATGACACTACTAGAGAAGATATCCGGACCACCAGGCGCACCAGGGGCCAACGTCACCGACGAAGAGGTTGCTCGACGATTAGAATCCTTCCTGGCCTCCACACCACCAGAATCCGACCACGACCACGACAATCTCGACGCCATCACCATCTCACAAGACTCGGACGGGCATTCCCATACCCACTCCCACCACATCCCCACCACAAACTCTCACCCTCATACCCATACCCTCGCCCATGCCCACCTAAATCACGCCCTTAAATCTACCTCCGAACTCAACTACACCGGCTTCGCATCCGATCTCCCGCCAAACCCATTCAACCATCACCACGACTCCGAAACGCTCTTCTCTAGCCTGCCGATGAACCACGATTTCGACGACGGCGATTTCGACAGTTTGCTGAACTTGGATGCGGTGGGAGAGGCGTTTGCGTGGGATGAGGGTGCCTTGGAGAACGGGTTGCAGATTTCTGGGGAGATGGGGATGGGGATGGGTGGTGGGGACGCGGATTGGTTTGGTGGTGGGGGCGGTGGGGTTGGAGTGGGGCATCTAAATTTGGGGGAGTAGGTGAGGGGGTAGACAGCAAAGGAGGAGCAGGTAGGGAGAAGAGTGGGGGAGATGGTAGTGTTGGAAGAATGGTGAACCAGAGAAGTGGCTTCTCTTCGTTTCGTTTCTTTTGGGCGGAAAAGTTTCTTCTTGTTGCTTTGGAACCTTTTTCTTCCCGTCCTATTTTGCGGTGCGATACATGCATGCGAAGATATCCACGTTTTATTTGCGCTTTTGATCTATCACAAGAGCGATTTCTTCATCTTCATTATTCCTTAATATGATAAGCTGAATGGGGGTAGTATTGGTTTGCTTCTGTTTCCGCTTGTATTTCCAAGGCCAAAAGACGATATGACAGCGGAGTGGGTAATAGACGATCTGAGTATGATCGATTTCTCTTGATCGAAGAACATAGGAACGAAGACACGAATTAATTAAGCTCAAATATCCCACAATCACTTCTCCCGTTCTCCAGGCTCCTTTTCTTCCAACTATTATTTGATAATAAGTGCATGCATGGCGCCCCTTTTGCTGCTTTGTTGGTCTGTCCTTCCTCCTTTCAAGCTTCGAGGCACACTCTCCTCGTTTCCTTCCTTCCTTCCTTCCTTCCTTCCTTCCTTCCTTCCTTCCTTCCTTTCTTTCTTTCTTTCTTTCCTTCCTCCCTTCCTCCCTTCCTTCTTTCTTTCCTTCCTTCCTTCCTTCCTTCCTACCCTTCCTACCCTTCCTCTCTCCTTCCTCCTTTCCTTCCTTCCTTCCATTATTCCTACCATCTTCCCCAGCCAACGAATTAAATTTCGAAATGCGGAAGAAAACTAGACCAGATCAGGGTATCTGTTGAAGACAAAGGCCACCCTCCCACCTTCACCCATGTAACCAACATTACCAGCACTATTTCGCTTCAACTATCCCCATCGGCTCCAGCCTTCGCGTATCGCGTGCATCCCAAAACGCAAAATTCCCTGGCCAGCAACTCTAGTTCGACTAAGCAATCGTGCAGGAGGCCAGCCCGACATCGTTTCGTTTAGCCCAACTAAGATACATGCAGGATTCAGGGACTAAATTAGAGAGGAAAGGAAAGAAAATGGCGATTCCACGGTTGTTGAAATCCGGGGGAACGCCACAAACACAAGCGCCCGATAACGGTCGGGGATTGATTACCCGCGGAAATTCGAGAGAGGGGGGATCCTTTTTGAAAATGTAGATTACAGGCAAAGAGATGGATGGGAAATGATACGAGGAATAAAAGTTTTGGAAAAGGACGAGTTTTCGGAGTAAAAGAAGGCCTTGGAGTAAAGTAGTGGGAATATGCCTAACCAGGTAGTTCCGCTCCATTCCTCCCTTTGGCTCTGCTACTCTTCTTGCGCCCACCTCTCCTCCCTTACCGGTCTATTCTCTCCCGCCTTCTCCCTCTCCCCGCTAAACTCCCGCTTCCAAGCCCAGTACTCGCCAAGACGAATTTCAGCGTAGCTTGCATAGTCGAAGTCAATCAGTGAGATCTGAGCCTGGATCAGGGCCCAGATGCCCCAATAGAATCCCGGCACGCCGCGGAACTTGTTGACTTGCTCGTATAGCTCGTTGAGCTCTGCGTCCTCGAACGTGCGGTTCTGGTTCAGGTTGAAGCTTCGAAGATACTCTTTCAAGAAGGCACGGCGCACGGAGCGCGTGGGCAGGACGGTGAAGTCGCAATCGAAACCGCCCCACTCTGCGAAGTGGTTTGCGATGTCGAAGGAGGCGGGCGCGGGTGTGGCATACTCGTAGTCAATGAAGGACACTGTTGCAGGGGCCTCAAGGTCGTCAGAATTGCCCGACTGGCTCGAGCGCCGCGATACAGAGGCAGAAGAGGGGATCGGCTGGATGATGACGTTGCCGCTGAGGAGGTCGCAATGGGCAAAGACGAGCGGGTTCGAGGAGCCGACACCTGGCATATCACCGAGCAGCTTCACAAGCCATTCCAGCTCCCGCTGCAGTTGGTCGCGACGGCTCTTCTCCGCCGTCGTGCTGGTAGGCAGAGCAAGCACCCACTTTTGCATAACGGTCCACACATTCGGGATCGGCTTGCCCGGCGTCAATTGTGCCATAGCCTGCAATGAAGCACGTTTATTATTGGGCGTTATTTGCGCTGGAGCAGGACATATGCTGCTGATACTCGATATAGGTAACGTTGCATGCCATTCTCCGAGTCTCTGTGCCACACCGCGCCACACTTCTGGCCGACGCAGGTCGGCTGGCGAACACACGCTGCCTTGAATAAATTTGTAGAGGAGACCGTTGTCGAACCGTGCCAGGAGAGATGGCGCGAGGCCGTGACGGGCGAGGAGGGAGTGGGAGAGGGATTCCTCTGGTTGCGAGCTTCGTCAGAAGAGGGAGTGCAGAAGGGGAGAGATCAGGACTCACTCTCGCGGTCAATTAGGACATCGGTTCCCTTTCCGTAGGCACGAAGTAGAACAGCTTCGTTGTCTATCTCAGTCTCCGAGAGACCCGGGAGCTTATTGATTGCTTTTAGAAGCTGTTCACCGCTAGATCAGCACGACATCCCAATTGCCCCGGTTTACGGCTGTTTCAAAGGCAATGCAACAACTTACCGTGTTCGTGATGCCATCCGTGAATCTGACAAACTTGATAGTGCCCTGCGAGTCTCTCCACTCTGGCCGCAGAGTGAGCACGAGATTCAGAGCCGAGTTGTGGGAATCGGTATTGGTGTACATGAGAGGAATGTACCGTATCGAATCGAACGGATGCGATTCGTTCCCCATGATTTCTGCGCGGTAGGCTTGCGAGCGTGAGCTTTCGCAGTTTTGTGAATAGAAAAGTTGAGGGGTGCCAGATGTCATCGGCGCAGCAAGCATGTGAAACCTGCCCAGGAACACGCGGCTGTCTGGCCGGAAGCTTGAGGGGAAGGTACGTACCAATTGGTTGTAGAAATGGGCGTATATATATGGCAATAATGGTGGTGTTGTACAAGCGGGGTGTGTTCACAGTTGAGTCCGAGATCGTGGGAGTGATGCAGGAACAAGAAAGTGATTGTCTGGTCTCGTGGGTGCTTGCCCTTGTGGAACCTCAAGCGAAGCACGCCAGAAGCCCCCCGGTCGAACCGCCACCATTTGCAAGTCCAGACCCTGTACGGATTATCCAGGCCTCTGACGTATTCGCCGCTTTGGCTCCACCTGAGTCCTCTCCCATCCATAGTCATCGGCCATTCAGTTCTGCAAACAATAGGATCCAGGATCCCCCATTGTATTGAGACTGACACGGCAATATCGGAAAAGATTTGCTAGCCAGCAGCTTGGCATGCGACCGAGAAGCAGGCCCTGCGGGGCCTACCCACGCATCCACAATCCACTTGTCAGACCGCCTGCCGACTGTGCTCCAGCCGTTGCTTCGGCAGTTCCCTCGTTCGCATTTCTGAAAGTTCTTCTATGTCACCCGTTTTCTGTTACTCTCTGTGGTTCGTGGCCGTCATCCAGCCACGTGCGTGCCTACGTACTCGACTCGTGTGCTCCATATCTCTAACAAGGCTAGCGTTGCACCAAGCACTAAATAGCTACTTGTCTGGTCTCAGCAAATCTGCTCAATTTGGGTGCCTTTGCTAGCGGAATTAGATGGAGACGGCGCGCCTGTTCAGACCTTCCCAAGATTTCCCGAGATTCAATTCACAGTTGGCATCGACGGGGCCAAGCATTTTCTGAAGTAAGCTTCCAATTTGTCTACTCCGATTCTACATACATCATTCCAGGAAAATGCCTCCCAATCTACCAGTCTAAGTCTAGCTCCCAAGTAAATCCACAAACTTGAAAGCAAGACAACCCACTGCGAAACTAAACACTAGGAGCTGCATCATTCCAAGTCCAACGCCGACATTTGAGAAAGAAAGGAAATATGAGAGATCATGATGGATGGGTGAGATAGGACAAGAGAGGATGTCGTGTAAAGAGGGAAAAAAGTAAGGAAAGAACTACTTCGCCCGGACGACACCATCTTCCCAAATGGTGCCGAGCGCAAGCAGAACAGAGGAGAAGAGAAGACAAGGAAAATCGTGACCATATACATGAAGAGAATGCAAGAGAGAAACCCATCCATCTATCCCTCGGAAAGAAAGTGGAAATGGAAAAGGAAAAGGTAATCATGCCATGGCGCCTGCTATGAACTGGCTCAGCTCCTTGGCCTTCACACCCTCCATCATCGTGAAGTGGTTTGCATCCTTCATGCTCGTGATCTTCACCTGCTGGCGGCCAACAAGTGTGTCCCATCCGTTAGGTCCAAGATCCACCCTGTTGTTCAACAGCCATTTCATCTCCCGAGGGTCATCAGCCCTCTCCTCTGGTGGTGGGATGCTTCCGTCCTTGCACACCCCATCTTCAGCCCAGATGATGTGCACCTGCGGCGCCTGGCCCTGGAAGGGTCTCGCCTTGTATGTGTCAAGAGCGTCGATGAAGGCAAGGAAATGAGGAAGAAGCCAGGATGGTGGCGGTGCGCCGCCTTGGCCGAACAGGTTGATGCTGTTGAAGAAGTCGTAGAGGCGGGTCGGGAGCTTCTCAAGGCCGATCGGGTTCGGAGTATCGAGCAGAATCAAACGTTCGACCTTCTCGCCAGCGCAGACGAGGGTCTGGGCGGCATCGTAGGCGCAGATGCCGCCTGCGCTCCAGCCACCCAAAAAGTACGGTCCATGAGGCTGACGGCGGCGGATCTCATCGAGGTAGGGAGCCGTCAGGTCAGCAAGTCCGCACTTCATGTCCTGGGGGGTCTTCATGTATGGGCAGTTCAAGCCGTAGACTGCGACGTCGGCGGCAATGCGGGGGAGGGGAGCGTACGAGGTGGAAGAGCCGGAGCCGTCAGGGAAAAGGAAGAGCTGCTTGGTAGCAGATTTAGGAGAACCCTGGAGGAGGATTGAAGAGGCTCTTGGAAGCGTCGAGGCCGGCTTCAGAGGGATGGAGAGCTCCTTGACGATGACCGAAGCTGTCTCAGGCGGTGAAATGTCGACTGGTGCTGCAGGGGCCGGTGTAGACTTGATGCCTAGAGCGGCCTCGACCGCGTCGAGGCAGCTGTTGGCAGCGAACAGATCTGAAGGCAGGTCCAGAGTAAGCTCCTCTCGAAGTCTGCCAAGAACATTGAGAGACAACAGAGAGTCCATCCCGAGCTCACTAAGGTCCAGGGTGCCAGTAATCTCGGCCTCTTTGACACCGATTTCCTCGGCGAGAATGCGGCGAATAGCGTCAATGACTCCGTTATCGTCGCCTTGGATGGAGCTACCGTTCGTGCTTTGGCTATCGCCGACCTCGGACTCACTCGCGGGGGTGGAGGCGTATGAGGAGCTGACTTCGGAGACAACCACAACATCTTGGGCGTCGCTTCCCTTAGGGAGGAAAGCGAGGAAGTCCTTGACGGTGGGGCAGTCGTTGAATAGCCCGCTTTCGACGTCAAGCTCAAGCTCCTCGCGAAGACGGCCAGAGATATTCAGCGAAAGGAGAGAATCAACGCCAAAGTCAGCAAATGCGGCGGCTGGAATCAGGTCAGATCGCGAGACACCAACTTCTTCACAGATGATATCGAGGGCCTTATCAGCAATACTAGGTCCAGATGGTTTCGATGCAACAGGAAGAGGAGGAGGAGCCAGAGTCTTGGCAGGCTTTGCCTGGAGTTTGGCAGAGACAGCAGCAGCAGGGACCGGAACTGACTTGGCAATAGGTGCTGTAGCCTTTGGTGCAGCCTTGCCAGCACCTGGAAGGAGGTGATCGAGAATTCGTCGCGGCACACCTTGAAACTGCAAGCTGTTAGAGAACAGGCAACAATAAAACGGAGGATATGGTCTTACTTTGACACCTCCATAGACGGCAACAATCGTCTCACCGTCGAAGATGTAGACATCACCAGCATGCATCGTCCCTCCGATGTTCTGCATCTTAACATATGTTTGGTAAGTCTTCTCGGAAGAAAGCTTGGTTGCGACCCGCATCGAATCCCAGCCATGGTTGACAAAGACTTGAGTCTTGGAATCGGTGTTGTCATTTGCGTTCATGGTGAAGCCGGTGACCTGGCCGAGACTGTCAATCCAGTAGGGAGCGAGGTAGTACTTGCCACTAGTTGGGTCCTTCTGGAACTTGACGCGAGTAGACGTCTCTAGATCATCGCTGTTCATGACAACCTCCTCCATGCCCTTGTACTGCTGCTCGTAGTTCACGATGGCGCCGAAGAGCTTGTAGGCCATGCCGCGCTTGATCAGATTGGTAGCGCCATCGTCGACACCACTGTGCAAGGCATCAATGCGAGACCTGATCAGGTAGGAGTTGCGTCTCCAATCAGCCATCCAAGCATCGACATCACCCAGCTTAACCTTGCAGTTAGCATGGTCAGTGGTCATCTTGCCTTGCTCGTTGACGCTGTAAATATGTACAGTAATCTCCTTGGCAGACCAGTCGGCGATAGCCGAAGAACGGAAGAGTTGCTTCTGCCCTGTAGCGATGAGCGGATTCTTGACTACCATCTCGGCGACGTCCATTCCAGTAGCAGACGGCTTAGTCTTGCTGTTGTTGATGAGGTAGTCACCAAGCGTGAGAGCAATATCTGCGTAAAGCGAGGACGGGCAGAGAGGAGTGCCGTTGACCGCATGGCCCTGAATAGCGGCGACCAGAGTCGGCTCCTGAACATCCGACTCCATAAGAATGGAAGGCCTGGTCGCTTCAAGCTTCTCCTCAATCATCTTTTGAACCGAGGATGTAGACAGTTTGGACTGGACAGGTGGGGCAGGAAGAGCAGCAGTAACTGGAGCGGGCGCATCGCCCTTGGTAAGGCAGAAGTTGTTGTTGTACTGGATCCAGTAGGTCTTAGCGTCCCAGTTGTAGGATGGAAGCTCGAGAACACGGTGAGAGCTTTTGAAGTCGCGGTGGTACTCGTTCCAGTTGACATCGATGCCAGCAAGGTGCAAAGAAGACAGACTGCCGGCAAGTACCTCGAAGGAGTCTTTGTTCTTTTGGAGGGACGGAAGAGCAACAGTGTCACTGCCAACAACAGCTTTGATCATGCCCGAACAGATAGGGTGAGATCCAAGCTCGACCCAAAGAGTCTTCTCGGTGATGGTCTTGCTATCGAGGGCTGCGTTCAGGCCAGACACGAAGTCGACGGTCTCGCGGCAGGCACGGCTGAGATAGAGGTGGTTGAGGATGCCCTCACCTTCGATGACCTCTCCCAGCAGTGGGGATATGAAGGGGACGGCAGGAGTAGCGAATCGGATCTTCTCAGCAACCGCCTCGAAGTCGGACAAGATTGTCTCAACTTGTGCAGAGTGGAAAGCATATGGAACCTTGAGCTTCGTTGACTTGAATTTGGCCGCGGTAAGCTCCTCGGCAAGTGCGTCGATGGATTCATTTGCACCGCTGAGTACCAGAGCGTTGGGGCCGTTGATGCAAGCAACTTCACAGGGCTTGCCAACAAGATGAGTGCCAACCTGAGCCAGGGAAGTTTGAACTGCCAGCATAGCGTGGGTGCCAATGGAGCAACGCGCGATGAGAAGCTGAGCTCGCTTACCGGTCAGGTAGATTGTGTCGCTCGCAGACAAGACACCTGCAGCATTGAGGGCCGCATATTCTCCAAGGCTGTGGCCGATGACCGCACTAGGAATAACGCCAAAGGAAGCCCAAAGGCGAGTGAGGGCCATCTGCATGCATGTAGTTCCGAGCATAGCAACTACCGGGCTGAGGTTGTCAACATCGTTGATGGACCCGTCAATCAGAGGCTGGATGCTAGGGAAGCCGTGGCTTTGGCCAATGCGGTCGAATCGCTGGATATCATTGCGGTATTGGGTGAAGTTCTCGAAGAGCTGCTTGCCCATTCCCGATTGAAGGACTCCTTGGCCAGTAAAGGCGAAGGCCACCCCAGGGGTTCTGGCTGGGACAGGCTTGAGGTCTTGCCTCTGGCTGGCATCCTTCAACTTCTTGATGACAGTCTCAATGTTTGCACCAGTGGCCACGATGCGGTGGTTGTGGTGCATACGACGCGCAGTGGTAGTGTAAGAGAGAGCAGGGAGGGCTATGTCCTGATTCTGTTCGAGGAATTTTGCGAAGGACTCGAGGTTCCTCTTCAAGGAGAGGATGGATCGTCCGGAGACGGCAACCATGTGCGTGGATCGAGGGTCTTTGCTTTCAGTCCTGTAGGCGATAGGAGCGTCCTCCATGAGAAGTGCAGTGTTGCCTCCAGCTGCACTGAAATTGTTCATGAAGACCGTACGCTTTCCTCCGTCAGGTCGCTTCCACTCCGTCGGCTTGCGTGCAATGTGAACATTGCGAGCTCCCAGATCAGGGAAGCTGTGGTTGATCTTAGTCTTGATTCCGCAATGGGGTGGTATTTCGTTCTTCTTCATCATCATGAGGACTTTTATGAGCGAGGCAACACCAGAGGCCGATTCAGCATGTCCAATATTTGCCTTAGCTGAGCCAAGGTGGAGTGACTGGGTAGGACGACCTCCCTCGGTCGGTGCGAACACCTGAAGGACTGACCCCATCTCCACAGCGTCACCAGCCTGAGTTCCAGTGCCGTGCATTTCGATGTAGCTGACATCAAGGGGGTTGACGTTAGCCGCGTTCAACATGTGCCCGAAGATCGCCGCCTGCGCGCCTACGTGAGGTCTAGTCATACTCTCAGCCTCAGCGCTGTGATTCGTGTATGCCCCAAGGATGACGCCGTAGATAGGATCGCAGTCAGCCTCGGCGTCTTCCAATCTCTTCATGATGATAGTGCCAACAGCATCAGCTCGGCAATACCCGTTCGCTCCATCATCAAATGTGTTGCAGTTGCCAGTGGTAGAGAGGAAGTGTCCACGATCCAAGCCGGCAAAGTTATCTGGATTAGTCATGACGTTTGTGCCGCCGGCGATGGCAGTGTCGCAGTCTCCCTTCCAGAGCGAGTTGCAGGCAGTGTGAATAGCAGCAAAGCTAGAGGAGCAGGCAGTATCAACACTGAATGAAGGACCGCTGAACTTAAAGTGGTAGTTGATACGTCCAGGCGTAAAGGCCCGGTTGCCACCAGGGATGAAATAGGTGTCGACATTTTGCCCGCTGTTCACCTCACGCCAATCGTCACTGGTCATGCCGTAAAAGATGCCAACGCGGTCGCGCTGAGAAGACGCTGTAGAATGTTAGCTTTCAGGACTGATATCAGAAGTTTTGACCTACCGGTTCGGTTTGGAACGAAACCTGCGAGTTCGAACGCCTCATAAGCAGTGGTAATGGCAAGACGCTGGCCGGGATCGGCGTTTGCGGCTTCTCGGGGTGACATATTGAAGAAGCGGGCATCGAAAAGGCCAGGCTCTTCAATGAAGCAACCGTGCCGGATACGAGATGTGTTCTTCTTCTTGCCTGTGGGGTCAAAGTGAGCATCTACGTCGAATCGGTCCTTGGGAATCTCGCGGTGTACATCACGTCCTTGGTGAAGAATTTCCCAGAACTTCTCGGTGTTAGCAGAGTCCGGGAAGCGACCAGAGTATCCAACAATAGCAATCTTGGATTGCTGTGGGCGGGCATGTGGAGAAGCGTTGATGTTGGTATTCTGATCGTCGATTTTGACACTAGCAAAGCCTGCCTGGGAAAGGGCAGCTGCTAAATGCTGCGAACCGTTGGCGATAAATGGGATGATAGTGGCTTGAGAGACGCCGGCCTCCTTCAAGGAAGCGGGGGTACCCTCAAGCAGTTTATCCCAACGGATAGGCTCCATCAAAATCTCACGAAGACAAATCCGCAGAAGCTCTCCATACGTGGAAGCGGTGATCAACTGGCCAGTAACATCGGAGAAGACGGGGATTTTAGGTGTGTAGGAATTTACGATCTCCTGAGAGGTGGTAGCCATTATCGCGTCGATATCAGCCTCTGAGTAGAGGTGGGAAGTGTGATACGGAGCGAACACAGAGACCTTGGCACCTTTGGACTCAGAAAAAGGTGATGTCTTGACGAGAGTCTCGAGGACGGACGGAGGGCCGCTAATTGTGACGTTGTTCGGAGTGATGTAGCTGATATACGGTCGGGATGCATGGGGGATACCTTGATCCTCCTCGAATGCATCCAGAGCCATCGAAACGCGCTGGGCAGGCAGGGGAACGATCATAGACCAAGATTGGGAGCCCGCAGTGGGTTTCTCGATATCGTTTCGAACCTGGGTAGTCCTCAGTCCAGTGCGGAAGGCGATCAGCACAGCTTCAATGGCCGCTGGGAAGAGTTCAGCCCATGTCTGAGAAGTGCTGATGGCGGCAGAAGAAAGAAGACCAGTGCAAACACCAACAATGTGGCTCTCGGCGGGGGAAGGATACTTGAGCGTGCTCTGGCCATAGTGGCTATAATTGGTCGTTAGTATGTTGGAGTGAGCGGAGGGGAGATGTGGCAACTTACCTGATGAAGCAAGCGAGTTGATTGAGGGTGTGGAAGGCGCTCTCGAGGGCCGGGTTCCTGGTTTTTGACTCGCTGCAACGAGCCAAGAGATCGAGCAGAGAAGTAAACCGAGGAAACTCGTCCTGAAAGGCGATGGGAAGGCGGTTGATTTCGACTCTCAGGGCGTAATAGACTCTCTCAAAGAAAGTAATCAGGAGGCCGTTGTGCTTGATCGAGAGGAGACGCTTAAGGGAAGCTGCGAATGGGCTAGTCTGATCTCCAAAGAGCAGGACTTGAGTGGATTTGTCCATTGTAGCGAAAGGATTGAGTCGTTGGCTGAAATTGGGAAGTGGTTGGTAAGTTTACAGACAACGATTCGTAGGATGGCTCGTGGAGGTGATAGGCCTTATGGTGTGATACAGGAGATTGAGGTATTCCTAAGAAGATCATATATACTAGAATCTATGGCCGTTAGAGATACCTGAATCCCGGTACATGCCATCCTAACAGACGTCAATCCCGATCACGCAGTGTCCGTATTGTCGGATACCTGCTCTCACCGAGTCTTCTATAATGTCGTAGACCGAATGAGCTATGGTTTGAGCGTAGGGGGGTTACTAATTGGGATAAGTGAGCTAGTGTCTTCGCCAAGATGTCTCTGCATTTGAGTGGTAACCCGACGATGTGGACGCCGCAAAGCGTTTCGTCTCATGAGGGTGAGAGCATGCCGTCTAGGTCTGCTGGCGAGCAAGTAGTTTGATCTGTGATTTGTCGGTCAGCTGCGGTACTGCCCAGGCGTCGCTCTACGATCGCAAGTCAACACGCTGCTTCGGTTTCCGATCCTTCCTCAGCCTCACAACCTAGCCAGTACGATGCCACAATTGGAAATTTTGTGGCGGTATACTAGCTTGGGACACGTGGTTCCTAATAATACTTTCTAAGCCCGCCTTCATATCTATTCTAACGGTGTTCTGATAGGCAGTGGGACCTTTGGATGAAATTGCGCCAGAGGGCGTGGGATCGATACAAGAACTCTTCTAAAAGCGTTTCTGGGATGTGAAGAACTCCATGGTGCTCAAGAACTTGATTTGCAAAATCTCGTATGAGTTGATCCAACACATGGGTTCACTCTCTAGGCTTCCGACACATGGTCCTTTATCGGCATGTGCAAAAGACAAGTATAGAGTACACGTAGTAGATCTGGGTCGCGGAACATTGCAATGCTACCAGGGTAGCTCGGAGAGAGGAACCACGCTTGAAAGGGAATCTATCATGTATTTTCATGAAGGATGACGGAAACGATGGCGCTTTGATGGATTCTAGAAGGAGAAGGGTGGATAGGGATCTCGAAAGACTGTGAGCTGCACCATGCGATATTCGCTGAGTAAGCATTCCACCCCACCAAGGTATGTTTGCTGCAAGTGAAATCAATTGACCAGTCGAGCGGTGAATTGCTGGCACATTTTACTACCAAAAACAAAAAGTACGTAATTAAAACACCAGTTCAATTTAATCCAGCTGTTCACGCTAAATTGCGTCAAGTAAAGGAGCCTATATCTCCACTAGTTGATGAGGTGCTGAGAATGATGTCGAGCAAAAGTCAATTCAAAGGAGACACCCTAGCCTACAGTCTATATCTATCACATCGCATAGCAAACCCCTTTACGAAATATGTCTGATGAGGTACTCTTTGTCCGCTGCTTAGCAGACAATCTGACCTTCGCGAACGTGCCACTCAACCCAGCCAATTGTCATCCTAAGTGTGAGAATCAACAACCTTGTTCCCCCTTTACAAGGTTAGGGTGCTTACTTTGATCTCTTTGTATCCGCAAAGTTCTCGTGGTCGGGAATGCACTTGGCGATATACTCCGGATCGGCCTTCATCTTGACGAAGCATTCAGTATCTGGGAATGTGGCCTGAACAATGCAGTCATAATCGGCAACATTGGCAAACTGAGGGTCAAAGAGCTTGTCCATTTCGGCGCGGGTAGCGGTCGTATTGTGAGACTGAGGAGATTAGAAGTTCTCAGACAAAGAAGTTATCGAGGATCAGATACCATAGCGAAGCTAAGCATGCCATACTTGGCCATCAGGCCCTTCACAAGGGGGCCATGGATCTCGCTCATGTAAGTATGGTAATCCTCTTCGCTCATCCCTGGCTTTCGGTATGCACACACGGTCCATGCAAGAACGGGGGCCATTTTGAAAGTAAAGAAGTTCGATTGTGAAGACAAGAGGAATATACTGAAACGGGGAATGAGAAGCGAGATTGAAAATGATGAAGAAGTTTTGATAGCTAAGCGGCAACTTCGAGGTTATATGCTCAAGCGTTAGCACGCAACAGGGTCTAGATCTAGGGGGAGATCTCAGAGCCTTGATCGCCTACACCTAAGCATTCTAGTTTCCGCGTCTTTCGCTTTCCAAAGCTTACTTCTCCGTGATAACATCCGAGAAAGAAGAGTTGATATACGTTCGGATAGCGAACGAATGTGGAGCAAGTAATATTGGTGTTCATTGTCGCAGACGACGGAAATGATTCATACGAATGCTTCATCAAGAACACAGTCCTATCGGCATGCTTAAGAGTTGATGCGACCATTAGATTAATTATGGAGGAAGGCGTTGTCGTTGTAAATACAAGACCACTACCTCGGGAAGGAGATGAAATATGGGTCTCATCACATGCGTCTTGGCATTTCCCTGGGCCATAACCCCTCGTAAGCTCAATAATTCTTCTCCCTAATTTAATCACACTCGATTCTCTTTTGAAATGGTCTCCAAAAAAGTACATGTTCTCCTCAGCTCTTTGAGATTTGTACCAAGCATTACCCTGATCAGATGCGTACGCCATCATGCCCCATACCCTATTTTTGCATCATGGCTAGTAATAATTATCCGCATCGAAAATATGCATAAGCCATGTTTTCACAGGTGTTACCGTTACAATCTGGGAATTTCCTGCCTCTACTAGTTTCTCAAACTTTCTTTGCGGCAGAAGCCGCTCCTTCGTGATGCAGCTCAGGGGGGTTTGACACGCAAATCGTAGTTCGGTGTCATCCTCTGATCGTAGATCTCTCAGCGTTTTTATTGTTCAAGCATTACCTCATTTATCTTAAAAGATGGAGCGAGTTAATGATTTCGGAGTCAATTTACAGCTAGGAAAATATGAAATCTATCGCAATATCACGTTCCAACACCAACAAAGAAACTTCCTCAACAGCTACTAAATTTACAATTCCAGGATCTCGCAGTTGTCGAATGGCTGGTGACCGAACATCTTTTTTCCTCCAAAATAGCTCCTCTCGATGGACTTCCGAGCATATACCCTCATAGCAGCCTCGTATTGGGCAATGCTCTTCTTGTTGATACCACTGGCTTGAAGATTCTTGGTCAGCTCCGCAGCATCCATAATAGCCGTTACCGCACCAACACCCCCGCATGGCGACATAACGTGGACCGCATCACCGAGAAGAGTGACACGTGGATTAGCCACCCACTCCGGAATCGCTGGCTTCGCCGTCGATATGCGTAGAGCTGAAGATTGTTTAACATCCTGGTGTTCGAAAAGGGCACGGATTGAAGGATCCCATTCTGAGGTGAGCTTGAGCGAAAGATTGGCCGACTCCTGCCCACTCAAGGCAAGCAACTTATCGGTCGACAATCCAAAGACATCTGAGCGACCGATGAGGACCCAGTAGATGTAGTCTTGTGGAGCCTTGGACTTGTACTCGTTGTCAACGAAGCGAACTGGCTCGAGAAGACAGGTCAAGGGAGTCTCATCGATGTCAAGAGTTTGGGTCATGGGAGTCTTGTCCAGGACTAGGGTCATCCACTTGTGAGCGCGGGCGTGGTACTTGGCAAGGAACTCATCAGTGAGGGGTGTCTTGCCATAGATGCATCGTCCGTTGGTGTCAACTGGCTTATGCTCGGGATGTAGTTGCTTGCGGACGGGGGATCGGAAGCCGTCCGCGCCAACGAGGAGAATACCTTGCTCTGAAGTTCCATCCGCGAAGTGTGCAATAACACCCTCTTCCAGTTCCTCGTAGTGAGTCAAGGTCTTTCCAAAAGACGCGTCTTCCTCCAGACCGCGGAATAGTAATCTTCGTAGGACTGTGCGGTCCGCTAGGTAGGGAACGAAGTTTCCTCCGAAAATCCCTGGTCCTTCGCGGCTAGCAATGACGCCCCCATCAGGAGCATTGATATTGGTTTCGCCGAATTTAGACTCAGCACAAGTCTTCTCGAATTCTTCCCACATCTCCTCGCTCATCACTGCCTTCAGAGCCATGGCGCCTTCATAGTTGATCTTAGCTTTGATTAGCTAACACATCCATGAGATTTCATCAACATGATTACCTTAATTCTATATCCTTGAGGACGGAAAGTAGGGGACGGATCCCTCTCAAAAATATGGAAGGGAACAGCGGCCTTCTTGAGACCCTGAGCAAGGGAAAGACCCCCCAAACCGCCGCCAATTATGAGAACACGTGGTGGGAGTTGAGAAATTGAGGGCGACATTGTGGCAGGAGATGTGGAGTTGGAGAGAAGTTTCTGGAAGTAGAGGCTTTCGGGCGACCTTGAGGTTTTAGTCTTAGAGAGATCTTCAGTGCTGTGCTCTGTAGCATCCTACGTAGGGGAAGCATAGCTTTAGTAGTTCACATGAACGAGAAGGTGGTTCGACCGGAACGAAAGCGCTGTCCGACTGTCGAAAACCTAATGTTAAACCATCGAAGTAGTTTCAGCGCACGCCGCAAATACGATTTCCGAATGTGTCGTTAGGCTAAGAGTGGGTTGGTAGTCGTCTCATTGGAGATCAGAGTGCGCTCGGTAACCGAATATCCATTTGGTGAGGGTACACTCACCAAAGTTCCCGATACACTATGGGAACTACGCTTTCGGTTCGACGTATATCTTATTTAGATTTCATGTCGTTCTACGAAGTTTTGAGATTCCCGTTATCACCTCTTTGTCGCACGATTCTCGATCCATTTTCTCCCCATCGCCCGTCCGATTGTGCATCTCTCCAGCAAGACAGTACGCTGCTACATTCCTCAATCAAGTCCAGAGAACTACCAACACCAGTATCGTAGTATTGGCTACCAAACCAGCAATACTTTAATTGCGCTCCTCAATTTTCTGGGCGCGTCACTTCACTTGCCCTTTCTTACAATCAGTCGGAACTATCCCATTTCGACCTACCAAAAAAGCGGCCCAGAATGGGTTCTATGCCAGCCCAAACCTTGGCGGAGGAGCTTGACAGTATCCTTGACAAGTACACCTCGGTCATCCCCAACCACCTCCGGGGTGCTGCTTTCTCTGCCGTAAATCGGGATGGTACGAATGCACCCTTCTATTATCACGCACGTTTTCTTCTCCGCTATTGACTGCGTGCTGTAGGTGAAATCGTCTACATGAATGCCAAAGGCAGCAGATCCATCACTGAACAAATACCACTGCAACTTGACTCCACTATGTGGATTGGTTCCATCACCAAGCTTCAGACTTGCATGGCATGCATGATTGGTATTGAGAAGGGCCTTTTCACACTCGACACCAATGTGCGGGAAGTCGTTCCTGAGCTGAAGGAAATCAACATCCTCACCGGTTTCGAAGAGGGCGACTTCCCTCGCAAGCCAATCACTAAGTCATGCAACGACCAAATCACGCTTCGGTATGCCTAGCTCTTTCCTTACAACTTCCGAACTGTTCTATTCCAGGATCTGAGATGAGGCTGACGGTTGTATTGCAGTCAACTTCTAACCCACACTTCGGGTATGATCTATGATTACGGCCACGACGGCCTCAAAGAATGGTCTGCATATCATGGTATCCAAGATAACACCTTTTCCGGCACCCTTAAAGGATACCAGAAGCCGCTTGTCTACTCCCCCGGGCAGGGTTGGGCCTACTCTCCAGGTATGGACTGGGCTGGCCGGTTGATCGAAGTCACCTCCGGTTTAACACTTGAGCAATATCTCAAGCAGCACATCTGGGATAAGTTGGATATGACTAACACAACGTTCCGACCAGATTTGCGGCCAGATATTCAGAAGAGAAGGATGCAGATGGTGAACCGGAACAGGGAGACAATGGAGATCACAAAAGGTGTTGTTCCCCAAGAAGCGCAAGGATCCTTTGCACCAGATTGCTGTGGAGGTGTTGGCCTGTACTCGACAATCGAAGACTGCACGAAAGTCCTGCAAGCCCTGATCTCTAAGAACACAGACCTCATGACCGCTGAGAGCTTTGACATGCTCACAAAGCCTCAGCTCCCGTCCGACGAACACTTCCTTGAAGTGATCCGTGGCGTTGGGCAAGGCCATCTTGGGCAAACTTGGGATAAGGGCGCAGATGGGACTTTCGGCTTCGGGTCGTCTATCAGTAAGCAAGACTTTGTTGATCGTAGGAAGAAGGGAAGTTGTAACTGGAGTGGGATGCCTGGGACTCATTGTGTAAGTTCATACCACTACGGAATAATTTGGTGATGGAACCCTGCCGCTACGGATTGCTAATTTGCGCGTAGTGGTTGGACAAGGAGACCGGTGTGGGTGGAATGTTGACAACACAGGTCTTACCGCCGGGGGACCCGATGGTCACGGAGTTGTTGCTTGAAATGGAGAAGTGTTTGTATAGACATACTAGAGGTTAGTATAACCTAGCTTCGAGACTTCATTTTTGGATTCGAGAGGACTGGCCAAGAGCACAAGCCTTTTCCCCATCTCAAGGGGTGGAGGGTGTCAGGGCAGATGTTCCCTCTTTAAAATCCCACCAGATAGACAAACTCTGATCTTTGTGTCTTTGAGCAGGTGCTTCTTCTTCTCCTTTAATCACACCATCTCCTGCCAATTATCCTGTGAGGGTGTCTAAAGCCGCCGGTCGTCTACCTCGTCGACCAGGGATGCAGTGGGTGCATAATCGCCGCTCGACCTCCTTCCCATGGCCGCCGAGGTTTTCGATCCGGCATTCACTTTTTGGTTAACTTTATCAGTGAAAAGAAGCATGACTGCAGGTAGATATACACAGGTCTCAGTATGGATGGTTGAGCGGTTACCATGGTTAAAAAAGCCTATGAAACAATAGAGGCCGTAGTAATTCGGAAAAGGAGAGTTGTATGTGTGCTACACAAGTTGTTGGCGCAATGGTGTTTCGTTGGCAATACATATAGAGCCTGGGGTCATAACTGGAAGGAACCTTTCTCAGCTACAACATCAAGGTTTTGTTAGGGGTAGAACTTGTACTACACAAACTTCTAAAGGATATATTTAAATGCCAATCATTGATGTCTCACGTAGGAATGTCTGCAAACCTCGGTAGCATTGTGCTGGTCTTCTCAGGCTTTTCGCGCGCATTCCCGATCGCCCGGAGGATTATTGGTGCATCAGTGGACAGCCAAACATTGGGGGAACGACAAAGTGCCATTCAGCTAAGTCATTAAGATCGTAAAAGGTAATGTCTCATAATAATGTAGACGAGGGAATGGAGGAAGCGAGATGCCTTTGAAAGTTCATCCGGTGATGCCAAGACGGTCGGGTCTCAACAACTCATTGTCCCAGTACCCACGCCCACCGGCGTTTAATATTAGTGATTAGTGTTAACATTTTAACTAGCCCCCACTAGCACTGGCCGCCACACTTGCGTTGATGTCGCCAGATTGTATTTGGCTTAGACAATGTTGAAATTTTATTATATTCTTGCTTATATATACTAATTATTTGGCAATTTATTCAACAATCCAACGGTGAGATGGCCGAGTTGGTTATGGCGCCAGGTAATTCGTCCGATCCAGTGATCTAATCAAAAATTCTAATTTCTTCTAGGTTAAGGTTACTCCTTGGCATTAATTCCTGGTCACGAAAGTGGCGTGGGTTCGAGTCCCACTCTCATCAACATTCGTCCAAGCCTAGCTTGGGTTTCAGGATTACCTTTTTGGTCCTTTTTGGTCTTGTCGAGCTGCATACAGATTGATTTTGGCTTACTAGTGAGTCAAATTTCCTCTTTTGGGGATAATCTTATTTTTATTCCCAAGAGGAAGTCTGATTTAAATGTAACATCCCTCCCTGCGTCACCGGACACCCTCCGTAACCGGACAAACCGCGGGTACTGTGCGGGAAACCACCACAACGACGCAACGCAGGCTTGAGTCGATAGCGCATATGTATACAGCTCATCTCTTGCTATTACTCCATATCTTCATCCGCTTTGTTACGCTCTTTCCTGGGATTGTACCGTTTATAACGTAATTGCGTGCACTCCATCCTTTAGAGCGAAAAGGCCGGCAGAGCTCGCACAGAGTAACACAACGCGTTTATAGTTTTGCAAAGCCTCTGTGACGCTTCTAATATTCATGCTAGCTCTCTCAGCTGGCTTCTCATCTATCTGGCTACGCGTGAGTGGGTGAGAGTCATTCGACTGCAGTGCGCCCACGCAAGAAGGTACCTCCTTGTGGCGCCGATGGGGTTTGGTAAGCAGCACAGCCACGACGGCTCTTGTGGTACGCACCGTATCGATCTGAGTCCTGCTCTGACACATCGAACCATACATACGCTTATGATCAACAAGAAACCCTATGCGGCGTTGATTACAGAGCCGGGTAAACCCCCGTTTTTCGCAGCTTCGATTTCCAAGAACCCGAATCTCGTTTGCTCAGCACGAAACAGGCGCTACGTCAAGCACCGTTGCGCAGCGGTGGCCGTGCGTCTGCTCGATCTCCCCGCACTACGTCCTTAGCTGCGCAACTGCAGCCTTAGTCTTAGCCTTAGCCTTGCCGGATCTCCTTGTTCCGGCAGCACAGCACAACACAGCACGATGGCACTTGCAACGAACGACTTCTAGATAGGAGGTGAGACTGACCTGTATCGCGCGCGTGTCCGGTCCTCCACACACACACATACACACAGAGACGTCTGCCTGCTGCAGTCCTGCCTGTGCCCTCGCCGACCAGAGCCGCGACACCAGACTCCGCACATCTTGACTACCGCCACCCGCTAGGCGAGTTATCGACCGCGCCCATGCGCAATGCGTCTTCTGTACCGCAGCAGTCATGGGGATTTGACATTTGCGGACTATCTACACGATAGTGTTCCAGCTTATGCCATTCTGTCGCACACATGGGGAAAGGACGAGGAAGAGGTCACTTTTCAAGATATCAAGAATGGATCTGGACGGCACAAAGAAGGATATGAGAAGACCAAGTTCTGTGGAGAACAAGCGGCTCGTGATGGCCTGCAGTACTTCTGGGTGGATACGTGCTGCACTATACAGACTCACCACCGACGACAATACCCTACGATGGCATTTGCCGCCGAAAATGGCGGCAGAATGTATATAGCTTTTCAATACAAACGTATTAATATTTCCATACTCGTGCAACTGGAATCAGACCCCCCCTATGTAGTGGCTGAGCAACTGCACAGCCCCTGAGCATAAACGAATAGGCCTGTTTAGGGAACTCGTTACTCGGCTATACTTTCCTAGTCACGTGCAGCTATGTTTCGGCCAAGGCTGCTGCCTTCAGCTAAGCCACCTCCATCAACCATCCGTCTCTCGTCGCCCAAACCTCACCTTCTCTAACTGCCATCTACGTATTCAAAGCCTTGCAGAGAGGTAAGAAGGCAGTGTAGTTTATTACCTATGCCTTAGCTGCTGCTTTAAGCTAAGTTAAGCGTGAGCGAACCCTAAGCAAAGGCTTAGCAGACTAAGCGGAGGCTGTGTAGCATGAGTAACCCTGTCTAGCGTGGACAAGGGGCTGTTTTGGACCTCCTTGAAGCCGGCTGTTCTTGCCTAATCGCGAATCCTTTGAGCAAGTGTGTCCAAATCAACTACACCTTACGGAAAGTTCCCAGAAACTGCCTCTATTCTTTGTAAACACTCAACTTCTTATCTGCATAGATGATATTCTGGAAACTACAGTTTAAAACTGATTTGCTATTGCCTTAGGAGTCGTGCAGACTCATTCCCATCTCTATATATTCTATTGCCAACAACTGCACTAGCTGCTTCACTCGGTAGCGATTTACCAAGTCGTATTGTTCTTAAACAGCGCAATGCTGATGAGCAGGCGGAGAGGGCGACGGCTCTTGCAAATAAAAGGCGAGGTCTAGTCAGGTAGTTATATATTAACGAGTAATGCTAGTGATACAGTAGAGTTCGACATGCCTGCTTAACAAGACCTCTACCCCAGTTTTCCAGTAGCTTCGTCACATCTGTTGGACACCTCACACACCTTCCACAGTTGAGGCACAGCCATACCTCTCCCGCCTAGGTAACTCCTGTTTGCTCCTTAAGCACATCTCACCGGCACGCCGTCCAAACGAACGGTCCCGTATGTTGATGCACCGACACGCGCATCCGTTCTCTCGAGCCATGCAATAGTCTCCCCAGCCAGGACGTGATCTTGCTGGAATCCAGGTCCACCAAGGGTCAGAGCCCAGTGAAGGGGTGAGGTCCTTGGAGCCAGCAGTGGCTACTAGGCACTACGCCCCGCAGGAGGCCAGTAGTGATGTAGGGGTGCAACTCTCCACATACTTCTAGTTCCCGTTTCGCGTTACCTGTAAGAGTCTCCTCATGACAGGGCGACCGTGTCTTGCAGAGTGGGCCACAGACCAGATTCCACGCCGGGCAACCCGCTCCACCCTCTCCACTAACTAAGCTTGTGTCACCTCTTCTCATAAGCTAACCTATGTCTCTAACCGTCGAGTCCTCGTCCGACTGACATGTGATTGCTCCAGAGCGTCCCCCCACCGCTGGACTGCGTCATCATCATAGATTGCGTACACCACGCCTATTAAGACTCTCCTATGAGTCGCCTAGACGTACCCTTAACAAGTTCGTTTGGGCCGTCGAAGCTGGCCTGTGAAACCGCCACTTAGAGCTTTGCCCGTGTCACCACCAGAGGTGATCTGCCTCGTAGAGCCGTCCGGTCAGTGTCCCCAGGTCGCGAGCACCACGCCTATTAAGTCCCTCTTCCGAGTCTCCTGGGCGTTCCGGATAGGTCCACTCGGAGGGGCCTTAACGAGTTCTCTAGGCCGGGCCTTAACAAGTTCTACGCGGTTGGAGACTTCGGGGCCTTAACAAGTTTCGTCCGAGAGATCTGCAACGTGTTAACCTTAACAAGTTCTCATAGAAAGACGTTCCCTACACCCTCGCCGCTCCTTGTCTCGGTCTCAGAGCTAGTGCAAGCCCAAGGGTACACTGTCGTACGCCTAGGACGCGTCCACATCAGCTGGCTAGATAAGGCCAGTTTCGGGCCTGGCTACAAGCCAAATAGTCGTACGTCGGGTAATTTTCGTATCCCAGTTTCCATTGATGAGCCTCCATAGATGGAATATCGCAATACTCAAATGGAGGCTGTGGTGATGTGGTTGTGGTGCGATCGGCGCGTCGATGAAAACTTTTCATTGCGTTGAATTCGCGCCCCAACAGCCCGCAGCGGCGACCTGCAGACTATCATCCATCGCGTCTGCACTTAGCTATCCATATGAGAAATCTACCTGATGAATATTTCCAGTCACGGCGATGAGGACGCATGCAGTAGGACTTCGTGGCCGCTGATCGGATTATGGTTTGGGGCCTGCTAACTGGCCACCCGCTGAGTAAGTCGTCCGTGGCACAGCAAGGCTTCACACCTCTCCCATCCACCCAGTCAACCATCCTGTAAGCAGTAAGGGTTGAATCATGTATTGTAGTGGTGTTGTCTGTGGATGCCTCAGCAAACGCTACATCGTGGTCATAATGCTGTGGCGGATAGCAGCGTAGTTACAAACATCCAGGCGTTAAGAAGTGCTGTGTCTTCGTCATGTGGCGCAGGCAGAATAGCTGACCTAAGATTCATGAGGACTAATACTTTGGAAAGATACCGCGCGCTTAGAACGGAATACTCAAACCGGGGACCACCGCAAGAACCACGTGCTATCTGTGTCACAGTCAAATGCCAAGTACTGTGCCGTTCTCAGCATGCGCTGGACCACTGACGCTAGAGCCTGCGCGGCTGGTGCTATGGTATCCACCCGGCAGTGCGCATGGCGAAGACATGTCCAGACCACCTCCCCCAACACTGACACTAGAAGCGCGCGAGTACTCCCGTCTACAGAGTCTGAGATAAGTTCACTTTGAAACGCAGAGCCTTTACTGCGCAAAAGTTCTAAGCGGCGTGGTGCATATTTACAGAACCCAGATCGTAGGATGGCGTTTGTATATCTAATCCAGGGAAAGGCGATGAATTAAAGAAGACAATATTGCCTCTTCTTCAGCCTTGAATACTCCTGATCACCTATGTCCGTTGTGTCCTCCCTCTAGTACCCTGCTAAGGCCTACGTTCTCTGTGGAATCTCCAGCTACAGACTCAGCTCCTTTAGAATAGTTCACCTTACGTTGCCCCCTCGAGATTAATCTACGAAGGTCGCTACAGAATCTTACACCCTTATCATCTTTTGGCAACATTCACAGGTCATCAATTGACGCGCGAGTCCTTATCCACTATAACAGGCCTGTCCCGGAAGATAGGTCCGTAAACCTCCTGCCACGTCTAGACTCAGAGCTCTTACTGACTATTTAGACAATGTTGATTGGAGATTTGCGGTCTATTTCTCGCTATACCAACCATCTTATTTTACGGTAATCATTGATTCGTACTACTACCGTGTTAGGAAGCTGACCGTGGTTGATGCGCAGGCATTTCCTTACCGGGATGCGTGTCCAATTCCTGGGATACGGAATATTTTCGTGGTACAGTTAGGGCGCCACTTGAGAAACGAAACTACTAGAGAACAGCGTCTTCTGCAGGAAACTGAACTAGACCAGGCTCAAATACGTGTAGGGTATTTCGGTAAGTCATCGTTCTTCGTTTGCGAGAGAGATTATTCTAATTACAAAGGTCTTTGCGTCGGAGTTCTAGATGACTTCGTCTGCGTACCGACAACAGGAGCTTCAGTCGAAACCATCCTAAGACGTCTTAACGAGACTAAGCTTATGAACTCGAAGCTTGCATTTGGCGAGGATATCGATCTACTATTGAGACTCGCCACTGTGCTACAGTCCAAGATCCTTCTATGCATCTCGGCTGCCGCTGGAGTCTTTTTCATCCTAGCACTTATACCTCTGTTACTGTTGAAGCGAAATCAGAAAAAGCTAGGAAACAAGACTGCTCTAAAGAAGAAGGATCTGTGGAAGAAATGCCTCATGGTATGCGTTTGGTCTTCAGTGGGACTAGCTGTTGCAGCAGCTGTCGGGATTGGCCAAAGCGCCGCAGCTATGCAACAGATCACAACTCCTGAGCATCAGTCGCTTGTTTAAATCAAAAGCGGAACTGCTTTACAAACGCTTCAGTGGGCGACTGTTGCGACTTCCGTGTTGTTTGGGCTTGGCGTTTCTGCAATATTCGGTGCCGGAGGAGGAATCGGACCTTCTAAGCCAGGAGAGGCAAAACCAGCGCCTAGGGGTACCGCAGCGAAGCCATCTGAAGCAAAGCCATCCGAAGCGAAGCCAGCTCAAACGGCGAAGTGACCGGCGATACTGTTGACAGGGTATCCATATAAACCTCAGCTCTAGACAATGATATAGGGGTTAAGGAGCATCTGTGGAGCCTCATGTGGAGCGAGAGAGGTGTAGACAATAGATATCCCTTGACTGCTCGCAGATAACTCGGAGCAGGAGGTCTATATAATGAGGCACAAGGCCGTCCAGAAGTCAATGGAACGATATACTTCAACATAACCTCATTTTTCCAGTAAGCTCGGACCCCTAGAAGCCGCGCACACGGGGAAGCTGCGCACCCCACCAAAATCAAGAGGCTGTACAAAATATCGATTTTTCAAGGCAGCCCATCTAGCAGCTGCCATTCAGTACACATATCTGTAAGAGTCTGAGCTGCCGCAGCCTCACTAGCTTTTTTGGCAGTTTTTTTGGTAGCCTTCGCGTCTTCCTTGGCCTTCCAAGCCTCCGCCCTCTGAATAGCTTCAACTATCATATCTGCAGTTGCAAAACGTTTATTTGGGTTAACCTGAACACGCCTTTGAGGCCCTGTAGGCTTAAGGCTCTGTACTTGATATTGCAGCTGTTTTTGTGTTGCCTCAAGCTCTACTATCCTTATATTTGCCTGTGATAGCGCCTTGCTTGTTTTTTGGAACAGCACCTGTGTTGTACGCGAGAGCTTTTCAGAACGCTCAACGTATTGCTGCGCCTTGTACAGATCTCGAGGTCCTTTAGGTGTTACCACGGTCTGCTCAAGCTTAAAGAAAGGTCGCTTCTGGCGTGGTGGTGTTGCTGGCCGGCGACAGAGCTGTGAAGACTCAAGCACGTGATTAATGTTTAGTGGGCATGCTACACCTCCTCAGTCCGCCGTACTCTGTGACCACCACCAAGCCCATCCTGACTCAGCGCTTGGCCCTCTCCACCGCTGCAGGACTCGGCGCACCTAGCTGCTCAGGATGCCTGACCGCCTTCTCCACAGTGCTAGTCATGGCGAGACCGACGGGAGTCGTGGCGCCGCTTGACGGGGCCGGGGTGCTGGAGCGTGTGGGCGGGGCGGAGCGGTTATGCTGCATGTGGGCCTTGACGAGATGGCCGGCGGCGAGGGCGGAGCAGAGGGAGAGCTCGCCCGCGAGGACGGCGGCGGCGACGATGCGTGCGAGCGAGCGGGCGTTCTCGCCGGGGCTGGGGAGGTGGGGCCCGCGCACGCCTAGCAGGTCGAGCATCGCACCCTGCGGGTCCAGCATGGTGCCGCCGCCGAGGGTGCCGACTTCGATGGAGGGCATGGAGACGGAGATTTGGAGGGAGCCGCGGAGGCTAGGGGATAGGTGTTAGTGCGGAATTCGAAGTAGGGGAATAAGGCGTCTTTGGGAGGCGGGACGGGAACTTACTTCTTCATGATGGTGATACAATTGGCGCTCTCCACGACCTGGGCAGGGTCTTGGCCGGTAGCGAGGAAGATGGCAGCGACAATATTCGCCGCATGAGCGTTGAAACCACCCACAGACGCCGCCATAGCCGAGCCGATGAGGTTCTTGTTAATGTTCAGCTCCACCAACGAATCAACATCACTCTTGAGCACATCCTTCACCACGTCGCTCGGAATGATTGCCTCGGCGACAACACTCTTGCCCCTCCCCTCAATCCAGTTGATGGCCGCCGGCTTCTTGTCGATACAGTAATTGCCACTCAAAGAGATAATCTGCATATCATCAAACCCTGCCTCGGTAGCCATTACATTCAACGCATGCTCGACACCCTTGGAGATCATGTTCATGCCCATGGCGTCTCCAGTTGTAGTCTTGAAGCGGATGTAGAGATTAGTCCCCGCCATGGCCGTCTTCATCTGCTGTAACCGTGCGAATCGGCTGGTAGAATTGAACGCCTTCTTCATCACCCGCTGACCCTCGTCAGAGTCCAGCCAAAGCTTGGCAGCACCTGATCGCTCGAGTGTCTCAAATGTCACGCACGGGCCACGCGTCATTCCATCCGCGGTCAGAACCGTAACCGCGCCTCCACCAAAATTGATGGCTTTGCATCCACGACTAGTACTGGCCACAAGAACACCCTCGGTTGTGGCCATGGGAATCATGTAGCTGCGACCGTCGATCACTAGTGGTCCGGCAACACCCACGGGTAGGGGCATATAACCGATAACATTCTCGCAGCAAGCACCAAAGACCTGAGCCCAGTTGTAGTTGTCATATGGTAGCTTTGACCGATCGAGTACCCTGGTAAGCTCTTCGGTAGCCTTGGTTCTCGAGATAATCGTCCGGCGGACCTTGACGGCGCGAGTGAAGTCCTTGAGTGTCGTTTCCAAGGCATATCCGGGAATCTTGCCTCGTAATGACATGGAAACGACCTCCTCGTCAGTAAGCTCGTCTGCCCGTTTCTCCTGTAAAAGTTTCTCCATCTCTTCAGGTGAGAGTGAGACGTTGGGGCGGGCCTGTTCGGTGGCCGCTCTTGTGGCGGGCGATTCTCCATCATCGTCTGTTGATGCAGGTGTGATTGGTTCCGATGGAGTTGGGGTAGGTCGCATATATTCGCCAAGTGGAAGATTCGGTGTGTCGACATCGTTGAAATTCTGGGCATCGGCAAGATCGCGAGTATTGATTGGCCGACCTGGGGCGTTGGGGTCTTTGATACCCCATCGAGCAGCGTTGAACAAGTAACCATTGAGAGCAACGCTCATAGCCAGGGCGACAACGATCCACTTGGACAAGATAGGGTCCTCGAGGCTCTTGAGGATGCTGCCCACCATGCGTCCACCCATCCCATAGTTCGCCAGATCATCCGACTCGTCCTCGACCTTACCGGGGCGCAGTCCGTAATGAATTGATGGGAACTCGAGCTCATATTTGATCGGGGTCAGAACAGTCACTACGGTCTCCTGATTCTTGTGCATTGCGCTTTCAAGAATCGAGTCCAGTCCGCTAGCCGCGACCTTGAACGGGTCGACGGGGGGCGAGCCAGCTACTCCGCCGAGACCTCCGACCCATGAGGAGATGTAGGTGAGGGAGTCGGTGCCACGGAAAGGGATAGTGCAGATGTTGAGGACGTTGATGATGAGAAAACCGGATACCATGAGCGCCTTGAACTTGGGGACGCTGGTGCTCTTCATTTGGCGACCAAAGATAGAGGTGGCTGGCTGGCCCTTGCCATCCACTTGGGCCCAGTCGTTGTTCTTGGCAACCTCCTTGGCAACACGGTGGCTGACACCATCGTCCTCCAGAGCCCTGCGTATCTCCACATAACGCTTGATCCGGTTGATCTCCAACTTAATGCAGAGGATAGCTGTGTAGAAGGAGAACAGCAGGATTCCGTCGAAGAAGAGGATCCACGCTGCCAAGAAGCAGAATTGCTGCAGGCCGCCCCGGACTCCAGAAGCTGCACCCGCCACGAGAATGATAATTTCAATAACATAATCCTTGATAATCTCGTAGCCCTTCTCCTTGATGGCGGCTTGGATGGCGTACTGAATTACACTCGTTGTGCTCTCACCGACCTTGCGAAGCCCCTTAGCGTTGCCATTAGAGGTTCCGTTTTCCAGAGAACGGCGATGCTCCAATGCGTGTGACAGGACAGCTTGTGTCAAAACGATGTTCTTCTCAAAGCCGATGATGACAACCAAGAATGGCAGCCCCTCTGAGAGTAGTACGACGGTTATCGGTGCACCTAGCTTGGTGGTTACGAGAAGGCCGAAGAGGAAGGCGAAGATAGAGGACAACAGAGTGCTGGTGCCCAGCCAGAAGTTCGAGCCTATCCGGCGCATGGAGAGGAAGAGCGAGACAAAGGTTAGGTGCATGGAGAGGTAGCCGAGGACCATGATAATGATGTCAAGAGTTTCGGCATTCTTCAGCAAGTCCACAAACTCAACCCAGCTATTGTTGAACCGACGCACAACACTACTTCTGGTGTGAACTCTAGCCGCCTTCATGATCCACATCTTCTTTTCCCGGCCGCGCTCCGTATCCATCGTCTCCTGTCCCGGGATGTCATTGGGGATCTCCTGGGCGGCAGCCGCAAACTGCAGTGCCTGGTGGCAGTCGAGTGCAAAAGCAAGCGCAGTATCTTGGGAGTAGGCACCGAGCGGATTGGCGGTTGAGGGAAGCGAGGTGATGGACAGATTCTCAGGAGTCGGCACGACGTGGATCAGAGGGGCCGAGTTCGGCGAGCTGTGGGAGAGCAACTCGGGGAAAACGAAGGTGACAAGGGCGAGATGATCGGCGCCGGAGGGAGCCGATGCTTCGGAGTCGTAGGATTGCCATTTCCACGAGGTCTCGGGACCAATACGCAAGCTCCTGCTGCCATCAGTCAGGCTAGACCAGTCGGCACGGCGGACAGTTTCGGAGAGGTCGAAGAGGCTCTCCTCGAGGAGGCCCAGGTAGGTGGAGCTGGCAAGGACGGCAACGATGACGATGGTATGAATCGGGTGTAGGGAGGTCAGGCTAGCCAGCGTCTGCAACAAGGCAGTGATCTTGTTGCTGAACCACGACGGGGCCGAAGCTTTCGTCGCGGGCTGCTGACCCCGGAAGCGGGAGGGAAGGAAGGACGACGCGGCGATCATGTCGAAGTTTTGTCGAGGACGAGGATGTTGAGGGTCGGAAAGGGAAGAGGAACAGGAGTTGTTGAATGGGCCCTTTCAGCTAGCTGCTTATAGTATGAGCACTTAAGTAGCAAGAATAAGAGTAGTGTACAGTGTGCACAGCGTACAGGGTAGGTAGGGTGAGGGCAACATGTTTCTAGTTCTGTATTGCTCTTGTCTTTCCTCTGTACAGAGGAAAAGGGGGATAACGTACTTCACAGGCGAGTTGCTTACACACCTAAGTCGCTTACTTTTGCTAAGACCCCACTAAACTACCTTTCCTATACTAATGCATTCCTAACAACACTACTTAGACGTGCTAAAAGAACATTAGATATAGCTTACGCTTTAAGCTTTTAAATAAGACATAAAACTTTTAAAGAAACATGCTATAGCTATATATAAAGTCTCTTAAAAGATAATAAATAACTACAGCACTAAATAACTTTTATAAGCTAATTCTACAGCTAACTTATAAAAGCTAGGTAATAAAAAAAAGTAGGTAATTATTAAAACTATACTTAAGCTATATATGCAAGGATTTTCCTCTTAGATAGCATTTATAGCTAATATAGCTAATTCTTTACACGCTAAGTGTAATCTAGGCTATGTTAGCATAAACTAGCCTAGTATGTTTATAAAGTGTTATTTAAAGCTTAAAGTAAAGTTTTAAGTATAAGTATAGTTAATAGATATTTAGCCTATAATAAAGCCTAT